TGAAATTCTTTATTCTTTTAGAAACTTTTGCCTTTAATCATTTTTGTCAGCGTCAAATCCGGTTCTATAAAGACAGCATGAAATAAATATATATATAAAAAACGGCTGAGATATCTATCTTTAGCCTCTTCTAGTTACGCAAGTATATATATATATATATATATATATATATATATATATATATATATATATATATATATATATATATACACTATATAACTTATTTGTTGTCTAAAACTCCACTTAAAGATGTTGCTTCAAGCAACAATTTCATAGAGAGACACAGAGAAGAGAAATAGTGATCTATTAGGCATATAGAATCTGCCTTGTTCTTGATTTATTCAGCATTTATGCTAACCTAACTACAGGGTATCTTAAAGTCGTTCATATGAATGCTGCACCTGCAACTACACTCAGCTATTAGATGCTCTGCTATTGTAAAAATGCCCTTGACTCATGCTACAGGCACACAAAATATGCCGCATTTATGTAGCACCCCTCGGCAAGCCTCTCCACATCACTCCTACCGCCCACCGCCTCCCCTGCCCTGTCTCAGCAAACGCGCATAATTATCATCATTGGAAGTTTGAAGTGCGCCGCAATTTACATCGAAATGTGGCTTAATTGATTTACGACTCGTCTTCTGCGCTGCGAGCTCGAGCTGTGCGGGCAGTGCATCCAAAAAATTATTTGTAGTTTAATTTAAATTATACGTTCCACTCATCTGCGTTCTAGGTTACAAAATAAACACTCACACACACACACACACTCAGAGAGAGATCTCCAAGGTAGCCGCTCTAAAGGCAGCAACAGAAATTACAATTTGAACTGATTCTCGTAGAGGCAGGCGCAGGGGCAGGGGCAGGGGCAGGCGGCGCTTGGCGAGTGCCATTAGAGCTGTTCGAGCACGTTCAATGTAAATTAGCCGCTAAAATGCGTTATTTGTTATTAAAAAATATTTAGAAAAAGAAAAGGAAAAACAAAAAATTACACGTATCTGTGCAGGAAATTAAATGATTTTTTGATGTGCTCAAAAAGTGATTACGAATAGCAAATCTTTTTGCATGTGCGAAGAGAAGAGGGCTATTTGAAACAGATTTTGTTTACCTAAGCTTAATTGTTGTTATTTTTTAATATGTATTTTATGGCTGTTATGTCTTTTATGTTATAGTTTTTATGCTCGTTCGCGAAGTGAAGAGAGTATATTGGTATTGTGGAATGCCCGTCTTGCTGTCCATTAGGCTGTCCGCGTGCCTGAGGGTCTGTCTGGCTGTATGCCTGACTGTCTGTCTGTCCGCCCTTCTATCTTTCCATTTGTCGAACCGTTTATCCGTCCGTCCTTCCTACCTCATTTCCTTTCCTCCTTCCGCGAGTCCTTTTGTCTGACCGTTTGTCCGTCCTTTCTTCCTTCTGTTTGCTCATTCATCTGTCCATTTGTATGTCCATTTGTCTGTCCATTTGTCTGACCATTTGTCTGTCCGTCCTTTCGTCAGTCCATTTATCTTGCCTTCCTTCCGTATGTCTGACCATTTATCCGTCCTTTCTTCCTTCTTTCCTTCCTTCTGTAAGTCCATTTGTTTGTCCGTCCTTTCTTCCTTCCGTTTTCTCATTCGTCTGTCCATTCGTCTGTCCATTTGTATGACCATTTGTCTGTCCATTTGTCTGACCGCTTGTCCGTCCCTCCTTCCTCCCTTTCGTCAGTCCATTTATCCTGCCTTCCTTTCGTATGTCTGACCATTTATCCGTCCTTTCTTCCTGCCTTCCATCCGTTCGTTTATCCTTTCGTTTGTCCATTTGTCTAACCGCTTGTCCGTTCTGTCCATCTATCCGTATAAACCTCTATTCCTATGCCAAAAATTTTCCTCCTGGAAGCGAGTCAAACAGGAAATGAACGCTATCAGCCAAAGTTCTGAAGCAAAATATCCCAGGACTTGACAGTTAACTTAGTGCAGACTTTCCCTTGAGACTTACCAAAAGTTATTCAGCAGTTCCTGCACTGTGGACGAGTATTATGCAGTCGTTGTCGCCCGACTACAGCTGCTTGCTATTTGCTCTTCTTTGGCATCTTTGCTAACATTTTGCAGCGCTTAATTGTGTTAATTTTGTAATTATAAACATTTGTTTATCGTCTGCTGTTAGGCAGAATTTATGGGCTCATAGACAAGGCCAATTGAGTATTACTTGCAGTTTAAGCCAAATTCAGATTGAGCTATATACACACATAGATATATATATATGTGTGTATATAGCTCAATCTGCATTTGGCTTAAGCTGCAAGTAATACTCAATATATATATACATATATATATCTCATGTTTGGCATTTAATAGATAAGCCTTGAGCTGTTCATGCTTTATCTATTGAAGTTGTTTCCTTTAAACGAATTCGTCATGTTTATGTTCTGTCAAGAGCAAAGTTAACGTTTTATTGTTTCTTTATATCGATAAACAGGGCGCGCTGCTTGGCACCTTCCACAATTATTAAAACGTTATTATTAAAATATGGACCTTAACATTAAATTGTGAAAGTCAGTCGAACACGGCTCGTGCCGATGGTAAAATGCCAATAAAGAAAAAGAAACAAAGAAAAAAATAAACATTAAAAACTTTGGCTTAAACAAAGGCAAATGGCGAAAAGGCGAACAACAATTTGCAACTCAACGGCATTTAAAGTATTTGCAGATCGTGATAAATGCTACGCCCACCACATGCCAATAAAAGTAATAAGAAATAACTTATAAAATACTCTCTATTTGAGCTTGAATTTGTTACAATTTTTCAAGTGCTCATTAAGTTTCTTTGTTTAGTGTTTGTGCCTGTTGCAACACGAAATGTTGTTGTTGCCAGCTTGGCCGATTGGCTAATAAACAATAACAATATTCATAATGTTAGCAATGACCTTCAGCACACCACATTTCCACACCTCATCCAGGCTGTAGGCAATTAACAACACACCTCAATTCTCAACACTCAATTCTTATCAAGATTTCATATACTGAAGACAAATCAAAGTAATTTATATAGTTATTTGATAATTATGTATTATAACAATTTTAATTTTGAATGATCCTCACATGCAAGACAGCTATAAATAATTCAATTATAAGATTTGCCAGTAAATTTCTTTACTCATCTAAGAATCCAATTTCAGAAGTCTTCTTGCTGTCTAACTAGTCTTATATCTATCATCTGTCTGTCTATCTAACTATATATATTTAGGGTTGTCTATCTATATATTTATCTACTTACTTTATTTTCAATCTATCTATCTGTATGTCTATCTATCTATCTAGCTATCTCTCTATCTATTTATCTATCTATCTATCTTTCTATGTATCAATCTATCTATCTATCTATCTATCTATCTATCTAACTATCTAACTATCTATCTATCGATCTATCGATCTATCTATCTATCTATCTAACTATCTGTCACCTATCCATCTATGTATCTATCTATTTATCTGTTAATATATCCCTCTGTTTATCTATATATCTATTTGTCTATCTATCAATCTATCTAAATATCTTTCAATCAGCATCTAGCAATCAGTCTACATTAGTATAAATTTTTCATCATCATCTATGTATCTTTGCCTCTTTATATACTTACTATTAACTGTGTCTTGACTATCTAGCACATTTATATATATATATCTATCAACTATCTACATATTTATCTAACTATCCGCCCATTGATCTATTGTTTTATTTAATCATAAATTTACTCTGCTATCTATCCATATATTTATGTAACAATTCATCTCTTCATATCTGTCTATCTGCCTACACACTCATCTATATTTCTTATCGCATTCGCGCAGCAATTTTCGCATTCCAATCAGTTCACACAGCAAACGCAAGACATTTCAAAATAGCTCTCATATTTGTTTACTTCCCTCTCAGCCCATCAAAAAGCTCATTACAAATTTTAGTACTAGATTAAGTTTAAACAAAACTCTCACGCCCACACACACACACACTCAATTAAAAGAAGTTAATTTCTTGTCAAATTGCAGAACAAAAAACGTGAAAAAATACATTTTTTAATAAGTTTTTTTTTGTTGTCTTTCGCATGCGCAAGTTTGCGCCTTAAGTCTTTCGATTCAGCTGCGCTACTGCTGCTGCTGCTGTTGCTGCTACACGACTGACGCGACCGAGAGCCGAAGCAAAGAAGATGCGTGTAGCTGGCAACGTACAGTGGCAGCTCCAGTTCCGCTCACCTGCGGCCCTCGCGGCGTTGCTGCCACAGCCAAAGCCACAGCCACAGCCACAGCTACAGCTAGAGCTAGAGCCAGCTGCATGACTAATCCCATTACAAATAAGTGTTTTTGCTATTACATGACAACAACAAAGGCAACAAATGTTTATAGCATGCGGGCCTGGATGTGGGGTCTGGGGCCGGGATCTGGGCATGGGTAAGTGGATGTGAGGAGCATATTACTCCCGCGCTGCTCGTTCGCATCGATGTGCGACGCTCATCTTCGCTCTTCACAACGTCAAATGTTTGGCGCTTTAATTTAAAAGTAACTAGTTTACTATAACACTAAAGCTTCGCTCACGAGCTGAGCGGAGAGCACTCGATGCTGTAGTTATTGTTATTGTTGTAGCTGTTGCTTTGCATTATTTTGTAATGTTTTGTGTGTGTGTGTGCGTGTGTGTGTTGCTTTGCATTGCTACTTACTTTGAAACCTGCGCTCTTCGAAGCTTCCAAGCCAAAAAAAAACGAAAAAAAAAACAATTTTAAATGAGAAGAAGCAAAAAAAATAGATACGAAAATTTGGCGCGCTATTTTTGTTGTGATGGAAGTGCCGTCAGCGCCGACGTCGACGCCAACGCCGACGCCGACTGCGACAGCAAATGCAGCACATTTCAAATATAAATACTGGCCTACGAAATTGTTTCAGTATCACAATCAAGTCAACCATCTTCGCAAGAAGAACCAGCAACCAAACAATATTAATTCATCCAGTTGAACCTCAGCTACTAGTGCCGAGTCTCAAGTAGTAAACTAGAGAAAAGCAAACAGTTTCGTGTGTGTTTTGTACTAAATCCAAGCAAGTGACTGAACAAAATGAAGGTATAGAATTCAATATCCAACATTCGACATTCAACATCCAATATCAGCCCATGGACTGTCAGTGCAAAGTTGTGTTGTGTGTGTTGCAGTCCTGCCGCAAAGGGATTGCAACAAAAAGTGTTAAGCTAAGTCAAGGATATAGAACACAAAGAATGAATTCGTATTTGTTTTATTTGCGAGTTATACAAATTATATGAGCATCTTAGTTTCATTTTGAAGTCTTCCTCTTCCCAGCTTAGCAAGCTACAAAATTATTTATGCAAAAAGAAGTCAAGTTCAAAAATCGACTCAATCGATGCGATTCACTGAAAATACGCATAAATTTTCGCCAATTTCACAATAGTCCGCTATGATTTATATCTATCTGCATTTCGACACACATTTCGGCTTTGGCTACTGTTTAAAGCGCCTTCTCCAAATGTAAATTGGCTATAAAAAAACAAAAAAAGTTTGTAAGAATCGAAACTGTTAAGGCAGAGGCCAAACACCAAAACGCTGTTGTTTTGCATAAATTAAGAGACTTGTACTTTCAACTACAACAGATGAGTGCGCATCAGTGCCCATGTTTGGACTGCAGCTAGCACGATAAGCAAGGGACGAACACAACACCGAAGACAGCGCAATAAAAAATGTTTTGTTGTGTTTTGTTTTGTTACTCACTTTAACAGCCAATGAAGCATGAAAGTCGCCGAAGGTCTTGCACTCGCAACAAAAGTAATTGGGAAGAAGAAGAAATGTTGCAACACTTGTGCAATTAGAAGAGTCGCGACACGCAATCGGAAGAGCAATCTTTGCAGCTCCTTTAAGCACACTTTGCAAGTTTTTTGCCTAAGTCACTCACTCTATAGCGCAAGCTAGCTGCTACAACACTCATGCAATTAGAATATTAGCGAGGAACAGTCCTCTAGCAAAATGCAAGTTTTTTGTCTAAGTCACTCATTGCGTAGCAAAAGTATTGTAGCTGGTTGCTACAGCACTGAAAGAACTACGACAGGCAATCCTCTGCAAGTTTGTTGCCTAAGTCAGTCACTATAAAGCGCAAGCTAGCTGCTACAACACTCATGCAATTAGAATATTAGCGAGGAACAGTCCGCTTTAGCTGGTTGCTACAGCACTCCAAGAACTGCGGCAGGCAATCCTCTGCAAGTTTGTTGCTTAAGTCATTGGCATCGTAGCGCACATTAAGCTGCCTGCTACAACAGCACTCGCCAATTAGCCGAGCTGCGAGCGAGGCAATTGGTAGAACAATCAAACTGCTCAATCTGCTTGAACAAAAGTGGCAAGTCTGTTGCCCAAGTCACACACTAAGCTAACAGCTATATCACCTTTTGTCAACTAGACGTATGCGGAACATGCCCAATTGCGCTTCAGCAGGCAAATGTTGGCCCTTCACTTTGCCAAAAGGCGACCCAATTTCCACAAATTTGCATATTACACGCCTAAACGTGGCCAAAACAAAGCATAATTATAGTTATAAACAATGCGCCTAAACAATTGCACAAAAGAGCCATAAAGAGGGTAGTGCACAGCTAATTACGATAACAATTTTTAATGAGATTCTTTCAAAAGGGCAACAGAAACGAAAAGCAGCTAACAAATATAAAACAAACGAGCGACAATCAACTGTTGTCATTGGTGTTGTAGTTACCGAAGCACAGACAATTTGGATATGGGATCGAAAAGTTGACAAGCAACGGAACGAGTGGAAGATTCAGTTGCTTTCCCCGTCGCCTTGCTGATGGTCCTTGAAGATGGGCACATTCTCGTTCAACGCTCGAATCGCCACTTGATGTATCTTAAAACCATATAATCTGGGTTGGGGGAGTGGCAGGGATTAGTTAGGCAATCAAGCACAAGTCGCAGAGCAGCTCTCACCTAGGCACAAACTTTTGCTTGGTGCGCTTCGGTCGAACCTCTGGCTTGACCATAAAGAGCATGTGTGGAAAGCCGGTGCCGAAAAAGGCGCCATCGATGGCGGCATGTCGTCCCGATCGTGGCGCATAGACATCATTGCACTTGGGGCAAAAGATGCGCACCATATCCTCGCCAGGATTATCGCTCAAGCCAATGGGCAGCACGGGCTGGCGCTGGCAAAAGACACGCGGACAGAAGCCAAATACGCTCTTCTGATACTTATCCAGCATCAGGTCAATGCCACGATTTGTCAGTATGAAGCGAGCGTGTATCAGGCCATACAGCTTTTGGGCGCTCTGCTCCAGCTCAGCCTGAGGTGGTGTTTCCGACGCGGACTCATGGTCCAGATCGAGTATTATCTCCAGCGCACGGCGATAGTTGTTCACGTTCGAGTCGAGGAAGTTGAGATTGAACTTATCGTGTATATAGTCCTCGTCCACTTCGCAGAAAAATTCGTTTCCGCGCTGCCTGCAGAACCAGGGTATCCAGGCACCCTCATCCGAGTCTGTCATGGTTACCAAATTAAGCGACTGCTAAACACAAATACAGCTAAATAAATAAACGAAAAACAATTCCAATTTGGCTGACTGCAAAGCCGTCGCCTGCTCTCGCCTTCGTCTCAATTTGTGAAGCTGATTAAAAAAATCCTTTCCTCTTCTGCAGTGCTTCACAACGATCGCAATGCTCGTCTGCCTGGCTGCCTGGACACAAGCCGAGCCGCCAGTCCAGAATCAGTATCTGCCGCCCAACCAGTCGCCCCAGGCGCCATCCAACAACTATCTGCCGCCCACACAGAACTATCAGTCGCCGGCCAACAACTATTTGCCTCCTCAGCGCGGCGGCGGCGGCGGTGGCTCGGCACCCAGTAACAGCTATGGCGCACCTCTGCCACAGAGCCAGTATGGCGCACCCGGCCTCACCGGCGCCATCTTCAAGGGACAGAACGGCGGCGGCAATGGCGGCTATGGCGGCGGCAACGGCAACGCCGGCTACGGCCAGCGCGACGAGGAGCAGTATGGCCCAGCGAAGTACGAATTCAAATATGACGTGCAGGATTATGAGTCTGGCAACGACTTCGGTCATATGGAGTCGCGCGATGGTGACTTGGCCGTCGGCCGTTACTACGTGCTGCTGCCCGATGGCCGCAAGCAGATCGTCGAGTATGAGGCCGACCAGAATGGCTATCGCCCAACCATTCGCTACGAGCAGGTGGGCAATGGCAACGGCAACGGACGCAACGGCAACGGCGGCTACGACAGCAACGCGCAGCAGGGCAAATTCAATGGGTATCAGTAAGGCTAAGTGTGCCGTCTAGTGTTTCCAGTTTAGGTCGACCCTCTAACTATATAAACTTGTCCATAAACATTGTTTTTTATATATTATTATTATCGCTAACCGAGCTAAGTATTAAATGCATCACAGTTTGGCATGCACTGGCTTGTCATGCGAAACTCTCTCCCCACGCTGTACGCTATCATCCACACATTCCACAACTCTATTGCTGTCACTCTTTAGTCGAATGCCGCCATATTGCCATAGCCAGGCGCGTTCCGATGTCCAGCCGTTCCACTGTTCCCACTTTGCCCATGCCTGCTACATGTACCGTACTATTTTGCCGTTTGTTTTGTTAAGCGCCTTCATTTTGTGTCGTTCCACAACAGAACACACACACACACACACCAATACACGCAATGTGACCATCACACGCATTCATACATACATATACATAAGCATTGTATTTAGTTTTAAACGAATTCTGATGAAAAATGCATTGGATTGCACTCTTAATGGAAGACAAATGAGATTTTTTGTGTATAAATAATGATAACGAATAAAGAAAGCATTTTTGTATAAAACAAAGTAAAAAAAAAAAACATGAAATATGTATTTTATTTGAAACAGCTTCACATGGAAATTACTTCAGCACGCGCTCCAATTGTCCCTGGCTATTGTACTTATAAACGGGATCCTGCAATTTGCCTACGGCCGAGTACCTGAGCTGTGCTGTCAGATCATCGCCTGCAGTTTGCACCGTGCGATAGAGAACGCGCTGCAGTTTGTTATCGTCTGCAACTATATAGTAACGGCCCTCTTTAATCTTCGATCTCTGCAGATCGCTGGATGGTGCGGGAACTTCTTCTTCGGGATAGTCTATGCGAAAAGTGCCATCAGCTGGGGTTCCATATTGCGGGGATGGTGTTGTTTCGTCTTCCACTTGTTTGGACACTGGCTGCTGCCCCGGCATGTTTGGGGGCAAATAGTTCGAAGCGAGCTGAGCTGCATGCAACGTGCCAGCATGTTCAACACGTTGCCTGCTGATCTCAACACTGGTTTCCAGGTTGCCTGGCAAGCTGAATGGCACGCGAGGACGCCAACCAGCAGGTGCATAAGGCGCTCGCACAGGCGGCTCAGCAGAAATGCCAGCAAAAGCAAAGCCCAACAGAATTAACTGTAAAGCAAAGAAATGAGTAAGAAATCTTTGTTAAGCCAAATCTTCAACTGCAACATACCTTTTGCAGCATTTTGTTTAAAGTTGCATTTGTAACTGCAGTGCAAGACTTTAAGTAGAGGCATTTTTATATCAATGCATTTGCAATATTCAGCAAATGTTTGGCATGGCACGCACGTAACTCCCTGCCTCGCCTGACACACATAGAGCACATCTGTAAACACGTAATCCATCAAAAATAAATCACAACGATTCATTGACCTTGCCACAATTGGCAAGGGTTCAAATCACACATATTTCACGGTGTTTACAGGTATATCCGTTGTCTAACTGTAAAATATATATAGCTTAGACATATTGAATTTATCTAATTTGATAAATTGTAAATACCAAAAGAAAAAAAAAAATTTTAAAAAATATTACGGAAGAAGAATTTCTGAAAGAGCAAATGGCAAATGCTCCATGTTTATTTATGTTAAATATATCACGCAGCAGGTGGGAATCAACAAATTGCGCTTGTTCCGCATTAAATGAATTTTCATAAACAACATCATTAATATATTTTAATTGAACTTTGATTAATGTTTATTAAGATGCCTGATTTCTCTTCATTTATACAAACTATAATTATAATATATATATTATATATATATATATTTATATTTATATATATATTTATATATATATTTATATATGTGTTTTATCTATAAAAAAAAATCAGAGCCTAGCAAGCTATCTGCCTATAAGCTTTATTTTTCATATCTCTGATTTACTTTATCCATAGACTTTCCATTAAAATTAAGTGACATTTAACTTTTCAGAAGTCAGCTTTCTTAAATTGTATGTAAGTCAGTCAGTCAGTCAGAAGAAGGCGTGGCCGACTAAAAAAATGTTACGTATTCATCTTTTCAATTTAAGTCTCTTGTTGTTCAAGCATTCATACAATTTAAATCGCGCGCCAAACGCAGCTGACTTTTAGGGTGACCAGAGGTTTTCAATTTAATGCAGCCCTGAAAAGTGCTTATGAAGCGCAGAGCGCGCGCATTCAAACACAACCGTTTGCTATTAGTTCAAAAGTTTGTTTAATTAAATATTTACACTTTAAGTTAAGCTAAATTTGTAATATTACTTATTTTAATCGCACATAATCTCTTTTAATCATTTAAATTTCCCTTAAAGACAACTGAAACAATTGCAGCTTCCACTGTTAAATAATTTGTTAAGTTTTTGGTATGTTTATTTGATTTATCCTGTTTTCTCTACAACTTGCATTAAATCGTTCAATTTCACTGCTTGCACTATTTACTGTATGTATATATTTAAAACTGGTTAACTTCTACATTTGCCTCCTTACTGCTCGCCAGTCACGCCCAGCTTCTTCTTCAGCGATTCGGGCATCTCTGGTGGTGGTGGGCGTGGCATGCGCAGGAAGACCTTGACGGCATCATAAATGAACCATTGAGCGGCAGTGAGTGTGCCAATCATGACAATCCTAGGCATCAGACCGCCCCACAGACCTGTTTAGCAGTAAATATTTGATTAAACCGAATCTCTCCAGAGGATCAACGCCAGAAGAGGGTTACTTACCAGACCAGCCCAATTGCTTGGCGACATCAATGGCGCTGGCGCCCTTAGCCTGGTTCAGCTTAGAGACGACGGTATCTGCGGGATGGGAGACAATGTGGCGCATAGACATCATTGCACTTGGGGCAAAAGATGCGCACCATATCCTCGCCAGGATTATCGCTCAAGCCAATGGGCAGCACGGGCTGGCGCTGGCAAAAGACACGCGGACAGAAGCCAAATACGCTCTTCTGATACTTATCCAGCATCAGGTCAATGCCACGATTTGTCAGTATGAAGCGAGCGTGTATCAGGCCATACAGCTTTTGGGCGCTCTGCTCCAGCTCAGCCTGAGGTGGTGTTTCCGACGCGGACTCATGGTCCAGATCGAGTATTATCTCCAGCGCACGGCGATAGTTGTTCACGTTCGAGTCGAGGAAGTTGAGATTGAACTTATCGTGTATATAGTCCTCGTCCACTTCGCAGAAAAATTCGTTTCCGCGCTGCCTGCAGAACCAGGGTATCCAGGCACCCTCATCCGAGTCTGTCATGGTTACCAAATTAAGCGACTGCTAAACACAAATACAGCTAAATAAATAAACGAAAAACAATTCCAATTTGGCTGACTGCAAAGCCGTCGCCTGCTCTCGCCTTCGTCTCAATTTGTGAAGCTGATTAAAAAAATCCTTTCCTCTTCTGCAGTGCTTCACAACGATCGCAATGCTCGTCTGCCTGGCTGCCTGGACACAAGCCGAGCCGCCAGTCCAGAATCAGTATCTGCCGCCCAACCAGTCGCCCCAGGCGCCATCCAACAACTATCTGCCGCCCACACAGAACTATCAGTCGCCGGCCAACAACTATTTGCCTCCTCAGCGCGGCGGCGGCGGCGGTGGCTCGGCACCCAGTAACAGCTATGGCGCACCTCTGCCACAGAGCCAGTATGGCGCACCCGGCCTCACCGGCGCCATCTTCAAGGGACAGAACGGCGGCGGCAATGGCGGCTATGGCGGCGGCAACGGCAACGCCGGCTACGGCCAGCGCGACGAGGAGCAGTATGGCCCAGCGAAGTACGAATTCAAATATGACGTGCAGGATTATGAGTCTGGCAACGACTTCGGTCATATGGAGTCGCGCGATGGTGACTTGGCCGTCGGCCGTTACTACGTGCTGCTGCCCGATGGCCGCAAGCAGATCGTCGAGTATGAGGCCGACCAGAATGGCTATCGCCCAACCATTCGCTACGAGCAGGTGGGCAATGGCAACGGCAACGGACGCAACGGCAACGGCGGCTACGACAGCAACGCGCAGCAGGGCAAATTCAATGGGTATCAGTAAGGCTAAGTGTGCCGTCTAGTGTTTCCAGTTTAGGTCGACCCTCTAACTATATAAACTTGTCCATAAACATTGTTTTTTATATATTATTATTATCGCTAACCGAGCTAAGTATTAAATGCATCACAGTTTGGCATGCACTGGCTTGTCATGCGAAACTCTCTCCCCACGCTGTACGCTATCATCCACACATTCCACAACTCTATTGCTGTCACTCTTTAGTCGAATGCCGCCATATTGCCATAGCCAGGCGCGTTCCGATGTCCAGCCGTTCCACTGTTCCCACTTTGCCCATGCCTGCTACATGTACCGTACTATTTTGCCGTTTGTTTTGTTAAGCGCCTTCATTTTGTGTCGTTCCACAACAGAACACACACACACACACACCAATACACGCAATGTGACCATCACACGCATTCATACATACATATACATAAGCATTGTATTTAGTTTTAAACGAATTCTGATGAAAAATGCATTGGATTGCACTCTTAATGGAAGACAAATGAGATTTTTTGTGTATAAATAATGATAACGAATAAAGAAAGCATTTTTGTATAAAACAAAGTAAAAAAAAAAAACATGAAATATGTATTTTATTTGAAACAGCTTCACATGGAAATTACTTCAGCACGCGCTCCAATTGTCCCTGGCTATTGTACTTATAAACGGGATCCTGCAATTTGCCTACGGCCGAGTACCTGAGCTGTGCTGTCAGATCATCGCCTGCAGTTTGCACCGTGCGATAGAGAACGCGCTGCAGTTTGTTATCGTCTGCAACTATATAGTAACGGCCCTCTTTAATCTTCGATCTCTGCAGATCGCTGGATGGTGCGGGAACTTCTTCTTCGGGATAGTCTATGCGAAAAGTGCCATCAGCTGGGGTTCCATATTGCGGGGATGGTGTTGTTTCGTCTTCCACTTGTTTGGACACTGGCTGCTGCCCCGGCATGTTTGGGGGCAAATAGTTCGAAGCGAGCTGAGCTGCATGCAACGTGCCAGCATGTTCAACACGTTGCCTGCTGATCTCAACACTGGTTTCCAGGTTGCCTGGCAAGCTGAATGGCACGCGAGGACGCCAACCAGCAGGTGCATAAGGCGCTCGCACAGGCGGCTCAGCAGAAATGCCAGCAAAAGCAAAGCCCAACAGAATTAACTGTAAAGCAAAGAAATGAGTAAGAAATCTTTGTTAAGCCAAATCTTCAACTGCAACATACCTTTTGCAGCATTTTGTTTAAAGTTGCATTTGTAACTGCAGTGCAAGACTTTAAGTAGAGGCATTTTTATATCAATGCATTTGCAATATTCAGCAAATGTTTGGCATGGCACGCACGTAACTCCCTGCCTCGCCTGACACACATAGAGCACATCTGTAAACACGTAATCCATCAAAAATAAATCACAACGATTCATTGACCTTGCCACAATTGGCAAGGGTTCAAATCACACATATTTCACGGTGTTTACAGGTATATCCGTTGTCTAACTGTAAAATATATATAGCTTAGACATATTGAATTTATCTAATTTGATAAATTGTAAATACCAAAAGAAAAAAAAAAATTTTAAAAAATATTACGGAAGAAGAATTTCTGAAAGAGCAAATGGCAAATGCTCCATGTTTATTTATGTTAAATATATCACGCAGCAGGTGGGAATCAACAAATTGCGCTTGTTCCGCATTAAATGAATTTTCATAAACAACATCATTAATATATTTTAATTGAACTTTGATTAATGTTTATTAAGATGCCTGATTTCTCTTCATTTATACAAACTATAATTATAATATATATATTATATATATATATATTTATATTTATATATATATTTATATATATATTTATATATGTGTTTTATCTATAAAAAAAAATCAGAGCCTAGCAAGCTATCTGCCTATAAGCTTTATTTTTCATATCTCTGATTTACTTTATCCATAGACTTTCCATTAAAATTAAGTGACATTTAACTTTTCAGAAGTCAGCTTTCTTAAATTGTATGTAAGTCAGTCAGTCAGTCAGAAGAAGGCGTGGCCGACTAAAAAAATGTTACGTATTCATCTTTTCAATTTAAGTCTCTTGTTGTTCAAGCATTCATACAATTTAAATCGCGCGCCAAACGCAGCTGACTTTTAGGGTGACCAGAGGTTTTCAATTTAATGCAGCCCTGAAAAGTGCTTATGAAGCGCAGAGCGCGCGCATTCAAACACAACCGTTTGCTATTAGTTCAAAAGTTTGTTTAATTAAATATTTACACTTTAAGTTAAGCTAAATTTGTAATATTACTTATTTTAATCGCACATAATCTCTTTTAATCATTTAAATTTCCCTTAAAGACAACTGAAACAATTGCAGCTTCCACTGTTAAATAATTTGTTAAGTTTTTGGTATGTTTATTTGATTTATCCTGTTTTCTCTACAACTTGCATTAAATCGTTCAATTTCACTGCTTGCACTATTTACTGTATGTATATATTTAAAACTGGTTAACTTCTACATTTGCCTCCTTACTGCTCGCCAGTCACGCCCAGCTTCTTCTTCAGCGATTCGGGCATCTCTGGTGGTGGTGGGCGTGGCATGCGCAGGAAGACCTTGACGGCATCATAAATGAACCATTGAGCGGCAGTGAGTGTGCCAATCATGACAATCCTAGGCATCAGACCGCCCCACAGACCTGTTTAGCAGTAAATATTTGATTAAACCGAATCTCTCCAGAGGATCAACGCCAGAAGAGGGTTACTTACCAGACCAGCCCAATTGCTTGGCGACATCAATGGCGCTGGCGCCCTTAGCCTGGTTCAGCTTAGAGACGACGGTATCTGCGGGATGGGAGACAATGGCGCAGAACACGCCAGCAATGTAACCAGCAGCAAAGGTAACAATCAGCTGTTCACCCTTGGTGCAATCAGCACGTGGCTTGGGCACCACATACTTGTAGAGCAGCTCCAGTGTGCGCTCGAAGCAGGCGAACTTCATCATGGTGTATGGAATCTGTCGCATCCAGAGTGGCACCAGACCCTTGTAGAAGGCCGAGATGCCCTCCTGTGCGGTCATCTTCGGCAGCGCCTCGCGCAGCGTCTTGGCAAATCCAGGCGTTGTCTGTATCTTAACCTTGGCGGCTTCCATGGGCGACAGCGCGATATCCGCAAAGAATTCAGCCGAAGCCGACGCGGCCAAATAGAGGCCGGTTCTGTAAAGGAAGGCGTTCTCCTCGCCAATGGCATTGGCATACATGACTTTGAAGACCTCATATAGACCGAACTTGCACAGACCCTGCATCGAGTAGCCAATGAAAGTGGGCGCCCAGCCCTTGGCCAAGCCCCTGACGCCTTCCTCAGCCAAGCTGACCCGGAAGCCGTTCACCACACTCTTGTACTTGGCCGGATCCACCTGCAGACGGCACTTGACCAAATCGAGGGGCACCACCATCGTGTGGGTCGTACCGCACGAAATGATACCGCCCAAGCCGCACAGCACGAAATAGTGATTGGAGCCAAACTCACAGGAATCTGCAGGAAAAGTAAAATGACTTATTAATGATCCAGCAGCAAACAACTGCTCCAACTGCCAGCTTACCACCCTGAGCAACAGCAGCGGCGGCGAAATTGTGATTTGGGCTTAGCTGACGGGCAGCTCCATCTTTGGCTGAGGGCAGCAGCACGGGCGCAGGCGCGGGCGTCGAAGCAGCCTGACAGTTAACACTGGTGAATGGCGACTTGAACGTTGAGTTCTGAGCGGCCTCGAACAAGGATTTGAACATGTTGGCTAGCGAGGATGCTGTGGAAAAGGTTGAGGTTAATAGGTCATGATGTAATCGGCTGAAGATATCTCTTAAAGCTTACACAGAAGCGTTCAATACCGAAGCTAAAAAACAATCAAGAACATTTTCAAAATTCTCTTTTCAACTTTTCCTTCTTCAATCTATTATCGAACACATATTACCATTGGCATTGATCTTGCCCATTGAGCACATGCCCCGTCGTCATTTCTTTTATTTTTTACATAACTCTCGTTTTTTTTCCTCATTACGCATTACGTAATACGTTCGTGTGCAATCGAAAAAAAAACCAATTGGAAAACAAATGGATTATATAGTGTAGCTATTGGCCTTACCTCAAAGTGCGAGGAAGATTGTGCGGGGTGCAGAACAGAAGCTGAACTCTAGCTGAAGTAGCAAGTTGTCGTTGTTGGGTTTCAGAAAATAGAAACCTAAAAACAACGTTCGTTGTGCGCCAAACCAGAAAACCAAATGCAACTGCCCCAAGCACAAGACAAAAGATTGAGCACAAAATTTCGAACGTAGTGTTGTCATCTTGAGGCGAACTGTATCGGTTAGAAGCGGTTATGAATCGAACAGCTCAGAAATTGCAGCGCTCGAAAGAAATCTTATGACATATCACAAAATAAAGCTGAATACTTAAAAAAAGTTAAAATATATTATTATATATTAAAAATTTGTTTTAAAAAACAAATTTAATCATCATACGAGAGTTTTTCAAAATTCTCTTGTATTCTCTTTGACAACTCTGCTAGAATTTTGTTATTTCTAAATATACGCAACATTTTGGGCACTGAAAATCTGCTATTGAGCAAAATCTATTTTTTTATTGTTGAGTTTGCTGTAAAAATAAATTCATTAACGCGCCGACAGCTGTAGCCGCGAACAGGCAATTGGCTCTCAATCAAGGCTAGGAAGGTTTCCAATATTTCGTTGTAGTTTGTGTAAAATTTTGAAACATTTTATTTAGAGTTTTATATTTATGAACTAAAATCGATAATTAGTAACTTTATGTACTTAAAAACTATTACAAAAATGTATACTCTTGTTTCGAGTCGTTTCGTTACTTTGATAATAAGTACATTTAGTTGATTTAGTGCTTAACGTAGATATATATATATATATCTCTATATATATGTAAATGCTTAAAATATTGGAAGTAGCTGCATAATAATACTTTTTGCTATAAATTACAGTACACGCATGTAAATCGGGTACCTGGACAAAGATGGCAAAGTAGTTAACAATATAAACGACTTAAATATTAAATTGGCTGGCATTTTGTAGAGTTTGAATTGGTTTTCGACATCTGATTCTGATTGGCGGCCAGTTGGACTAACCCACAAAATAACCAAATTGGCAAACAAGCGGACTCCTTAAAAGTTAATTGCAACCTAACGAACTAGCTGCGACTCGACTACGACTCAGCCGTCTCCATGTGCCGGTGCACAGTCACCGGCGCCAGTATATAGTGGGAACGTGGCTCCTCTGCGTCCAGCGGCAGAGTGGTCTGACCATACACAGACGTTGTGCCGCGACATGGCGATGGTGTCGCTTGCTGCTGCTGCTTATAGCGCTCCGTCTTGGTGGCGGGCTGATTGCTCAAATACGGATGCGTATTGGACTGTTGGCGATTTGTGGGACTCGATATGGATGTTGATATGGACATGGTGTCCGATTTGCTGTGCCGCTTGTCGTGCAGCAGCAGCGGCTCCGCCAATGTAAAGCACTGCTGATCGGAGCTATCCTCATGCGGGGTCATGGTGCTATAGCCATGATCCGATTCACCATTCGGCGGTCGCCGATAGTAGCTGCTGCCACTCGACATGTGATACGGCGATATGTCAGCGGCATGCATTAGCTGACGCTGGGCAGCAGCATGATCATATCCGCCCGTGGGCGGCTCATCATGCGCCTGGCAATCGTCAAAATTGAAGCGGGACAGAGGCAGACCGTAATTCTCCTCCTGCACTGAGTCCACGTAGAACTGCTCCAGTGCCTGTGTATCCAGATTGTGCCTATAGCAATAAATGGCAAAGCCTATTACTATGGCCAGCACAACGATAGCGCCACCAAGCGGTCCAAAGGCGGAGTACGCATGTTGTTCCCGCTGTGGATTGTGTGCAGCCAACATCTCCAGCTCATCCAATTCACCATACGGTGTCAGCGATGCAAGCACACCATTAAAGCAGCCCGCTTGGGAGGAGCAGAAGGGCGTGGCGAAGGTATTCCCCTCTACGTCCTGTTGACACCATTCGCAGCCCATCATGCCGAGGCATTCTCGCTGGCTGGTATACGTCTCACAACCACCTCCGCCACCAACAGCGGCACAGCTTGGCAACAAGCTTAACAGCTGCGTGGTGGGTGGCAGTGCAAGGAAATGCTCGCTCGGTGGTGCACAATAGGGAAATTGCCTCGTATAATTCGTATAGTCATCCAGGTCGTTGGCACCAGCGCTTGCCAGCATGGGACATTCGCAGGGACACTCGCAGTCCGTTTGATCCATGCGCTTGCAGTTGAGACAAACCCGATCGATTGTGCTGCATGGACAGAATGCACCGCCATCGCAACTTGAGTTGAGCACCGCCGCGAACAGATTGCTGCCACGTATCAAGGCGATGGCATATTTCGTGCGCTCGCCATGCACCACATTGCTTAGAATTGTGGCCAAGGATGTGTTGAACGCGTAGTAGCGTTGCAGCGTACGATTCTGATAGCTGCCACATCCCAGTTTGCGCACCAGCTGGCCATGATTTAGCATATCGTTGGCAAGATATGATTCCTTGTGCGTCAGATGCTCGTGAGGGCGGCGTTGATTACGTGTGTGTGTGGACACCTGCAGCATGCTAGGATGCGCCAGCAAATAGCCTTCATGCTCGAACAGCAGGCACTTCATATGTGGCTGTTGGCACAGCGGGGTGCTGTCCAATATAAGGCGATAGTAAAAGGCGTAGGGTACATCCAACGCGACCACAGCCACAGGTCGATCCTGCTGTGCCGAATGTAATGCATCCGCTTTACCCTCAAAAATTGTATGCGCTATAGTCACGATATAGCCTGCTCCGCCAGCATCTAGATACGGTGCTGTGCTGACGATACGGCCCGGCTGGGCCATGGCCTGCCGGAACCAAGGTCGCCTGGTTGCATCATAGCTGCTGCTTAACAGACAACCTGGATACAGCTGCAACACGCCACTGACACTGGCTATATAACGTCGGATAATATGACCATGCAACGATCCACCCGAATCCTGATGCCGACGCCGTAGCTGTTGCATGGCCTGGTATAAAACGACCACCTCGTGTCGTATGCGAGGACGTAGACCGGGATTGGCAAACAAACCCCGCGAATCACGCAAATAAGCCATAATGGATTCCACCTGACGCAACTGCGTGCGAGGTCGATTGTTATGCAGAAAGGCAAAGGGCGAATTAAAGGCAGCAGCACTTAGGAAAAGAGTAGGCGCATCTGAAAGAAAAGAATTAGAGTATATATATACATCGATCTGTGCGCTTAAAAGTCACTGTTACTCACCCATTGTGGCCAGCTGCCTGAAGTAGCGGCAGTTTGTGGGCGCTCCAGTGCCAACATTTTGCAACAAATCCAAGCGGTGGTACAATATATCCATGCTGTCGGCGTAGTACCCATACTCATAACTAGACACAGCATCCAATCGATTGTAACGCTGCTGTGGAGCGGATGTATTATGAGCGGCAGTGCCGCTGATGCTGGAAGTGCTCACTAGACAGAGTAAATAAATGCCCAGCACGGATTGCCAGTGATAGGTGCGCAGCAACTGTTGGCGACCCAAATATATGACACTGCTGGCATTGCCGTGCTCTTCGTGCAGCAGACGGTGCAGAACGCTGGAAAAATCTGTGGCATTCTCAAGGTAAGCTATATTAACTGGATATGCTGTTTCACGCTGGATGAGAGGCCGAGGGAAAGCCGGATGGGCTAAAGTATTTCCAGTGTCCCGATCCAGCAGAAAGGCATAGCTGAAGCCCTGCTTGGCAGCAGGCGAAGCATTCGGATAGTTAAGCAAGTCCTCCAGCAAATCAGCCAAGTACAAATTCACGCCCACAACACCATATGGCGGAACGGCATGTGTAATAGCAACCAGAACATCTAACAGATACAACAGACTAAGTTAAGCAAGGAGCTGAGGGAATACAATAGACTTACCTCCACTCTCGGCATCCACAACGGGCTGATGTACTTCCAGTGAGTCTATGAGGAAACGCTCTGAGAAAAGCTGTCCAAAGACACGGCTGCTCGCTCGAGGTATTGTTTCCGCATGCATCTTGTTAAGCACAAAGAATCGGCCTGCCAATTGCGCCTCCTGGCCAGCGGGCAGCCATGCACTCACATCAATATCGAACTTCGTATAGTTCTGCGTGGCCACATCACTGAGGAATTGTTTCTCATACATTATGCGCTTCTCATCGAGTACTACGGCGCATGTGTTGATGATAACCGGCGATGGCAGACGACTCTGGCCCTGGGCCAGCACACGCAACACATGCATGGCATCCGACAGATTTGTAAGCAGTCCACGCGTCACATAGACAAACTCAATGGGTTGCTCTGAAACATTTACCAGTTGTGCTTGCTGCAGTCGATGCAGCATTTCGAAGGCATATTCAAAGCCCAATGTGTGATTGATCATGCCACGACCCAAGCTCAGATTATTCACGTAGCTAAGAATCTCATCCTTGTGTGCTCGTGTTGCGCTATATATGCCGTGAACAGCGTCGCCAGGAAAGGCATCCAGATACATAAAATCCGCCTCGCTTGATATAGTCACCAGAGATACATAGTCGGTGTCCTCCAATAGTAGCAGCAACTCTTGAACTGTGGGAAAGTGTTCAAAATAAATTAGTTATCAAGTCAAGATACTAATTCCTTACCAAAGCTTTTGGTTATTTCAAAGAGCTCCGCATTCAATGCAGATCCCACATCTATGAGCAGCATCACAAACTTTCGTTTGATGGCGGAAACGTATAGACGGCGAAAATATGCAGTGCCTAAAGCCCCATCACTGCTGGAGAGGAAATAAATGTGCTTGAAGTGGCTGAAGCTGCTGCTGCTGGTGCTGCTAGCTTTATTTTTGTGTTTGTTCTTGCTGCTGTTTGCCTCGTTGTCACTAGGATTAGTGCTCAAGAGCTGCCGCAATATCGCTAGCTGATCGGCAATATAGCTATTGGCTGCTAGCGATCGTCCATTGTTTTCATTCAGGAATGTGGCGCGCGATACTTCATCCGATTTGAGATAATTTAAGATTTGTATTTGCTGTTTATTATAATGAGCCGAGGCCAAGGATACGGCGTCCACATTCGACTCGTAGTATGGTTGACATTTCTCAATTTGCGTATTTAGATAGAGATGCATATGATCATTGTTAGCCGCCGTATTCTTACTCTCTTCCTCCTCCACTTCAAAGTCAAATTCGCTTTGTTGCTCATCATCGCCGTCGTCGTCATAGCTGTGCTGCTGGAGTAGCACTTTACTAAGATTGAAGCGTAATAAGTCCCGCAGTTCAAGTACAACATGTGTTGCTCTCTGCAGCTTTCGTCCCAGACGCTGGCTAAATGCTTGCAGATCCTGCTGCACGGTTTCATTGTCGTTGCCAGACGACAGCCGCGTGGTAACAGAACTCGCAAAATGAATAGAGTCAAAGATTTCCTGCAAGGATTCGATGAGAGTTACAGCCGAAACAGCAGTCAAGGAATATCATAAGACTTACTTGTATTTTGGTTACGAGCATCTCAACATTACGTATACTATGTAACTTGTTCTCCACATTGTGCCTTAGCTGCACAACGTTCTGCTGATTGTAGTTGACGAAGAAAACACTTGCTGGAGTCTGCTGGAGCGGCATATAGCCGACAGCAGCATTGGACGTAGGCACTTTGTAATTATTGCTAGTTATGGTTTCATTTGTTATGGTTGCGTTTTTGCGTATGCTTAGAGGTAGAGGAGGAACATGTTCATTGCTTGGTGATGTATGGGCACTTGCCGCCAGGAGTAGGAGCAGCGCAATGCCGCCCCACATCTTGCTGTTTTCCTGGTAGGCTCTAAAAGCCACGACTACCGCGTCATTTATATAAAAACAAAACTATTTTACTGTAATACTTTTATGCTGCTGCAAATGCTGCTGCCCGATAATCTATGATATCGGTCGATAAATTTGATCGAGAACTCCGCATTTAACATCCACACCAATCGAAACAATTGTATATTCATGACGATATATTACTCATAAGTAACGATATTTTTTAAGTATCGAAACTAAATTTTGATTCGATGATAAGAAATTGCCTTTATACTACCATCGAGTGAATCATAATAAGAAACGATATTTTGTAGGTATCGAAACTAAATTGTGAATCGACGATAAGAGAATAACATTACACTACCGTCGTGTGAATCATAAAAGAAGTTATTAATTTTAACAAACAATGGCCGCCACCTTGAAACCGTATTTGACCGCTGTCCGACACTCCTTGACTGCTGCAATGTGTCTACATGATTTTCCATCGCAAGTTGTGGAACGGCACAACAAGCCGGAGGTGGAAATTTGTTCCAGCAAAGAACTGGTGCTCACGCCTATCGTTGTGTCTCGCAATGAGAGAGAGAAGGTGCTTATTGAGCCGTCCATCAATTCGGTACGTGTAAGCATTGCTGTAAAGCAGGCAGATGAAATCGAACGCATTCTTTGCCACAAGTTTACACGCTTTATGATGCGTCGCGCCGAATCCTTTATCATACTGCGGCGCAAGCCAATCGATGGATACGATATTAGTTTTCTGATAACAAATTTCCACACGGAACAAATGTACAAACATAAACTAGTGGACTTCGTCATTAGTTTCATGGAGGAAATCGATAAAGAAATTAGTGAAATGAAACTTGCGGTGAATGCGAGAGCCCGCACCTGTGCTGAGGAATTCTTGAAGCGCTTTTAGTATAATGATCAGTAACTTACGAAAGTATTACATAATTGATTCAATAAATAAATATGTGTTTTTTAAAATAATACATTTTTTAAACTGTATATTAAAGGGGAACATTCTGTAGTCTGTATTCATATTGACAATTTACTGTTTGCTCTTATCATCAAACACCCACCACTCGATATGTAGGTCGATAGTAAGGACAATGTTTCCTTTAACCGATTAAAATATTATATTGAAGTCTTTTAGGCATGTTGACTTTTGTTTCTTAAACTTGCAAAAGTAAGAACTATCCTTTAGAGCAAATTTAATTTTTATTTATCACTTTTCAAAAAGAGATAAGCTATATTTAGTCTGTCAGAGGTTTGTAACTAAGAAAAAATTACTATCTTTGACTTACATAATAATAACGCAATAACAATAATTACTATAATAATAAATTATTATTAATTTTATTATTACATTTATTATTATTAATTTATCCAAAGCAAAATGGAAAAAATTACGAGATCTGGCCCAATTCATTAATTTAAATCTTCCCGCTTTTTTGTATGTTCATTTTTATTTTTACATTGTACAACACTGATGCGTAACAGCCCTGCGTAACTCAATATCAACAAACGAAACACGCGGAAGGCTCTAGATTGGGCTGAAATTTGATTTGATTTGAAAATGGTAGCGACAAAAGTTAAGAATAACGCAAATGTTAAGCAAAAGAAATCCAAAACCGATACCGATATAGCAGCGCTTAAATCGAGTGGCTGGCAAAAGGTAAAAATTAAGGGCCATGTGATATCTAACGACTTTACCGGTTACGAAGGGATGATCGGCCTGGAAGTTCTCAAAGATTACGATCCAGCGCTGGTAAAGTCGACTCAGAAACAGAGCACCGAAGGTAGATATGAAAAGAGTAACCGACGGAAGCGATCCAAATCAGCAAATGATTCTGAGGAGTCGTCTAGCGAAGAGGAAGACAGCGACGATGATACTGAAGATGAGGCAGCAACCAAGAAGTCCAGTAAAAAGAAAGCTCTGCTGGCCGAACGACATGCACTGAGACTTCAGAAACATCGGGAGAAGCGTGAAAAACGTAAGGAAGATCGAAAACAAAAGAAATCGGCACCCTCTACAAAGCAGGCCAAACAAATCAAGCCACAATTCACGCCAAACGAAGGCTATGCTCCAGATCGTTTTGCGTTGCTTCGACCGCCGCCGCCGTCAGATGATGAAGAGGAAGAGCTGGAATGTGCGGAGAGTGCCGAGGATGAGGAAGTGCCAGAGCTTGTGTCATGTGAGTCATTACCAAGCAAGCTAGATATGACGAAATGGCATGGAATGGGCGTGCCAGAGCCAATTATGCGAGCTTTGGCGGAGCTGGGCTATGAAGCGCCCACTCAAATACAGGCCATGACGCTGCCTGCGGCAATTCATGGCAAGAAGGATATTTTGGGTGCTGCGGAAACTGGAAGTGGCAAAACTCTCGCCTTTGGCATACCCATCCTCTCAGGCATAATGGAGCTGAAGCAACGCAATGACGGCACTGGTATACGAAAGGCGCCAAAGGTTAAAGGAGATCGACCGGTAGAAGTGGCGCCGCCATCAAAGGATAATCACGAGCTGACGCCGCCGCCAGAAGAGCTGGATTACGTGTCCGGCGCTAGTGATGAAGACAGCGACAATGAGCAAGACCAACAGGGAAAACAACGTCCACTCTACGCTGTGGTGCTAACGCCCACCCGTGAATTGGCTGTGCAGGTGAAAAACCATTTAGTCAGTGCGGCTAAATATACTGGCATTAATGTCGCAGCCATCTTTGGCGGCCTGTCTGTGGCCAAGCAGGAGCGCGTGTTGCGTCAATGCCCCGAAATTGTGGTTGCCACGCCGGGGCGACTCTGGGAATTGTTTGCACAGGGCAATAACCATCTGAGCAAGATTGAAAATGTTAGTTTTCTGTGCATTGATGAGACCGATCGCATGGTGGAGAAGGGACATTTCGAGGAGCTGCGAAGTCTGCTCAAAGTGCTTAATGCAGATGAGGATCGCAAAAAGCTGCGACAAAACTTTGTCTTCTCTGCCACTTTAACGCTCGTCCATGATCTGCCCGATCATATGCAAAGTAAGTAGAGTTGAATTACATGGATCACACAGTTCCTAATTTTGAATATCATAGAACGTAATCTGGCCAAGCGACCCAAGTTCGTCAAGCAAACTGTAGATCAAAAGATTGAAAGCCTAATTGAAGAGTTGGGCATATCGCAGCCCAAGATTGTGGACATCACCAACAGTCAGCGTAAGTAACTTGCAGAGCTAAGAAATTTATTTTTAATTATGTTTCAACCTCTTTTTAGAAACGGCTCAGACGCTCACCGAGAGTCGCTTGCTGTGTGCTATCGATGAGAAGGATTACTATTTGTACTATTTTGTACAACGTCATCCTGGTCGCACGATTGTCTTCTGCAACTCTATTGATTGTGTCAAGCGTCTAGCCACGCTGTTCGGTTTGCTGGACTGCAATCCCTTGCCACTGCACGCAAATATGATTCAGAAACAGCGACTGAAAAATTTGGAACGTTTCCGTGACAATCCGATTGGGTTGCTGATTGCCACCGATGTGGCTGCCCGTGGCTTAGATATACCCAATGTTGAGCATGTCATACACTACCAGGTGCCACGCACCAGTGAGAATTATGTGCATCGCTCAGGTCGCACAGCGCGTGCCAACAAACATGGCATAACCGTGATGTTTATGGAACCTGGCGAGGTGAAGACCTATGTAAGGTTATACAAGACGCTGGAAAGAAGTAGGTTACCAAAATTGGAAATCGGGAATCATAGTTAATATCAAGCGTTTTGCTTACAGCTGAGGATTTACCCCTGTTTCCAATCTCTGAACGTTTCTTGGGCTCTGTAAAGGAACGCGTTAACCTGGCCCGTGAGCTGGACAAAGAGGAATTAAAGTTGCGACGCACTCAAAGCGAAGAGGGTTGGATGAAAAAACATGCTGAGGAAATGGATATGATCATTGATGGCTACAACGATGAGTCGTAGGTGGACATGTGCTCATGCTAGTCATTATTGTAATACTTTTATCTGTTGTAGTGGTAGCGACCAGGACGAAGATGCGTTTGTCATTGAAAGGAGGCGCAATCGCTTGCATGTGGACACAGTACGAGCACAACTTAGCGCACTATTATCACGGCCTATTTTTCCCAAGGGATTCAGCTTCAAATATCCCACCAGCACGGGTCAGCTGCCCTCGGGCACGGATATTGCCAGCAGTAATTCCCGAAGCGCTGTGGAAACAATGAAGGCAGCCATCGAGGACATGAAACTGGCCAAGCAGCAGCGCAACAAACGCAAACGCAATGTGTAAATAAATATATGCTAGTTTACTGTACAAATATATAAATATTAACAAGGATGCATTCAGTGCTTGGAAACAAAGTAGCGTGTGCCAGCCTCGGTGAGGGAACGTGCGTGCTTGGCTAGTAATGTGGACACAGAAAGCGCAGGCGTCGTAAAGCAGCTGCAATGATAAAGAATTTGTTTCAAATAAGAAACTGTCAATGATTGAAGTTTCTGTTAAGCTTACTCAATGTATGGCTCCATCTCCTCCAGTGTCCATTTGCGTTTCGTTTTGAATAAGGCGCGCATGCGATCATTAATATTGGATGGCAGCTGCTCCTCAGCCAGGGAACGCACACAGGGCTGGGCACCCTCCTTATCCAAGATGCCCAATCCCCGCAAATACTCGATCTTACAGCTCATACCTTCCGGCAGTGCCTCCTGCCAGGTGGCCATAAACTCATCGTTGCGAAAACGCAGACCTGGTTGCAAAATATTCTGTGCAACAATCCGTGCCACAAGTGACTCTTGATATTTGAACTTGTTGGGGCAACGATCACTGGGCTTTGTATAGATATCAAACAGTCCAGCTACAATTGGTTCGGGAGCAATGCCTTGCAGAGCATAAATTGTCTCTTCGCGTTCCACCTCATCCAGTGCCCAAGAGTTTTCACTAATCAGTCCAAGCATTAAGGTAATTATACGATATTCGTACTCGTAGTCGAGGATGCGTATATGACCATCGAACTCGAGCGCCCTGTACTGGTGGAGTCCCTCAACAAACTGTGCCCGACTGCACTGCACTGTATTCAAAAGTTGTTGGAAACTGAACAATAGCTTGCGCTCAATACAATATTCGTTCTCTGGACCGGAGTAGCGAGTCAGCTGTAGCAATTCACCGAGCTTACGATATCGTGGTCTTATCTCACGACATTCAAAGTATTCATGAAATATAGTGAGCACCTGCCTCTGTTCTAAGGTGCGGGGCACCTCCAAATCATCATCGGCACTGTCGTTGAGACTACGCTCAAGCGAGGTATTCGCATTGCCTGTACGTGGACTCTTCAATGGGGAAGTACTCGTTGCAGCAGCAAACTTTAAATCGGGCACCAATAATAAACTATTTGAGATCTCAGCGCCCTTCACGTCGTAGGTGCGTTCATCTGTGCAGAGCACAACCTTCTCATGCAAACCGCCTTTAAAATGCAACGTTTGGCCGGTACGAATCTGTTGCAACATGTGCTCATCCAACTCCAGCAGCCGCAAATTATCACTGACAACATTAGCGCTTGGATAGTACAAAGCCTGCGTTAGTTGTGTGAGCTGGCGTTCATCCATTTTTGCATGCCTCACAATAGCCTTGACGTCTTCCGCTGTTCGCACATAGCTAAACAGTATAAATAATGTTATAGTAATTCAACTATTTATTTATATTTTTTAAAAACTTACTGCTGCGGCGCATTTTCATCCACTTCCATGTCCATCGCATGTGTTGTCCGCCAAAAACTGTTTTAACAAAATGGATTCAAGCGTTGCCGTACTATTAGAAATGTATTTGCTGCTAGCAAAATGTAATAAAACCGAGTAAATAGTTCATAATTATATAGTAGTGTAAGTATATAGACTAAATATGTAATATCTAATATGTATATGATATTCTTAGCCATATACATTTAAATATATTATACATAAACAACGCAATGTATTCAGTGTAAATCGTTCGTTGCCACCCAGTTTTAACTCGCCATAGTCACGGTTACTTTCATTATGTGCCTGCATACTAGCCTTCAACAACAGGTACTAGTCAGAGCATGTGCGATTTGCTTACAAAGAAACACAAATGGAGAACCTGGCGACGAAGAAGAATTGGACTGATGAAGAACGGCTAGAGCTGGCGGCGCAGCTAGATGCTCAGCTTGATGAGTTCATAGATGGCTTGGAAAAGAAACGATATGAAGAAGGCTGGCCAGAAGATCGCTGGCAGGAGGAAATGGACAAGCATCCGTTTTTCATGAAGAAAACACCACAGCCCGGCGATGAGGTGCATCCCATGTTTGAAGGTCTGCAGAAGCTCAAATATGATCCGGAGGAGAATACGCTAGAAGAGCTGGCACTCAATTACAAAGAGGACGGCAACTTTTACATGAAGCACAAGAAATTCCGCATGGCAGTCTACTCATTCACTGAAGCCATCAAAACAAAATGTGAAAATCAGGATGTTATGGGTGTGCTCTATAACAATCGCTCCGCTGCCCATTTCTTTATAAAGAATTATCGTTCGGCCTTGAGTGATGCACAGCGTGCTCTGTTTTACAAACCAGACTATACGAAGGCACGTTGGCGTGCTGCGCAATGTGCTCATGAATTGGATAAGTTTGATGTGTGTACGAAGCTCTGCGAGGAGCTGCTTGAAGTGGATATCGATCACAAGGATGCCAAGGCGTTGCTGCATAAGAATAAAATGAAAAAGGTTAATATTTTGATTTATATAACTGACAAATTTAATCAATTCCATTGACGTTGCCTTTCAGCTCGATGTGGAGCGCAATCAGCGCAAGGAAGCTGCCGAGACAAAGCGCAACTTGGCCCGTTTCCAGAAGCTGCGTGCAGCGTTGGAGCAACGCGCTATCAAATTTGATGATCAACCAATTAATAAACGCGCCAATATTACGGAACAATTGCTGGTTCCAAAGTTTTTACCCCTAGAGGATTATCCAGTACATTTGGATGCTGATGATAACAGCACCTTGATTTGGCCCGCTGCCTTCTCTTATCCCGAATTCCTACTCAGCGACTTTCAACAGCAGCTGCCAGAGACGGCCACCATGAAGGATTGCCTAAACACACTCTTCGCCGAACCGCTGCCATGCGATAGGACTCTCAGCTATCGTCCGGATAATGTTAATGTCTACTATGAGAATCGCAAAGCTGCCTGTGTGCACAAGGTGGATCCCGAGAAGACATTAAGAGAGATTATAAATGAAAAGGGTTTCTTTGTGTCCGGCGGCGCTTTGCTGTTCTATGTGGTAACAAAGAATACGCGCACGGAACAGGAGTTCATACATCAACAGCGACGACCCATGGTCTACAGTTGAGTGGGAATGGGATGACTATCATAAGCATAAACATTGTAATTTTAGTAGTTGTTAACAAGCAGTTGAGTAATTTTTATTGTTCTTAAATTTCATTTGCTGCGAAAGTATATATATTTATATATTAGTCACGGTACATATGAGCCTTGTTAGCGCTGTAAAAGAAGCTTTTTCATTATCCATAGTTCATATATCCTGGCAGAAGAAGCTTACACATATTTTAATATGTGCTACATATATAATAAAGATCTGTGTTTGTAAGACTTTGGACATTTGGTTAGCTAATTTCGATTTTACAATTAGTTTGATATGTTGCGAAGCATTTGATAGCATAATTTTTAATTTTTTTATAATTTAACTAAACTACATCAAATATAAGTGAACATATTTAAGCGTAATCTCACATAGAGCTGGAGAGTTTGACGAAAGCGCATTAAGCTTGTCTAAAAGTATTTTTGTTTTACTCTCATTTCGTTAGTTAAAATAAGTCAACAATAGTTTTTGTATAATTTGTGTTTTGTATATATGGTATAAAAGCGTTTTCGATATTATTCTATATAATTGAGCACACTTAAGTGTATAAATTGATATACAATGTATATAGGAAAGTACACTGCATAGACTCGCATTCCCAATATGGGGCGGGGGGGTTAAACAACCATTAGACACAACAGCAGATATCAGATATGGCTAAAACTGGTTTTCTCTTACAATGATATGATCAAATCGTAGCGTAGCTTGACTTAATTGATACTATTTTATGGCAAAACAGGATTTACATAGGAGGCTTACGAAGCTAAGCGTTTTCAATACAATCTAAATAATCAGTTGGCTAAAAGGAAAATCACATGCGAACTAAACATTTAACTTAATGCTACTTACAATAACAACAACAATGATAATAATAATAACAATTATGATATCTATTACTGAGGCGTTGCTGGAGCTGCTGCTGCCACATTCCTTTGAAGCACATTGTTGAGACGCAGCTTCAGTGGCGAGAAGTCAATTTTCTTAAAGCGTGGCAACGAGGCGAACTTCTTGGTGTTACTCGATGACTGTGGCACGTGCTGCTGCTGCTGTTGCAGCTGTTCTTTGGGTGAATTGGTAGCTGACTGAGATTGTGTCATGGCTGTTTTCAGTTGCTGCTGCTGCTGCTGCTGCTGCTGCTTGGTGGGTGAGTTGCCAAACTTGGCGAGTGTTGCATATTTTTGTAGCATGCGCGTTGCACGCTCGGCTGCCTGATAACAATGCTCGTATTCATCCTCCAATTGACTGGACTTCGATTTGTTTTTCGATTTACTTTTAATGTTGTTTGAGCTGTTGCTGTTGCTGCTGCCGCCGCCGCTGCTGCTGCTGGGGTCGGGCGCTTGGCCGTCGTCAAATTTGAAATCAATATTTTGCAGCATGACCAACTGCAGCAGCTCCTCCTCGCCCTGTAAGTCATTGTTATTGTTGTTATTGTTATTATTACTAATACTTTGTCGCTTTGTTGCATGGGTGACAGCATAGACACCATCTGAGATTTTATGGGCGGCAGTCTTCTTGTTTAACGTTTTAGTCTTGATCGACGATGACGCCGACGATGATGATGATGATGATGAAGTGTTTGATTTGTGCCTTTGTTCGATAATCTGTTGGGGCGATGATATATAGAGATTCTCTTTGCGCTCGCGACGCACCTTGGCGCTAACCAAATGACGCACACCTGGCGCTGTTTCAGCACTGCTGGGACTGCGGCGCTTCGACTTGAACGTATCGCAGCTATTGGGATAATACGAGGGTATCTTGTCATCCACGCTTATGATCGATTTACGCGGTGTTTGATAGTAGTCCTCCTCCTCCCGCTGTTCCGAGTTGGGCGTCTGCTGCAGCTTCGGTGGCAGCGCTGGCAGCAACGGCGATTCGGTGGGTGTGCTGGTGCTCAAGCCGAAGCCAAGATTGAGTGGCTGCTGCTCCAGCTCCTGTGATGCCTTCACGGCCAAAAGATTCTCATACAGATGCTCGGCTAAGACGCTGTTGCTGTTAAGCGATGTCACATGCATCGATTCATATATATCGCTGTCGTTGTGCACTGCAGCAGGCTGCAGCTGTGCAACATTTGTTGCCTTAGCTGCCTGCTCCTGGTCCGTATTACAGCTGCTGGTGGATGAGCAATAGGAGCCTGTCGAATAGCCAGATGTGGTGGATGCAGTGCTGCCGCTGGGTTTCTTCTCCAATTGGGCTACTCCGTTGCTGCTGCTGCCTGCCAACTTTTGTACAATAGGCGCCATCACGCAGTAGCCATTGAGTTCCTCGACTAACACATTTTTATTGCGCTTGCCATGCGATACAGCTCCATTTGCGCCAATAAGATTGATGGTGGATGTGTTGCAGGCAGAGAAATTAAAGTTGTGAGGCAACTGCTCCGACACATTCAGACTGGCCAGCGAGTCGGCTCTGCTTAGTTGGCCAGCAACAATTTGGGCCAGCAGCACCTGACGCGAATCGTGCTCAATGGCCGAGTCCTCGAGGCTAATGTTCAGCTCATCGCTGGACAGTGCCTCGCCAAAAGTGTCCAGAAAGTTGAGCTTGGACAGATCTGGACTGGAGAAACTATTGCGGTGAGCGTTTCTCATAGTTGCAGATACACGTTTCGCAGGCAACGCCGCCTCTGGCGTGGGAGCATTTTCATAGAGTGCCAACTGTTGATGCTGCAGTTGCTCCCCTTCTTGCTCTGTGGCCGGCTGTAGTTCACCGACGCTGGCGCTGCCCGAGCGACGCTTCTGTCCAAAGAAGTTGTCCAACATGTTCTTGTACTTCTTTTTCTTGGCCAGCTCAGACTCGGGATTGGTACTTGAGCGCGGTATCTCTCCCGGCTGCAGCTCGAATGTGTTGATGCGTTTGCGATGCGCAGGCAACGGGGGCAATACAGGTGGCGTCTCCACAAGTGCACCAGATGCCAAATTCATTTCCTCATAAATGCCCGATGCAATGGAGGCACGCGAGATGCGACTGCCATCAAATATTTCCTCATAGATTTGCGAGACACGTGCAGAAAATGAAAAACTATTTGCATCCAGATCAAAGCAAAATGATTCCGGCACATTTGGCAGTGGGCCGAGTGCTTTTTGAGCGCTAAAATAGAAATTGTGTAAGAATATTAAAATTGTAATCTTGTAAATATTAAATATATCGGAAACCCATTCCATAATCTGGAACTTCTCTAAACAGACTAGAGTAAACAGACTTTACTCTCCAAATTAGTCAAAAATGTTGGTACTGACATAATTGCTTAATAGGGCTGTCCGCTTGTCGGAGATTTCACTGTGTTTATATACAACATACGCCTACCTTGTGTCCCGACTGAGTCTGCGCTGCTCCAGGAAGACCTGTCTATACAATTCCAGGTTTTTGATCGACTTCTTAATCCATTTCATGTGCCTACGACAGGACGTCTCCGTTTCCAGTGCAAAATATATGAAGCAATCGCGACGATTTTGGGTCCAAAAGAGTCCATACGAGTGCTGCTTGGTGCGCGAGGTGGCCATGCTGATGCTCACGCCTGGCACATTCACTGAAACAGTGAACAGTTTTTGTTGCTGTTGCGGCTGTGGTTCGTCGTCGGAGAGGCTCTGAAAGCTGAGGCGCAAAAAGCAGGGCACACATTTGATGGCTTCGATCTTTACCAGACATCTGGTCCAGGTTTTGTAGCGCAGTGCAATGGCGCGCTTGTCATGTGTATCCAATTTGACGTCCATGCACATAGATATTTCATTGTGATCCATGTTTAAAGTGTTTGGATGGTGGTAATGTGCGTATGTGATGAATGGGTAATGATTTTAGCTGATTTTGTTTTATTTTTCTATTATTTTACATGTTTTCTTTCATTTTTTCTTTTCGCTTCACTGCTAATAACGGTGAGGGTGGAGCTCAGTGAAGAAAACAGCCAGAAAACACAGTGTGTACACATTCATTTGAGAGCTGAACGATATGTACACAATATCGAACGTTAGCCGATAAGCAATGCAATTTAAATGGAATTCGCTGGTATTTTAAGCAATTCCTTGCACGGTAACACTATCAGCAGTTAATGTGAATTTTCCGTGGGACGTTGACGTTTTTGTCGTTTGTGCCGAATCAATCATTGCGCTCGTGTTAGAATTCAAGTTCGCATTTCTTGACAAAAGAATTGTATAAATAAATTAAAGACGTGTGTGTGAATTTTTTATATCGCCAAGCCAGAGGCCTGTAAACAGATTTTTAAAAAAGTATTTTCGGTTACGCACGATTTTTACGCAACGAAAGCAGCTGCCAGAAATTGCATTTGAAGGCGGGGTGGGGTAATCCAAAGAAGAAGACGAAGAAGAAGAAGGCAACAGCGGATAGCAAAAGACATCAAAGTCTGCGCATCGAAATAAAATAAATAGAAAATATAGAAAAAAATAGCCAAGTGTGTAATTGTTGGCAGTTGATACAAAGTCTCAAAATCTTTTGCTAAAAATAGTTCACCATGGCGCGCTTGAAACATTTCTAATTTTTTTTAACAAAGAGTTGTGTGTGAGGAAATAGCGATTTATTTTTGCATTCGGTTGAGTAAGTAAAAAATACGAACAAATCAATTTCATATACATATAAATAATTTTTTCAGTGGCGCCTACGTCACACGCTGTATGCGTGGGCGTGAATCATGCATAAATATATACATATGTACATATGCATATAGATATGTATGTATGTGTGCATATAGATATTTTCGCACACTTGTTTCCACATTGATTTTCCCTTAGCACGCGCACGTGCGGCTTTCCAACTGGTCGCCATTTAGTTGTCCAATTGGACCAATTTATATTGAAATGCATGCAAGCGCAAGCACCCTCAAAAGTGTTCTTTTGCTATGTTATTGTTGTTACTGATGTCAGCTGTTGGAGCGCATAAAAATTTTCCATGCCGTGGCTCTAGTTTTGATTTGTTTAGTTTGTGGAAAATTTTGCCACCCTAAATAAAAATGTTTGTTGCGCAGGTAAACAAACAGCTTCAAATGTGACCGTGTTTGCCGGCCGTTTATCATTAACAACAACAACAACGAAAACAGCAGCAGAAACAGCAGCAATGCAGTGCAGCTTTTACAGCTTTTGCGGGCAGCAACAAACTTGCAGCAAGCGAAAGCTCTTTCGAATTATCTAGAGAAATTCGCTTGCACTAAAAGTTTATTGCCCTTTTTTCAAGGCAATTAAAGGATATAAAGAAGGGGAAAACCCCAATTTAAGGTCTTTGATCTTTTAACATTATTTAATTTATATAAATTATTAAAACAAAAAACAAAATATTCCACTAATTGCACTGATAATTAATTCTGGTTTTTATCTATTCTAGATTTCTTATATAATACATTTATCTGTTCTTTTATATAATATTAATAAGTGTAACACACATTTTCTTCAAATTTTCTTGCAGTAAATCTGGACTTTAAATTAATATTCAAAGTGCATAAATTGCATTAAATAAGATTTTGTTGTTTTAGAAGTGTGCCAATTAAACGTCTGTTATCAAAATGTCGCGTGCAAGTAATTTAGAGACTAAACAGTTTAACTGTTAATCTAAAACAATAAAAAAATTTCAAACATTTGTAATACAGTAAAGCATTCCATTAAAATATAATTGAAACTGCATAAAAAACGTGTGTGCGTGTGTTTGTGTGTGTTTCGGGCAGTGCAATAGGAATCTGGAAGTAGGAAGCTGGAAGTATTGGACTGGAAAGCTCTTTGTAAACTGTATCACATTCCAGTAAGATAGTAGCTCGCGCAACTCTCTCGCTCGCTCACACGCTCACGCTCTCTCCTTGTCGATTGCATCTGTTCGAGTTGTGATAACGGTTAAGCGCCTAATGGCAAGTTCGCTAAACAAGACGAGACACAGGCGCAGATTGGCTGCGATCTCGTTTCTATCGAATATCTCATTAGATGGCACACATCGGGACACAAAATTTGGCGCAACATTTGGCAGCAGCATCTGCACGCAGCAGCAGCAGCAGAAGCATTATAACAACAACAACAACCACAGCAGCAGCAGCAGCAGCAAAGGCAACGCAACGGCAGCGTTGGGACTCGGCGCCGGCGGTTATCATCAGCATTATCAACGAAATCATCAGCAGCGCAGTAGCCAAGCGCAGCAGCAGCAGCAGCAACACCACCACCACCATCACCAACAACAACAACATCAGCAAAATGGTAAATGCGGTGGCAGCGCATCAGCAGCGCTGCTTCTCTGTAGCGCCGATGTGCACATGGGCAGCGGCAGCGACGCCAGCGTCGGGCTGTGCGGTCTGGATGACTGCACTGCCGCAGGAGTTGGCGGTGGCAGCGATGGTGATGGTTTTAGTGAAACTGAAAATATGGGTCAATACCTGATGAATGTGAGCGATCCGCCCATCCAGGCTGAGAGACGCAACATAAAGCGGCCCACCTCCTGTGGCCGCCAGCAGCAGCAGCAGCAAACACCTAAATCGGGCAGCATTCGGCAGCAGCAACGTGGCGGCAGCGGCGGTTCTGGTGCTGAAAGCGGCAGCGATTCGGACAGCGTCAAGATACCGTTAAAGGTCTCCAATTTGGGCAGTGGCTTGAAGCTCTTGCCGCTAAGAGAACGGTGAGTACACTCGAATCCTTAACTCTACGAGATAGAAATGAGCTTGTAACATGTGGCCTAAAAGCCTTGGATGAAATGTATGAATCATGCAATTTACTCAATTTGATCAAATCTTGCTTTATTTAAATACTGCTGTAGCCAAGAGGGACAGAGAGAGATGGAAATGTTTACTATGTTGAAATTTCCAATTAAGTTTCAGGCAATTGACACCTGGTGTTCAATTTGTTAACAAGATTAACGCGACGTGGCTAAGCAAAACGATTCAGGCCAACGATTTTACAAGTGAAAAGAACGAGCAAAGAACATTTGTTTATGCATATCTAAAGTTTCTCACAGCTGTCATACGGCTAATTGAATTTACGTATTGCTCGAGTTCGAAAAATGCAAAATTTGCCATATGAAAACATTAACGGGGTATATTATTCTTGATAAAGTGTTTGACACTACAGGCATACCTATATATTCTCGTACTGCTTAACTAACTCTTTCCGTTCCTACTGCAAACTTCAGTTATTGAAGCAGATTCAGGAAAATGTCCAAAATTTCCCACTATTCTTGCTTAAATACAGGCAGCCAGCACTGATAAGGGGTATTCTGCTGGTCGGGCACTGCTTATCCCAGTTTGAATTGACGTAATTGCTTTTTACCGGGCATAGTTGGACCCCGGACGGATGATATTTTTCACAGCTCGCTAAATATAGTAGTAGTTGGATGCGGATTCACGCCGAATGTGGCGCCGTGTCCATTCAAGTGGGTAACGTGTGCCAGTCCAATTAACGCAAATCAAAACGCCTCATTGAGTGGCAGCCCGCAAATTAGTCAACAACAATAAACAACAATTGCATGTTGTGTGTTGTCGCGGCATCCACTTTAATTTAGGCTTTTGTTGTGTGTCACTTCTATCTGCCTGCCTGACCTGCCCCTCACTCAGCCCATAACCAGCTGGCCAGCTGGGCGGCTATCATTAAGTTTATTGTTTATTTGATTCGCTTTGTTTGACTTTTATTGACACGAATTGTTTCACCTGGCTTGACTAAATCGCACGCAACTATTTCATAGTCATGCCCCACGCACTGTCTGCTTGACGTAATAAATATATTATATTTAAAGTGCAGCAACGGGACATATCTAGAACAACCTTTTTCATGCAGAAACTTTTCAATTTCATATTTGCTTTGTTCCTTTATTCTCTCTTTTGCGCTGGAAATAAGCAATGGGACCTGACGGCCAATGTGATCAAGCGAGAAGCGCTGTTACAAAATTTCCCTTTTGTTACTTTAGCTTACTCTCACTGCTCTCACAAAAATATGCACGGTGAACAAAAGTCATTTTTCTGTTCATCTAAGAGAAGAGTAAAGAGAGGTTTTGCTATGCTCATATACATAATTATTGAATTGTTTTTGGACAGGATACATATTCGATGTGAGCATAAACGCCCATGTACCTACTATGTATCAAACATACATACAAATGGCGAAGATATTTTTATACGTAAATAAGTACATACAAGTATAATTTATAATACGTATTATATTTTGGTTTTGAGCTGGCAACATTAATATTGACTGTGACTGTGCATAATTATTTATTTATATTCGCCATAGCATGTACTTATATAACCCATTAAACGAGTGAGAGTGCAAGAGAGTGCACACAATAAACTGCCTTGAACCTTGCTAGAACAGCTGCACATGATATCTATCTCGCTTCGGCTGACTTCAGCACACGCAGTCCCGTTGCAACACAAAGCTTTCTTTCTCAATGTTAGCACATTACTCAAGTTGCGTTAAGCTCTGCTAGACGCATTTTAATATATGCATACACACACAAAGCACATAGCTGCAAGTGTGTGTGCATTTCAGTGTTGTTGGACACTGCAATCCGTTGAGGCTTGCCGATGTGACCTTGTTTCTTATTCGCTTCACCTACGCCTTTACATTAGTTTTTTTTTCTTTTGCGCCTTTAATTCTTTCACAGTCGTCGGGCATCAGTTTGTCGTTGTGTCGTTCACCTATCATCATCCAATTGGCTTCTTAAAGCTTTTCATGGCATTCACAAATCTTATTATCACACTTTTCTATACACTTAGCCCTAGTTGTATATTTACATATGCAAGTACGTCTGTGTCTGTATATATTTTAGCTTACTTTTTAGCTAATTTTAACCATTTTCATTTGACTTTTTGCCAACTGTTTGAATAGCTTGGTCAGTGTGACAGTTGCGTATATAGTAATACTTATCAATTAGGCTAAGACGTAAGCAAATATTTGCCAAGAGCTTGTATTAAATTTCTTATCAGGCAATTGGACTTCATACAATGAAAGCTGATTAGATTCTAGCTAAAGATGATTTCAACTGCTAATATCTGGCTATATCATGTACGACACCATCTGCTATTATTGCAAAACAATGATTTTCAAAAAATTTATTTATTTTCTTCATTTTTTTATAGACCAAAGATTAGCTTTCAGCGATAGATACCAATACTGGCTTCAATATCATAATAAACTAAAAATAAACAACAATCGTGTGTAGCTTGTGTACATTTCATACATTATCAACAATTTACCCACAAGGCTTCAATTACTTAATTCGGATAATTTCCGTTTGACTATGTCAGCAACATTCATGAAAAACATTCATAACTTGACGCAGCGAATCCCGTTCCCGTTGAGGAATGCTTCTTCCTGTAAGAAAAGAACAAAAAATGCTGCGCATGCGTGAAAGATGAATACCATACATACACACCATAAGTATATGTTTATGGCTGTGTGTGTGTGTTTTTGTATGGAAAAAATTGCAGAAAACTGCGACGCAAAAGACAAAAGCAAAACAAACTACTTTGAGCCAGTTTCATGGAGTCGTTTTTTTGTTGTTTTGCTGTTGTTTTTTTTTTCCTTTTTTTGGACTCTACATTGAAAGTTGTTTTGAAATTTGATATACGTACATATTTCAAAGTAGGGAACGAATAAGGTTCACTGTGAAAAAACTACGCGAAAACCTTGTACGAAAAACGTAAACAAATTTTTTTGGCTCGCGTCATTTTGTCTAACAAGCTGAGCGCTGGCGGCTCCTGCTGTACACTATGTGTATATAAAGCTCCAAAAGCTTAAAATATTGTTTATTACGTCATAGAACTTGCAAATTAATTGGTCACTTCCGTATAACCCTAACTTGATATGCAGTCAGTCTCAAGGACAAACACACAGCGCCGGGCTTGACACTGAAACAGAGCTTTAAAAAGAAGTCTGGCAACGCTCCGTGCGCTTAGCTCCTGCGCGCGGCTTTACTCAATGTCAATGTCAGGGTTGCCCGTAGCCGAAAACCTGTGTCAGACACGCGTTCTCTCGTCCTCTGCCGCTGCCTCTCCCGCTGTCGCTCACATTCTAATGCGGCTCGCTGCTCAAGTTCTTGTTGGCATCTTTTGCAAACTGGGTAGCCTTGAGGGCAGCCAAAGCCGGTTAACGACGCAATATGTACCGGTTAGATTGGTGTTTGTTTACCTCGCTTCCTTAGCGAAGGAAGCTGATTTTTTTGTATTCCTTTTTATTCATCTTTTCAAGGTCACGCATAGAGTTTTGCATCAAGATATAGGGTTGCTAACGTCAAGGGGTTGCAAAATATATGTCAGTAGAGCATATGTATGACAATTAATCCGCGTTCAAGAAACACATTTGAGCTATATAAAAATAGTTAAGGAATTCCTGACCTTTTACAGTATTGGCCAACTATTTTATTGGCAATAAAAAATCAATGTAAATAATATTGCGCAGTTAGTTATTGTTGTCAATTTTTGTCCAAAGCATTTTCACAAACAAATGACCAAGTGCTAGGTATTAGGTATTCATGGACAGACTTACAAATGTGTGTATGTTTGTATGCATATGTGTATAAACAAGCATGCAAAATGTTAATAGTAGAAACAGCTTTATAAGTTTCTGCTTGCACTCTCTCTCTCTCTCTCTCTATCTCTGTTTTAGTCTTTGTGCTGTGGTCATCAGCAGTTGCTTTTGTGTTGTTGATTCATTCGCTTCGCCGAGCTGGCAAATACCAAAACAAAAACAAAAATAAAAATAACAACAACCATAACAAAAGTCGCAAACTCGCTCAAACCGCTTTGAACCTCTTCAAGCCGATTGCTGCGTACAAGCACTTCGAATAGAGTCACAATTTAACGGAGCATATGTTTGTTTGTGTGTGTGAATGGAAAGCTTCTCGTCTGATAAGCAACAACAAATAAGGAGAGAGACAGAGAGGAGCACAGGCAGCAGAGCGAGCATACGAAACGGCCTGTTGGGGGTTGTTGTTTTTACTTATCTTTAGGCATTTGTTTTAGCAGCACCTACGCAATGAAAGAAGCTTGATTGACAAACTGAACGATTGACTGACTGATTGCGAAAACGTAGAGCGAACAGCGATAAAGCTACTGCAAACTACCCATAAATATGCGTAAATATGTGAACACATAGTTTGCATATGGCTTATAGGCGGGTTATAGACCCGTCGACCAAGCTTATCTTTCATTATCTTGCATTTTATTTGCAAATAGGCCTAGTCGACGCAACTTTATAGCTGTCTAGATCTGTGGCACATTCATCCCTCTCATAACATTTGCGTCATAAATGGCTTTGAGTAATGCATTCAAGTTTTATTCGGTTAACATTGACAACGTCAAATTAACGAGAGTCTTTCGTCAATCCTGCCAGATAAGCTAATCTTAATTTGTGTTTTATGATTACGTCGACCTTTTTACGATCGGATTTTTAAATAATATATATATTTAATAGCTTTAAAATGTTTTAAAGCTCTTTAGATGAAGGTTAAATACTTGAACAATAAAAGGCAAATGAGTAAGCTCGACTGATTTATACAGACACTGCACAAAATGCATATACTCTCTTCAGTTTTGTGAATGAAAACGTTTCACATTTGGTGTAGTGTTATTCAACAGAAAAACTAATGGCTTCTATAAAAAATAATTAGGAATTGATTGTTTTTATTCTGATTACTGTATCTAGTTAATTTACAAAACCAATATACTTGGTGTAGCCTATCCAAACAGAGTATCAAAGTTTTTTTTCGGTTTATGTTTCCTAAGTGTTTTTTGTTATGTAAACTGATTTTGATCACGTTGTAGTTGAGCACGTGAGACACAAGCTACAAGTCTTTCCTATTTATATACATATATATGAACATATTTACACTTTCTCATATTAGTGCTTCAGCGACATCTGCTTGATAAGAGCTGATAAGAGAGTTAGGTATGATGGCAGCGAGCCTCACACGTTGATAAGACGAAACTTAATTGTTTTCATTGTTTGATTTTGTTTGCGCTGCTTTCGCACAAATCATATTTAGAACTTTGATTGTCAACAGACAAAGGCATGTAATTAAAAATATTTAATACACTTTCTTTTTATAGTGGGGTATATCAGTTATGATATATAGTATGTGGCATATTTATGGGATATTATTTAACAAATTGCAGAAGAAAAATTGCAAAAAAAAATATATATATATATATATATGTATATTATATATTTATTTTATATTTATATGTACTATAGTAAATAAAATTTTAAATGTGCTTTATTGATCTCTAACATATTGTATTTCCTTCAATTTCTATTCATTTTTGTTATTTGCTATTTTTTTCGCATATCACTGATAAATTTATCTATTTAATTTAAGTTTTTTTTTACTAGTACTTGAGCTTTATTTGTATAAGCTTAATGGAAGCTTATTTGTGAAAATATTTGTTTGTTTGAAGAAGTCTCAAGTTAAATCTTTGTAGCCAAGCTGGATATAAAATATTAAGCTCGTAAATGAATGATGTTTTATATATATATATTTGTTTTGTTTATTGTTATTTTAAAAAATTATTAAAAACTGTATTTATCCTTAAATACATAAAGCAGTAAAAATTAAATTTTTATATTTGTTTAGTAATGAAAACATAAAAATTAACTGACAATTTATTTCCAATTGGTCTACATGTATATTCTAATTAGAAATTCTTCTCCATTGTGTGCTATTCGAAATATTTGTTTGAAATTTAAATATTGTTTGCCCATGGTACAGGCGCGCAGATGTTGTTAGACAACAACTACGAAAAAAAAACTATCAAAAATGCTGGCAGACACGCACGCATATACAAAGAAAAGAAAACACAGAGAGAGAGAGGAAGAGCGAGACAGAGAGTCTAGCACTTGCACTACAGCACGCACATGTGGGCGTTGCATTCGTCTCTCTTCTAGGGTTTTACTCTTCTCTCCCTGTTACTTCTAATCATCGCATTAAGTACCGTATTGTTGTGCTCACACGCACAAACACACACAGACGCACTTACTCACACACTAACTCGCTCAATATTTAAAGAGTCGATAAGTTACATAAGACGTCGTATATTTTCTAGTGCGTGCCCTTTTGGGGACGTCTTCTTCTTCGCCTTTAGCTGCAGTTTGCTGAGCATTTCAATTCCATGTAAACATGTAAATAACATAATAGACGTGCGTGTGCGTAAACATGTGTGCGTGTGTCTTTGTGTGTGCGTGGATTTTGGTGTTGGGTCTTCCCTTTGGTCTTCTGCTCCGCTCATTTGTACGGCAACTATTTGCTGGCATTTCTGCGCGCCTATTCAAATACTCCAACTAATTAACGGGTTATGACAGGCTTGGCGCCACTTCATCATAATACGCATAATACTTGGGCCCCCTCAGCGAGTTTCCTAATTAATGCAAACGCTATTTTCACGGAAATTTTGTGGACGTGATTTTAGGTGTTATTTGTTGGAGCCCTTTGCTGGCTGCGGAGCTGGAGCTGGAGCGTAACCTCGATCTATACCAATTATCTCAAGGTAACTGACCAGGCGCACAGAGGAATCTAACAAGACGATGCCCTTCTGCAACTGCAGTCAAACAAATAAAAACTGTATGTTTATTTTCTACGAAAATCGTTCGACAAACCATAAACAAAGAGCTATGTGGCTGTCGACTGCGACATACATATGTATGTGTGACGCGGCTCTTGATCGTATTGACAAAATTTCTTTGGACTTCTCTTTGCTGCTGCAAGCCTGTGAAAATATCGATCACCTCTTTTGGGGTGTGTGCGTGCATATTATGTTGCTGCTATTTAAAGAAAGAGACCCAGCGTGTGTGAGAAAGAGAGAGAGAGCATGGGAAATTATGAGACGCCGTTACCTAAACTGTTATGGCTATTTTTAAGGGAGAACGTGTGAGTGAGTGAGTGAGCGAGTGAAGGGGAATTTGGAGAAGGGAATTGACGCTGAATGTTGCCCAAGAATGCTGCAGCCAATTCTGAGGCTCGCCACTTAAAATCAATTATAAGTATATAATGTAGTTCTAAATAGTTTTAAATTGATTTTTATGTCCAATCTCAATTGCAGCACCTTCAGCAATGGAGCTAGCGAACAGAGCTTGCAGCCGGAGAGACGTGCTCGCCTTAATACTGCGCCTGGTATGCGAGGAGCAGCGGCCAGCAATGCCGGACTCATTGCAACTGGTGGTCTGAGACGCAACTATAACATTCGCAGTGGTTCGAGTGCCAGTCACATAACGGATGACAGCAGCACTGAGAGTTTGGCACCTGCCGCCGGCAATTTTGCGGGCAGTTTTCGCAACAGTCTGGGCAAGTCCGTGCAGATCACTGACGGACGCAGAGGTCCTGGAATGGGGCTGGGACAACGTGACGAGCGCATAGTGTTAGTATCGCGCAAGGTTCCCTTTCTTATCTTCTCAGCATTGCCGTACTACAAGGGCAAGAACGGACGGTAAGCGATTAATGATATCAATAAATAAATAAATTATAAGCATTTTCCTATCACATCTAGTGCCGAGATACGCAAAGAGGATCGTCGACGTCGCAATACATCCACTTCGCGTCCGTTGAGCTCCATTAACGACGCTCCCTTTGATCCCTTCGATTTGCTTGGCATACAGAAAGCTGAAAGTGGTCAGGTTGGTTCTCTCATCCAAATATCAATCTAGTTGAGAACTAATTCGGTTTCATTTTCCATTTTTTTAGGATATTTCATATGGTCATTTGCTAATACCTTCGCGTCAGTATGAGAAGGAGCGTAAGAAACATGGCAATGCATCGACCAATCCCTCAATATTTGAGAACCAAATGGAGATAACGAGCACAGCGGCTCTTAGAAATCATGGCATAGCGAGGTTGGTGCCTCATTCAAAATGGGTGTTCGCTTAAGATTCCATTACCATAAATACATTAACTAAAATTGATATATCTCATGACTCATGCATATCACACTCATTATTAATTGGTTCATTGAAACGTTAACTATTCCGAAACATCATCATGCCAAAATTTATCCATTTTTCCATTTATATGTATGTAATTCAGTTAAAAACAGCTTTAAAAGCAATTTAACAACAATAATCCAAAATATTTACATAACTTCTCGTAATCCCCTATAAATAAGGCATCAAAAATAAATAGCTTGTTAAATACTTCTGTCAAATACCATGCTAAGCAAAATATTTAACAGCTCAAGCTCAAGTATCAGGTGAACAACATAATTCCCATTTGCTGAGTGTACAAAATACTATGATAAATATATTGGGGCTACAGAGTGAGTCATGGGCATTCCAAAAATGAGGGAAAAACAAGTGCAGTCGGTCCTAATCGACTACATAATACTCGTTAACGCCAGCTTTGCTTGTTTATAATTTAATAATTATCAATTTGCCATATCATTAATAGGTCTATAGAGTTGGAGCTAATTCTAGCTGGTTAACTGTTGAATAGATAAGTGTAGTAAATCAGTATTAAAATACTTGAATGTAGGCCTTAAACATAAGTATATTCAGTTGATCATGTAAAGAAGTTATGCAGCTGCTAAAGATTTGTTTTTTAACTATTAAATTATAAAAATTGCAGTCAATGTGATGGAGGTCTATAAAGATTCATGTAAAGCTGCTGAAATTTTGGGTTCTAGTTATAACAGATAGATGTATATAAAGCTTAAAAGATATAGTTATCAACCCTAAAATATTAATATTTATATAATACCCAAACAAGTTTAAAAATATAGCGAAACATATCTGTATATACAATATTCCTTATAGACGATTATCTATCTAACTATCGAGTCATAAGGGCATATAAACAGACATACCACTAAACCAATATACTCAACTTCTACCCCTAAGAGCGAGTATATAAAAAATATGATTTAGGTTTTTTTTCTTTTTAAGTTCTAATGATTGCGTAATGTTTTTAGCCAATCGACGCTGTACAACATTACATAATCAACAATATTTTATTGTGGAAATAGCCAATTGTATATCTAAATATATATGCATAAATCTGTATACACAAGAGAGTTTCGATGCATTTTGTACCATTAACTGTTTTTGCTAATCATAACGCTTTGCACTACTTCGTTTCAGCACAAAAACCATAACCAAACATCAAGGCAAATGGTAAATTTTTGAAGCAGCTAATAAATAACAATAAAAACGAACGCAACTATCTCAGCTATGAACTGATATATATATATATATTTATATATGATATATAGACCTGTATAGTTCATTGCTTGGATATGTTGTGCAAGCTTTCAAATATCCGTTATATCTATATATAATGTAGTTACCACTAACAAAATTCACACTTCACATTTGCACACATTCGAAAACTGGCAAAAACGCTTTCAACTAAACCGCTTACTCACGCCTCTAATAGATCAACAATACATATATATATATATATATATATATATATATATATATATATATATATATATATATATATATATGTATATGTGTATATATTTACAGCTATCTATATATCTATAATCAATAATCGATGCATTTTACAGGTGCTTCACCTATGAGAACAACAATCGCAATAATACAACAGCAAGTCCAACGCCCGAGCTGAAGCTCGATATGGATATCGAGAGCATTATACTAAGTGGAACAGAGGCGGGTCGTGGTTTGCCTGTAAGTAAACACCTATATATATCTAAGTATATTCCAACTATAACTCTCAATATCTCTTTAAAGTATCAACAGTATTCGGCCAGCATCCTAGACGATCCAGAGTTAATAGCGGGCAAGCATCGTACGCTGTTAACCTTCACCTCGTACATGACCTCCGTCATAGATTATGTGCGTCCGTCGGATCTGAAGAAGGAGCTGAACGATAAGTTCCGTGAAAAGTTTCCAAGCATACAGCTGACCTTAAGCAAACTGAGAAGGTAACTGGCGTTAAATTAACCTCTTCATGCAAAACGTTGACTAACTCCAATTTTGAAACCTTCCACAGCATCAAAAGGGAAATGAGACGCATTAACAAACTTGATTCGCGCATTGATTTGGTCACCATATCGCAGGCATATGTCTACTTTGAGAAGCTAATACTGGCCAATCTGATCAATAAGAGCAACCGGAAGCTGTGTGCCGGCGCCTGCCTGCTGCTCAGCGCCAAGATGAACGATGTCAAGGGCGATGCGCTGAAGAGTCTGATTGAGAAGACGGAGAGTGTGTTTCGCCTGAATCGCAAGGAGCTGATATCGTCGGAGTTTGCAGTGCTCGTGGCGCTCGAGTTTAGTTTGCATGTGCCGATGCATGAGGTCTTGCCGCACTACCAGCGTTTGCTCTACGAATCCTAGAGTTGGCCCACGCGCTGCGCCGAAGGATATCTGACGGCGGCAGCGCAGGCGGCGGTTGCCTTGGCAGCGGCTACCACGCGACATCATTTGCGACGCAAAGGCAGTCGCAAGTAGACAGACGAAGATGCCGATCATGATGTTGCATACTTTTGGGGCATGTTTTTGTACTTATTCTATTGCATATTTTTGGAGGCGGGATTTTTATACATTACATACGAGTATATGAGAAACAATAATTATATAAGTATATCATCTAAGTTTTGCTACAAATTAAGTTCACACAATTGACAAAAAATTATATGAAAGAAAAAGAAAAAAAAAAATAATACAAAAAATATAGATATACATATATATATAGTATAACCCCTCCCTAACGAGACCTCTCCGGTAGTAGGCGCTTATATATGTATGTAGCTGTTAAGTGTTTTTCTTTTAGCCAGTTATTTTTTCTATGTTTTGTTATAGATCGAGTATAAATAAACAAATAAATCTAATTAGAACTGACAAAAATATTTACTACGAATGCGTCATATAATTTACATATGTAGCGATAAGGAGATACCTCGACACACGCTGGGGCTTATCAATTTCAGTTGTTGTTCGTGTTGTCACAGTTGGCGGGGCTCTTGCAACCTGATAATACTATTCAAATTCAACCTGAATCGCTGCGGTTGCTTGACTCGACTTGGCTCGGCTCGATCTCTGCCTCTTCACATTGCTGTTAGCCGCATCACCAAAGCTAACTAATCCGCCCCAACAAACTGGAACCAGATGAGCTTTATTTGGCACCCAAATATCCAACCCACAATGGGGTCCTCATATAAATCACCTGAGGCTCATCAATCAAAAATCAATAAATAATTTGCGATCGATTATTTGAGGGGACATCAGGCGCCCAGCAGCCAGCGACAAGCAACTAAACCCTAAAAAGAGTTCTCTGTTCCGAGTCTATAAACAAATGCGGGCAGCGATAACCAAAAAATAAAATACACACGTGCCCAGTTGGACTGGCCGGGCCCCATATGCATTACATTGTTTTGTTATTGTTGTTAACAGTTAACTCTGCTTTGTATACCCTGCAACCAGTACTGAAAGCAGCGGGTATATCTCAAGTTCATGATCAAATTCTAATGCCCTAAATATTAATATTAAAAATATATATATATTATACATATATAGATACATATGTATATAAAATAACTTATTTATATCAGCTACGAGAAACAATGCTTTTAAATAGTATCTAGCATACAGTACAGCCCAGAGTACAGGGCACAGCGTATGCAGTACTGCTTGTGCACGCACACACACATAGATTTGAGAGTGCAGTGAGAGTAGACAAAGAAGATGGTGTATTCTGAGTGCATCGGACCTCTCGCTCGATCACTCTGCGCCTTAAGGCTGTCAGATGTCATAGCTTAGTTGAGAGCTGGCGAGAGTAGGTGACCCCAGTGAGTGAGTGGCATTTGCTGTAAAAAAAATAAATGTTCTACCTACACTGTATATTTTGTGTAATGAGTAGAACAGGGAAGCGTGTAGTCGGGCAACTGCAGTTATATTATATTTATTTATTTTGATAAGACATGCTGTTGTTTTTGTTGTAACTGTTTTGGGCAGCCAGCAAATGGGCAGAGGTTGCTACTGCACACTGGGCCATGCCATGTGTGCGTATCAATGTGTGTTTGTGTAAGTGCTTGTCTGTCTCCCTCTCTCTCTTTCATTCATGTGTGACTGCATTAGTATGTTTGATGCGTTGCAATGTAATCAGTTTTTAGCCTTATCAGCATAGCCCGCTGACTGTACTTATTTATAAAAAAAGAATAGCAGAGTGTAGAATATCAAAAGAACAGAATACAACATAGCCGTATTTCGCCTACTCTATAAATTCATCAAAAATACAAAATTTTATCTACTGTTACTACAAAATAATGTATTTAACGTCTATGCGCTATTCGACGAATAGCCTGAAGAACTTTCTGATGCACATAGTTATACAAATGTATGTATGTGCACTCACATACATTCGTGCTTATTGTCCGAAATATATACAGTTTCTGCTTGCCACATGCCACATGCTGTTGCATAATGGACATGCTTAAAACTAATTAACGCAAAAGCAACGCCGGAACCGAATCTGTTTACACCCCCGCTCTACGTTTCCCTCATACCGTTACACTCTTGCGCTAACTATCTCGTTCTGGGACGCGCTCAATCTCTGTCTCTCTTACTCTCTCCCTTTTCCTCTCTCTCTGTGTGTTCCCCTCTTCATTCGCTTGTGGTCGTCATTCTACTGCTCTGTTTGCCTGATATTCGCGTCTGCTGCTTGTCTAGGTCGTAGCAGAACAGCAGCAAAAGTTTATTTATTACTCATTAGCACGCAAGACGACGGCAGTGGCAGCGGCAGGCAGCGCAGCGGCGTTGACGACTTCTGCCATCTTTAGCTCATTTATTAAGAATAAGCCCAGGCGGCACACGCCCAGCAGACACACATACACGCACACAGTCAGAACTTTTTCATTAAAATTTCGTTTTTATTATTTCGTCATTCATTAAGTTGGCCATTGCGCACTTTTGTGCCTCCCCCATTTGCACTACCCCCACATTGACTTATCTTTTGTTGTTGTACGTTAACTGTTTTAGTCGCGTTGGCTCACTAGTTAACTTTTTTTCTGCCGCTGCCACTGAAGTTGCCCTGTGCCCTGGCCAAGCGCTCGACGGTGATTGGAAAGTTCTGTCTGCATTTTCAGTAGCGACGTCCGCCGGTGACGCGTTTCTTTCGCAGCAGCAGCAGCCGCTGCTGCTGTGGTTGTTGCTGCTGCCGCTACTACTACTGCTTCTACTTCTGCTACTGCTGCTGCTGCTGCTTCTGTTGCCTGTCTGCTGGCTGTGGTTTTCTGTGCGCCTGATACTATGCGCCGAGTTAATTGGTTTGCAAACAAATTAACCAACGTGGGTGTGTACGTTTCCTAATTAGCAGCTTTTGTAATTAAATATGCCCGCAGCCACTCACACACACACACAAATACAAACGCACACACACACACGCACTCATGTGTACGGCCTGTGTACATGTGTGTGTGTGTACAATGGCATAACGGTTCATGTGACTGTAAGGCGCAGTGGCAGCGACTCGAGGGGGTCCGCATTCTAGCTAATGAACAGGCTATCCCCCCTTAAAGCACGTCCCAGATGTGATAGTCGGGCTCGGGGAGCGGCCAGACGATGTGGTAACAACGCTGACGTCCCGAATGAAAATGCATTTTAATTAGGGGTTTTTGTTGGCTTTTGTTTTTAGTACTTTTTTTGTATGCTGATGGCTGCTACTGCTGCTCGAAGTGCTGCGCTACTTTGGCTTCGTTCATTAGTTGAATTGAAGCGTAGGGTTGTCAAGATGCAAAATGAAACAAGAAATACCAACTGCAAATTACATATAAACTTCATATCAAAGTTTTTTAAGTTAATTAGAAAATATTTAATATTGAAATTCATATTATAGAAAATAAAAGAAAAATATATATATTTATTTAAGATATACACATTTCAATTTTATCACTTTATATGCTTATAGAACATAAATAAACATATAAAAATCAATTCCAGATTTATTTATTTGATATTAATTATTTTATTATAAATAAAGTTGGAAATAATCGGTAGGATTATGAAAATAATTGTGTAACATGTATTAATTGTAGTATTGGCAAACTGGTTTTTCTTAGCAACGCCTGGCAACCCTAACGAACTCAACGAATAAGCGATCCCAATGGGACAGTGTAAAGTGGGAAGGTTTTGGTGGTCTTCAATGACATTGCACCATAGTTGAAGTCAGTGCCAGTGGCACTGCACTGGCAGTGCTGGTTTCTATAGCACAGGTATATATGTACCAAGGTAGAGCCGCCTGGGTACCGGAGGTAGATATAGTCCATGCCGGGGCCGCTGCCATTCATGCGATTGTTCTTTTTGTTGTTCAATTCAATTCAATTCAATTTGAGCACCGAAAAGGGTCCAATTAAAAAACCACAACAATTAACGAGCCAAGTGAGTTAACTTGGCATAAATGGAATTTTAATTGGCAACATAAGAGCGGCAGCAACAACAACTGCCAACAGCCAGTGAAAAGAGCCAAGAGCCAAGAGCAGGAACGGAGTGACTCGCCGAGTGCCGATAAGTGAGTGCAGCAATCGGGTAGAAAGAGAGAAATAGAGAGAGTGGGTGAGTGAGTAAGTGAGTGAGTGAGTGAGTGAGTGGCGCGTTTAAAGGAGAAAGAGGGAGAGGGGATGCTCGTTACGAGCCCGGGAGTAGTTAAGTAAATGAGCATTTTGTTTCACTAATGAACACTAATGAATGCCGGAGACAACACTTCGGTTAAGCTGTGTGCGTACGTTTGTATGTGTATATGTGTATGCGTGTGTGTGTGTGCTGCCTTTGTGAGTTTGGGGTTTTGTGTTGTTAATTAATAAACACGAAAGCCGGGCCAGGCAAGGCCCATTGTGTGTGTGTGTGCCCAGTTTTGAAGGGGTTAAAATAAGCAATTAGTTGGATTTTCAACTAGGCGCACAGCAAATGCAGAGCCGTCGAAACTGGCAACTGGTAACTGGCAACAGGCGCTGGCGCTGGCACTGGCACGGACAGAGGCAGAAGAAGCAGAGGCACAGGCAACTTTGGGAGGCAAGCCGACGCCGACGACATGAAAAACTTTCAAACTGTTGCCGACCATCGCAGTCGACATCGCTTCTTCTAACGAGCAGCGGATAGAAATTGCTGCCGCTGCCGCTGCTTGGAGGTCGTCGAGTTTCTAGCGAGCGAGGGACGAACATTGTCGTCGCTGTGGCATGTTGTAAGCCTGCCACGCATTGCCCCTAAGCCACCCACCCACTCACCAGCAGCTCGCGTGCTACGCTGTGTGGGCGAGCGGATGCAAAAAGCTTTTTTGCGCCTGGCCCTTTGCGGTTTCTCTGCTTTGTGCTACGAGTTTTAATTAGTGTAACTTTAGCTACGTGCGTGTTGCACGAACCAACAGGTGGTCAATAAGGTATTTAGTTAATATGTGACGTATATCAGTTCGATAAGCTTCGGCTAACAAAATCGAACCAATTATGAACCAACTGGATCTAGTTTCGATTAGACGAACAAAAAGAACTGGCTAAATGGAATCAGCTCAATAGATCAAGAATATGTTAAAGAACTAGAATCTACATATAGCAGTTCAAATCATTATAATTATTAAATTCTATATTTTCTGCTTCTTTTCGTATTTATTTTTTATATTATATTAATTTTTTTTTTGATGTTTTTAGATCTATTTGAATGCTTAAATCAAATTAGAAAGTGGTTTAAAGTCAAGTTTGAGCAGCTTTTGAATTGATTTTGCCACAATAAAACAACGTTTTTACCCACTGTGCGCTGTAGACACGTTGTTAAGCTGTATGTTCTTGTTTTCAATTACTTCCGAAACGTATATTTATTTATTCAAAAATAAAATTGATCAAGTTAACAACAAGCCCGCAAATAAATCTTTGCCAACGTCTATAAAAGGAAAAACAATGTTACGACTTTATTCTCTGCGACGTATGAATCAGTCAACTGCTGGCAATCAAGATTAAATTGTCGATTATAATAGACAAATTACAAATAGAAAAGAAAAGTATGAAGAGCGAATAACGACTAGAAAATACCCTAAACCAAAGTTTAGATTGTTATGCCAAATTGCTTGTCGCAGGGTCTTGAAATGTTCGAAATAGACTGATGATTCGATATGGATTTTAATCGATTTCATGTAATGTTATCGATCATTTTTAATGTACTTGATCAGGATATTATATATAGGGAACTTACATAAGACATTGTATTTTTTAAGCTTTCTAGAATTGAGGGAAGAGGTAAAGGACGCATGCACAAACGGACGAGCAGATGGAAGACTGGATGGGCAGGCAGACGTATAAGTAGATGTATAGACAGGCACACGGACAGGTAGGTGAGCGAAAGGACAGACGGATGAGGGGACACGGAGGCAAATAAACTTACGTATGGATGGACAGGCGAATAAATGGACGGACGGACATGTGAATGAGCATACGGCTAGACAGACAGAACAGACAGAGACGAACATTCTAGCAGAACTACGTCGATTCAGCAGTTGTTACTGATCAAGATTCTACATACACTCTCTAAAGTCCCTTGTCTATCAAATAGTTATACAAAACCCGTCATACCCCACATTCAGAAGGATTTAGGGTATAATGACTGCTTGGCTTGCAGACACGTTACGGCACCTTCTAGGTAGCTGGGTGAGATTTAGCGTGTTTAATTTGTCGGCTTATATGGTAAAGCGAAAACAGCGCAAAATCGTCTAGTACTGTTGTCATTGGCATTGCCTAAGCGACAAAGCAAAGCCGCGGAGGAGGCTGCCTCAAAGCTGAGACAGCGAACCCGTTTTGTCTACAGAAAGCAAACAAAACAAACGTCTGAGCGTTATATGACGTCATTAGCTGAAATTAAGTGTGGGTCGAAAAAAAAAAAAAAACAACAATAATAATCATTTACAACTTGCCAAGGTATTGGCAACACACACACGCTTACACACACCTGTGTGAAATCATATTTTAGAATATTGCTGCCGTAGCGTCAGCTCAATCGAATTTTGAAACGCGCCAAGTCGAGATCGAGCAAAATGTCGCTGCGGAAGAAAGAGGAGTATATACCCATTAAGTGTGAGGGCTGGAATGGAAAATTCGTTTATCCCGACGGAGCCGTGAACAACGTCTCCAAGATACGCCGTCAGAATCAGAACGTGACGAACACAAGCAATTTCTATGGCTTCAATACGGAACCGATTGTCCTGCCCACGGCTTGGGACGGCACCTTTGTGAAGGGCAACGAGACGCGCATAAAACCCGAACGAAATCGCTCCGATGATCAGGACTATTTCGACTATAATACAGATCCTACCATCTTGCCCACTGCCTGGAGTGGCGAGTTTGTCAACGATCCGAACGATGTGCGCATCAAGCCGGAGCGAAACTTCTCCGATCCGAGAGATTATGCGGAGGCAAATCGCTTCAAGTTGGTGCAGTGAAGCCGAAATGCAAATGGCAATGGCAAATGAGAGTGAATTGTGAATGTTTTGCACTACTAACAGAGCTCTTAAAGATCTATTATCCTATCTGATCTTCACACTAATCGCAATCTTTAAATATTTCATGTTCCCTTGAGTTTTGCATTGAAATTAACCTAAGCGTTGTATTTGAGTTATTTATTTGTATTTTTAATAATAAAAAAACACAAAAACAATTGTGAACAAAAATGTTTGTGGGTGTTTAAATGAATGAGAAAGCGTCGCGATATTTCCATGGCCTTTTAAGGTCGAAACGAGTTCGATCAAGTTGGAAAATACGTGTTTCGTGTATGAAATGGCTGTAGATTCGATTTCCTATATGGCAAGGCTTAGCTTAAGGGCAAATCATTTCTAGACTTTTCGCTTGGTAAAGCAGCTATGACTAGGCTATGAATACCCATGGTACATATACTCGCTCAAAATATATAAATAGCATATTAGTTTAGAGTACTTTGGGGAAGAGGAGAGAGCGAAGAGAGATTTAGATCACTTTGCTTTTGATACTGATCGAGATTATGAATAACGATATACATAAACATAATATATATACATTTAAACCGATGTATGTATATGTGTGTTCATAAAAATAGTAGTGCGACTGATCAAAAACGTTGGACAACACAATTTAATGATAAAAAATATTTTAAAAACTTTTTAAGGTAAATATTAAAATAAACAAATTTTGTAATAATTTAGTTATATGTTTTTTGTTCCAAACTTTGGAACATGTACACTTCAGGCCTTCGCAAAGGAGCCTTCTAAATTTTAGTTGTTCATAAAAATAGTAGTGCAGCTTATTCTATTGTAATTGACTAAGTTCAAGCGCCTAGGACCGGATGATTTCTATTATGAAAATGTTTACTGCTTACAACAATTTGTGTTTGTATGTATTGATACTCATTTATTATAAATATATATATTATATATATATACGTTATATAAAAACTTGATTGCTAATTCGTAATGACTGTGATTTTTTTTGCTTGGGCGAGAAGCAATAATAAAATAAGTGAATTTTTTGCATCTGACAATGCATTCAATTTCATCCTGTCACATTATTTTGAGCTCAGTAATTGGAAAAACGTTGCATGCCTGATTAAGTAACGCGTTCATCATCAACAAAGCACAGTAAATTAAAACATTCTATTTTCTAGACAAAGAAAACTTTTATAAGGAAAAATGAATACAACTGACTTATTAAAAATAATTAGCTTTAAGATTAGAACATTTTTATTACGTTGAAATGAAGTTGAAAAAAAATTTAAAAAGAAATTTACAAAGTTTGACCCCGACGTGAATCGAACACGCAACCTTCTGATCTGGAGTCAGACGCGCTACCGTTGCGCCACGGAGTCATCAAATACATGGCTACAAATTGAGTATTTGAGCACTATTGCCACATTTCTGGTTTTTTAGATTTTATAGCGTTGCCACTAGGTTGAAAATATTTAATGCCACTTGTTAAGACATAGAATTTAAATTTAGGTAAAAACATGTAACATTACATTATTAAATTGTATACAATTGAAACTGACTAGTGTTTATAAATGATAAATATTGATAGCCATTTAATATTGTTAACAATTCATTAAAAGATGCCTTTCTAGAGCTTTAGCTCACTAATTAACAAAGCTGAAGTTGAATGCAATTGCGAATATTGTTCATTAAGAACCGTTTAGCCAATATAGATGTTGTTGACTGCATTTTATGAAAGAAAAAGTTAAGGCATTCATTTAAATATCGTAGATTGTTGAAGTTATCGATAGCCTCAATTTAATGGTGCTCTAAATTTACTCACTAATGAGCATATTTCAAGTCATCGATAAAATTTGGCATTCCGTGCACTCTTAATCGCAGCCAACTTCACATCAACGCGTTCTCGGTATAGGTTTTAGCCATTATTTATTCGCAATAAATGCGAATGCAATTGCGAAAATTAGTTTGATTCGCTATATTTGCGAAGTAGCAACAACATAATTCATTTTATAACTAATCGCGCTCATATTGCATAGCTTTTACTTCGTCTATAATACGTTTTCATTTTGCCTAAGTTGTGCGCGTGAGTGTGTGTGTATATATTTTTGTGCGTGACGCGCTGCTGCCGCCATTCAAGATTGAAGCGAAAAAATGGATTTGGCGAAGCTGGATAAGATGAAAGTGGTGGACCTGCGTACCGAACTACAGACGCGTGGTCTTGATACCAAAGGTGTAAAAGCAGTGCTCATCGAGCGCTTGAGAGCACATGTAGAAGGTTCTGCCGGCGGCGGCGATGGAGGTAAGCTAGTATGTGTGCATGTATATGTGTGTATGTATGTATGCATCACTGCGGTTCTGAGTGCATGTGTGTGTTCGTGAGTATGTGTACTACACAATTTTGAACGGTTTTCAATGTGTGTGTGCGTGTAACTCGGCTCAGCGTGTTTGTATTTAATATTGTAAACGCGCCTTATATAACCCAAATACGAATTTGATGTGAATTACAAACTTTTTTTTCGCACACAACAGATGGCGCCCCACTTACACCAAGCCGTCGTCAACGTCGAACGCGATCCATGTCGCGGTCACCGTCGCCAGTTGCGACGGCTCCAGTTGCCACTGAACCAGAGTTAGAGACTCTGCCGGAGGAGGAACAACATGGAGCAGAACCCGAAGTTGAATCTGGTTCAGGAGCAGAAGTAGAGGAAGTCGAAGACGATGAACAAGAAGAGGAACAAGAACCAGAAGAGCAAGCCACTAAGGCGGACGAGGAAGAAGTAACGGACACTGCTGTACCGTCAGCAACACATGACGAAGATGTGGCTATGGCAGATGAGCCCACTACTATGGAGACAGTAAATCAGGAAGATTCCAACGACTGCCACAAACCAGCAGAGACAGAAGCGGAAACAGCAGAGAATAATGATACTTCAGCTGATGCTGAGGCTGAGGCTGAGGCAGAGGCAGAGGCTCATGCCGATGCTGATAAAGTCGCTCACCAATCCAATGGAAACAATGGTGAGAAAATGGAAGTTGATGACGATGCTGGCACTGGCGCTGGCACCAAAACAGACAAAGAAGATGACAAGGAGCAAGAGCTGGAGCAGGAAAAGTCAGGCGAACGGCGCAAACGATCACACAGTAAAACACGCTCTCGCAGCAGCTCGCGCTCACCCAAACGTCGCAGTGGCGACAAGCGTGACTCCAAATGTGGAGCAGCTGTTGAAGAGCAGCGCGCTGTAGTTGAGGATGAACCCACCATGGAGGAAAATAAAGTGGGCCTCAGTTGGCGTAAGTAATCTAAATTTTAGATAATCTAAATCTTTAATTTTTTTTAAATCTCATTAAAATTCAATTTCAATTCACAATATAATAATATATTTACTCTAATTTGTTTTTTTTTTTTTACGTTTTTTTCTCATCAGTTGATTCTGATATTCATCTGGTCATTGACTCTACCAATTTCACATCGGCAAAGCCACTGACCCCGGAAATCTATTCACTTATTTGGTCTGGTGCACGCGCCAATTACGGTGTGCGCGATGGCAAGGTTTGCTTTGAGGTGCAACTCTCGGAGGAGACAGTGCCAGAGAATGCTCATCATTTTCGCGATGAACCACATGTGCGAGGATTTCGCGTGGGCTTCTCAACGCCGCAGTCATCGTTGTTGCTGGGCGAAGCTGAACATTCCTATGGCTATTGCGAAAGCGGTCGTAAGGCTAACAATAGCGAGTTCAAAGAGTATGGCAAACCATATCAGCTGGACGATGTAATTGGGTGCTACTTGGACCTGGAGAGTACGCCGTGCAACATCAAATACACGTTGAATGGCGAAGATCTTGGCATTGCCCATGAGTTTGAGAAGAGCGTTCTGGGCGAGGATGGCGCACTTTTTCCACATATTGTCACCAAGGGCTACGAGTACACAGTGAACTTTGCTAATGCCGAAGAGCTGCTTGTTAATGCCGAGCGACCGACACGCAAGCGTCGCAAGCAGCGTGCCGAATCGCATAAAGATGATGACAATGATGGTGAGAAGTGGAAGGTGCTCGATGAGGCAACGGCTGATGACGATGAGCCCGAGAAGAAGGACGATGAAGCAAAGTCAGCTGCCACCGAGGAGGATGGCGACGGCGACAAAGTGGCGGAGGCCAACACCGATGCGACCAGTAAACCCGCTGAAGAGGAGCAGGCCAAAGAAGCTGTTGTTGAAGAAGAGCCCCAATCGGAGCAACCGGAACAGGCTGAGGCTGCAGAGGCTGCATCCCAGGATCAAGCAATGGAACCTGGTGAGTTCATCTAGAGACACTATCAAAATGAAGTTCAGATTTAAAACTTACATTTACTTTACAGCTGAGGAAGCAGCAGAAACTCCAGCTGTTGTGCCCACTGAGTCAGCAGCTGTGACCAATGGCGACAGTTTGCCTGATGCTGAAGTTGCAGCCGAACCTGGAGCATCAGCAAAAGAATCCCCCAAAAACAATGAAGCTTCAGCCAACGCTGTGGAGGACGAGGAAGATGGCCCATCGCCCAATAAACGTACCAAAACTGAGTCGGAAACAGAAAAATCAGCTGACAAGTCACAACCGGCTGAAGAAGAGTTCGAAGATGTTGTGCCCATACCACGCGAAACTGTCAGCCTGCTGCCGGACTATGTGCTCTTGGCTTTGGTGCCCATTGAGCAATTGGTTGCCGGTCCTCAGCGTCCTGCCACGCGTAAAGATTGCGAGGTCATTCTGCTTGTTGGTCTGCCAGGTGCTGGCAAGACGCACTGGACACAAAAGCATGTCGCAGAGAACGCCGATAAGCGTTACGAGATCATTGGACCTGATTCCATAATAGCCAAAATGACGGTAAGTGATAGTACAGAAGTTATAGTAGTAATAAATAGATGTATATGTATATAGTATAGATAAATATACAGTTTAGCAGCTCCAGTAGTTCATAAGAATGCAATATATCAAATATATCCAGTCCGATTAAATGTTGATAAGATATCATGTATTATAATATCTATAACCTGATGCCAGCTGTAACCAGAGTCGATCTGAGGCTATGTCATATTGCAGTAATGTTGACACTGCAAATAGTTTATATCCTTTGAAGTGAAACTTAATCGATGGCAAATTATTCATTAGCTAGAATTATTCGAGCTTAAATAGACTATCTAAAGTGCGTGTCAAAATCAACTGTTAAATCTGTTTCAGTTAGGTTTTAAGTTTGTCAGCCTTAAAGCTAGAATTAAGCTGCGTCGGAGAACTTTATTTTAGTTGTTTAGAGTTACTTAAGGGCTTTCTTCTTCTAGTTTTTCTCAGAAATCATTGAAAATGTGAATTCATTCTATGATGAAAACGTATGTGTCTATTAGTAAGAGGCGTGGCAGCAGCGTGAAGAGGCACCAGAGTTCAGGGAATATCCAAGTCGGACACTCTCGACTAGATCACTTCCCTTTGAACTATTAGTTCAAGGTACTAAGTAAATAATAACAAAGAATACCTCTGGGTATTATATTTATAATAATAATATTATTATTATATTTATAATAAATTATATTTATAATAATAATGACTAATAGCTTCTTAACGCAATTGAACATTTTCTGTTTATTGTTGATAAACGTTTTAATATTTTGTTTGGTTTTGTTTTGTTTTTTTTTGTTTTTTGTTCGATTTGTAGATCGATGGAGAATCGCGCAAAACTGTGCACAAAGGTCGCTGGGATAAGGTGTACGAGATCTGTTTGAATAGCCTCGGTGGCCTGGAAGATATTGCCATGAAGCGACGTCGCAATTTTATACTCGATCAGGTAAAACATCAAACAAATGACCAACAAACCCACACACTCACACACGCGAACACAGCAACACACACACACACATACAAACACACAAGCAACAAAATACACTGAAACAAACGAACCGAACGAAAAACTCAAAACCACGAAACAAGCGAGAATTATGCGTTGATGATGACATACGTTTGTCACACCTGAAAGGTCCCTGATTATTCACAAAAAGAAGGGATATTTTTTGTTATTTTTTTATGTTTTTGTTTTTGTATATTTGAAATATGCATTTTATTGCTCATATATGAAAATGTGAGAGATCCCAAGCGTCGCAAGCGATGCCAACTGAGTAAAGCTGTGAGGTATGTGTTAGGCACTAAGTTGATCCGATAATTAGTATTGCATAAGTGTGTTAAAGAGTGTAAGTATTTGTATCTGTATTAAGCATAAGTTTTAGGTGCAACAGTTGACTGTAGAAGAGGAAGATGATGATGAAGGGCAGTGTGTGAGATGGAGATGATGAGAAGAGAAGTTGAGTATGAGTAATGACAGCATGATGAAGGGAGCGTGCGGCAAGGAAGCCACTGTAAGTAAAGAACCAATAAACAACTACAACTACAACAACAATTACACACAATTCTAAAAATCTAAACAGCGAAAATCGTTCGTCTTATCACATTATCTGAATCGTATCGTATTAGTTACCTACTACTATACCTACTCTCTATCTCTCTAAATGCCAACAATCGTAACAGAGGCCACTGCTGTATATACCTACTATATATATATGACTGTGTGTATACATATATATATATACACACATATATATGTATATTCAATTATGTTAACTCTTTTGCTACTATACAAAAATTATTAAGTCAACTGTTGTTTCGTTCTGCCATTCCGAAGCAGAAACTTTGAGTAGTGTGTTGCAATGCTACGAATCAACTCCCCGGCGGAGTTGCATGCGGACAATAAGTACACGCACACACACACACACGTACATATATATGAATCAGGTATGTGTTAGTTTGTAAGCGAGGGCGAACAACGACAACAACGAACAACGTCTGCCTGGGAGCCATGTGGGCCATGTGGGCCATGGTGGGCAAGCGGCTCAATTCGAGCCCGACCCGGCGAGGCAATCATCAACGTGTTTCTCACCTGGCCAACTGACCAACAACGCAACATTCAACCAACCTACCCAATCGAATCAACCAAACAACCAACCAAACAACTCGAATCAACCAAACAACCAACCAACCAACTGTATAATTCTTGTAGACGAATGCGTATGCCTCGGCCCAGCGACGTAAAATGAAAGGTTTTAGCGACTTCAAGCGTATTGCGGTTGTTTGCATACCCGGCGAAGATGAATTGAAACGTCGCATCGCCGATAAAGAGGAAAAGGGAAATGCTTTTACAGTTAAAGAATCAACAATAAATAACTTACGAGGTAAATATTGTCTACCACAACCACAAGCAACGAAAAAACTCTATAAACAAAAAAAAAAAAATGCAAATAAATTAAGAAACGGCAAATTATTAGTGCATAATATAACAATATATCTATATGTATATATAATATATATTGAAAAACAAAACAGAACAAAAAAGAGAAAATAATATGTATAATGCTTATTTTGTGTAACGTATATATTTATTAGCCCGTAAGCAGCTGCATTCTCTTATGTATTTGTAACTGTTTTTTACTATAATTCTAAGCCATCTTTTAATTCATTTTTTATACTTCATCATTATTATTTTCTTTAAGAAACATGCCCAAACAGCCAGCTGGCAGCTCTGATGTGTTCCCTTCATATTGGTCCGATTCGCATTGATCTTAAGTCTTTACTGTGGTCCGTTATTCATGAATCCCATTTTGGTCTTCTATCAATATCTTGCCCAAGATATATATAATCAAATCTGATCTTCAAATTTCATTCTGTTCGAGCTTTAAGCTCTATTTTCTCACTCTCTCTCTCTCCCTTTTCCTTTGAACACAGTGCCAGCTGAACATACCACCTTCCCCCCACCTATTTACTCTCTCCTTTCCTCACTCTCTCTCTCTCTCTTAAAGTGTAATGTGTAAAATTGATCAAATCTTTTTGCCAGTGTTGCACAATGCCCCACATTATGATAATACGTTCGCACACTCTTTTTGCAGCCAATTTCACGCTGCCCTCGCTGGAGTTTGGCTGGTTTGACGACATCATCTACACGGAGCTGAACGGGGATGAGGCCAAGGCCGAGGTCAAGAAATACAATGAGAAGGGCAAGAAGGCTATCGATGCGGACAGGTCGCGTGACAAGAGATCGCGCGGCGGACGCGATAATTATCGACGTGATGACAGGCATCGTAATCGTCATTTTGATGAGCGACGTCGCGATCATGGTGGTCAGCGTCACGACAGTCGCTGGAGTGACTCGAGACGCGGTGGTGGCGGCGGCGGAGGAGGAGGAGGTAGCTACTCAAGCGGTGGCGGTGGCGGTGGCGGCAGTGGAGGAGGCGGTGGTAGTCGTGGCTATGACAACCGCAATCGCAATTATGGCAGCGGTGGCGGCGGAGGCGGTCAGCAAAACTGGATGCAAAATAATCGCAGAAGCGGCTATGATGATCGCGGCTATGGCGGTGGTGGTGGCGGTGGCGGCGCTGGTGGAGGCAGTCGTGGCTATGATAATCGCAATCGCGGCTATGGCGGCAGTGGTGGTGGAGGCGGCGGCGGTGGTGGCGGTGGCCAACAGAATTGGATGCAAAACAATCGCAGAAGCGGCTATGATGATCGCGGCTATGGTGGAGGCGGCAGCTCGCGAGATTATCGCGATCGAGATCGTGGCGGCAATGATCGCAATCGCTTGGGCAGCAATGATCGTAATCGAGGCAGCAGCCAAAGCAGCTATCGCTCCGGCGGTGGTAATCATCAACAACGGGATTTTCGGCATGGCCACCGCGACACCAAAGAAGATAGTCGCGGTGGCTATGAGCGGTCAGCTGCACAAGCGCTGCCCAAATACGGCAATAACTCGGCCCAAGTTGCCAGCTACGATCAGTACAAGCAGCAGCAGCATTCGAGCGGAGGTCAACAGTCCGGCTCCAAGGTAAACACAAACAACAATAATTCGAGCATTTGTAATTTCGAACTCTTTAACGGTTGCTTGCAGTCCGCGCTAAGTGGCAAATGGAGCACCTATGCCCAGCACCAACAGCAGCAGCAACAGACGCAGCATCAGCAACATCAACAGGCCGGCGTCTGGCAGCAGCAACAGCCACAACAGCAACAACAATACCAGCAGCAGCAACAGACGCATCAGACCGCAGGCCCACAGCAACAACAACAACAACAATACTGGAACTATAACCAGATGCAGGGTAGGTAGCAGCGACAATACCTGGCGACAACTGCTTACTTATAGAAAACTCGCTCTGTTGTCGTGCCGCAAATAAAATTCTAATTTAATATTCGATGTGAATTCATTTATTCGCTGGTGGTTAATGGAGCGAGTTCCAATATGAAGTGGCAGTTGGGGCTGATTGATTGATGATTCATTGATTGACTGATTGATTGATTGATTGTGTGTATATCTTAAGCAGGTTATGGCAACCAGCAGCAACAATCAGCCTGGCAAGGCGCTGATCAACAGCAACAACAACAGCAATGGATGTCCTGGTGGCAGGTAAGCAAAGCCGCCCAGCAGCAGTAGCAGCAGCAAAAGCAAAAACAAAACCAAATAATCGATAAATCGTAATTTTTTGTGCCATCGATAGCAGCAGCAGCAACAGGGCGCCGGCGGGGGAGCAGCGACCAATAATGCCGGTGGTAGTGCGGGTGGCACTACGGGCGCGGCTGGCAACAATGATGGCGGTGCCACCAATCATTATTGGTCTCAATATTCATACTCTACACAGTCCAATGCGGGCGTCGACAAGAAATAGAAGCAGCTAACAAATCGGTGCACATATTTTTGCCGTCGCAAGGCCACATTCATTTATAAACAATACACACAAACACACACACTTAAACACACACACACAACAAGAAGGAAACCAACTTTAAAGTATAGTTTTTAAACATAATACAAATCAATCAAAAAGCGAGCATAAATTTAGTGTAGCCAGTTTATAAGCGTCTGGAAAGTCCAAACAAACAAACAAAAAAGTAACCTTAACAACAGTTTCTCTCACTATATAAACAACAACAAACTGTGTGAACGATGAAAGAACTGTTGATTTTTTAACAAACAACAAAAAATCATGTATTTACTTGCTGCATAAATTTGTCATTGCGACCTTTGGGATGAAAGAGAAAATGCAAACCAATCTTACATTTATTGTGCATTATGTGAAATGGTTTATATTATATTTTGTTTATTTCTTCGCCAATTAGCATTCTCTTGTTTGTTTTTCCAAAACGAAAGCAATAAAGAACGTTAATTGAACTTCTTTTTTGGCTCATTACGTATCTAGGACAGTACAACTTGTTTAACGTTTAATTATGATTATTGTTTTATTTTTTATTGCTGGAAGACAAACTAAAAACAAAATAAATTTAACAAATCTATATACAAAACAATGTCTTCAATTTTATTGGTTAAATATATTATTGGGGACTTGATTAACATATGTTAGTTAACATGAATTTAATCATAAAGATAAATTTTTGCATTGATTTTTAAATAAAGGTAATTTATGGCATATTTTAAGCTTGAATTTCTTATTTGCTCAAGCATAAAATAAAATAAAAAAAATTTTTAAACTGAACCGCGCTTTTATTTAGGGCATATCCCTAATGCGATATTTCGATATACCTAATGTTGGCGTTAGTTCGATGTGTTTCGTCAAGTACACTACTTATCGAAGATCGAACAGCTAAGCGTCAAGTTGAAATCGATAGAAAGCCGACGATAGGCGCACCCAGCCGCAATCTAAATATTAACTTCATAAACATAAAAGTGGTGTGTTAGATTAAATGTGTCTTTTATCTATAACATAAGTTAGTTCATATAGTACATATATATATACATGCCGCTAGCCGTCCATTAATGCTTAAGGTATTTGTTGTCCATGCAAATACGATAAGAACAATTGGAATGACGCATGCAACAAACGGCGTGACTTTTTTCCCCCATTTGCTTTAATTGATTTTCCGACATTTGCAGAAGGACAAATATGTTGGGCATACAGTTATTTAATGAAATCGGCAGTATTTTTCGCAATGTGAGTGAGCATTTACAAATATATTTCTGTAAATATTAAAGATCTTCCTTCGTGCAGACACCGACATATGCGCTTGTGCTGGAAGCCTTGCTACTGATCACGGTGCTTGGCCTGCTGTTGCATAAACGTGGCGGTCGCGGGCTTTCCAAAGAGCAGCAGGACTATTTAATTGAACGATATGAGCCGGAGCCATTGGTCGCTGACACAGATCCCGATCATCCGTTGTTACACACACGCCTTGTCCAATCGAAAGTGGGCAAACGTATTGTGGTGGATGGACACGATTGCCTAAATCTTGGCTCGCACAACTATTTGGGCCTACTCGAGGACAATGAGATTCTGGAGGAGGCATGCAAATGCTTGCGTAAATATGGCGTAGGCTCGTGTGGTCCGCGTGGCTTCTATGGCACAATGGACGTACACTTGGACCTGGAGGATCGTTTGGCAAAGTTCATGAATCTGGAGGAGGCCATCGTCTACTCCTATGGCTTCTCAACCGTGGCTAGCGCCATACCTGCTTATGCTAAGCGCGGCGATATTATCTTTGTGTAAGTTTCCAAAGATTCGTCTTGACTCGGCTTATTATTAATCTCTCAGCACTGTTGCAGCGATGAGGGCGTCAATTTTGCTATACAAAAAGGTTTGGATGCCTCGCGCAGCACCATTGTCTACTTCAAGCACAATGACGTCAAGGACTTGGAACAATTGCTCGTGCAGCAGGACAAACGGGATCAGATGAATCCAAAAAAGGCGCAAAAGACACGTCGCTTCCTTGTGGCCGAGGGAATTTACATTAATACGGGCGAGCTGTGCCCGCTGCCGGAATTGGTGGAGCTGCGCAAGAAGTACAAGTTGCGACTCTTTCTGGACGAAAGCGTGTCCTTTGGCACGTTGGGCAACACTGGGCGTGGCATTACCGAGCACTTCAATGTCGACGTAAGTGTGACAAGTCTTCAATTAGTTTATCGATAATTTGTTAAATTAAATAATTTCTTGCAGCGAGATGAAATCGATTTGATATCGGCAGGCATGGAGGGTGCCATGGCAACCATTGGCGGCTTTTGTGTGGGTTCGCATTTCATAGCCGAGCACCAGCGTCTGTCGGGCTTGGGTTACATATTTTCTGCTTCGTTGCCGCCAATGCTAACGCAGGCGGCGATTTCAGCGTTGGATCGCTTTGAGCGTGAACCGCAAATTTTTGGCCAGCTGCACCAGAAATCGCAAAAAGTGCACACACAATTCAACCGGTTTAGCAAACTGAAGTTGGGCGGGGATGAGCTGTCACCTGTGAAACATTTGTACCTGGCCGAGGAGCGCGATAGCTTCGAAACGGAGAGCAAACTGCTCAGCCAAGTGGCAGACAAGGTAGAAAGCTGAATTTATTAACTAAATCGTAAACCTTGACATTTTTCATTTTTCAAGTGTATTGAACGAGGCGTGGCCGTCGTGGAAGCAGCATATTTGCGGAATAGGGAACGCAAGCCGATTCGTCCGAGTCTTCGGATTGCCGTTAGTCGATTGCTGGAAGATTCCGATATTTCCAAGGCCTTTGATGTTATCGAAGCCGTTTCCAGTGCTGAGCTTTAAGCTTGGTTTGTTTTCTACAATTGAATGCATTACGTTCCTAGTTTATTTTGTTGACCTATGACAAAAGCTCAGCACATGCTTTTATAATCATATTTTGCACAAAACTTTAATTGTATTTGATCAGTAATTACAAAATACAAATTTAAATGGAAAAAATCAAAATATAAAGTAGCTGTGTTATCAGCTTTTCACTAATTGATTTCGAATTTCGAACCAACTTAACATCTGCTAGCAATCGAAATTAAAATTTAATAAACCTGTTTGCTATAACATTAACAGACTTCTTTATCGATAGCCCTGCTGCATTTTTAATGCAATTCGGTGTGATAGCTTCTGGTCACACTGTCATTCAGAAACGAAGCCGAATCGGAAGCACGCATGTCGCGCTGTGATTTTCAGTGTGATTTTTGCATTTAATAGGTGTAAGTGGTCACAATTTAATTAAATTTTTAGCAAATCGCGAAATAAAAAAGAACCATAACATTTCGACCGTCGATTGTGCTTCTTAAACTATGTTGTAGAATAAAGCAGCATAAGCAATACGGACGAATCGATTTTTTCACGGCATGCCGGTGACGAAGACGCCGCCAAAGTGTTAACTGTGTTCGTGTGTGAATGTGTATTCGAATAAATAATATGACATAATCGACGTACATATGCATATGCGGTCGACTGAATTGACATAGTTTCTTCTACACATCTGCAGAATACTTATAAGTGCCTCATGTTTTGTGGTCGCAGTGTCAGGACTTGGCCATTCCTTTTGTACATTATGTACGTGAGCGGCGCTGTTTTTCCACGCATGCTTTGATCACCAAATTCGTTATTACCAACATACGTACAAATGCCATACACACACATACATACATATATTCCCTTTTGATTTGGGCGTTGCAGGATGATATGATTTCCAGGCCGCTTTGCGGTCATTTTCCAGAGAGCACCAGAGACGCTGTATAGTTGTCTCGCTTGCACAATTTTGCGCAAAATGAAATAAAATGCCTTGGCCCTCAATAATCAATACTGTATATTTATATTTGATGCGTAATGCATCGCAAGCATAATTATTTAATGTATGAAACATTAAATAAATTGCGTTTATTCAATTAACGTAAATATGTATAATATCCGACATTTAGTAATCGCTACGCCCACATGTCGTTTTCCAACACTGCCGCTCGCGACCGCTTCCAGTCTAAGCGCTCTCTCACTCTTCATTTTGTTGTTAACGTGCGCTTGAGAGCGACGGACGTGTGCGTTACAGAAATTAAAAAAATACATGTTATAAGGTGGTGTTTGATTAAATTTATATGTATACAGCTTTACTTATTTAAAGTTGGTTACTTGATGTGATAAAAGCAAATTGCAATAATAAAAAAGGGTAAATGTGGTGAGCTGTGCAAGTGCCGTTACTTAGACCCCGCCATTGCTAGATACGCCGTTATAAAGAGAGCTCTTCCCGCCGTGTTGCCGCTAGCGCAAAGTGCAAGCGATAACAAATGCCAAAAAATTGTTCTAGTGCAATTCACGATCATTGCTAAATAAATAAAATTAATTTCATAGTTCTTTTTTCCTCCCCCATTTATTTACTACATACGTATATACATATATATACATAAAGCAGCCGAAAAACGAACGCGTGTGCTTGTCAGTTTCGACGAACTTGTGTCTGTGTTTGTGTAAACGACGTCCCAGCAGCACGCAATAAGAACGAAAAAGCGAAAAGAGACAACGAGGACTACGTCAAAGTTGGAAAAAGCAGAAGTGGAAACATTCACTGTGAGTACGAGCCCATCTACCTTCATATAATTCTTTTCTCTTCTTTTTTTTTTAGTTTTTAGTTTTGTCTGCGAGTCAGTTTGTGTGATTTTAATTGTATTATTCACTTTTCGGTTAATTTTATATGTGTGGAAATGTGTAGACAGCGCGCGCTGTTTACTGTTATGCGTGGTTGCCGTTTGACCGGTGACGCCATCTTTTAACTCACACCAATAATTTTCGTTAAACAATTTTTTTTATTTTTTGGGATTGGTCAAGCACATTCCGGAGGAGTGTGTTTTTTGTGTTATGCCTTGTGATCAGTATTCGTTCTGAGCGCAGGGCAAAAGAAATGTACTTTTCTTATTTTCTTTGACTTGTCAGATGAAGAACATTTGACTTTTCTCTCTCCTTTCTCTTTCTTAATTTACATTGGGTGGGTGGGAGCTGCAAAGATATATATATACCTGTATGTATATACAGATATATATATACCTGTATGTATATACACTAGCTTTCTATTCGTGTCTGACACATGTCATCATACAGGTTTCTGATTTAAACTGCCGCCTTTATCAGTATACACTTACACACTCACGCACACAGAGACAAGTGCTAGCAAATATTTACGCTTACGCGTGTCTAATGCATTTTGCCGCTGTTCGCGGCGCATCTGTTTACAAGTTTCTCAGTCTCGTCGATGACCTACTTATTTGCAAAGTTTCTTTGCAGTTTTTTTTGTTTTGTATGCCGTTGCTTTGCCTTTTGCATGCGATTTGGCGAAAATCTAGTTTTGTGTAAAGCAAGTGATAAACGGATTTGTAAATATCAAAAACTTGTTTTTATTGAATAGTGACAAACGTTAATGGTTTTGCAAGCGATGCAGAGATCAGTTGGTCAATCAATATCGGTTATCGGTTAACCGCTTAAACAGCTGCTTCACCAGTGTAGCCACATAATTTATTGCAAATAATGCATAAGACGCGCAAGACTTAAATTATTGTCTCTACTCTTTTTCTAATCAGAACTTTTTTCGCTGTTCGCTAGTAAGAATTTGAGCCCAATATACACACATTCATAAATATATACATACATACATATAAATTTGAATGTGTGCTCTCGGCAGTAAGTTGACCTCATTTTTTCTTTTCTATGTGACCATATTCTTATTGCTTTCAATTAGAGAACAATTAGAGGTAGAAAAGAGATAGGCATACAGACAGAAATTACAGTATAACGAATCATGTATTAAATAGAAAAAGTATATAAAGAATTTTTCTTGGTTAACTTTCATGTATTGCTCATTGCCTTTGAAGTTACTGTTATCAACCATATCAAGTTGATATAACAAATATAAGCAAGTGACTCTGTTACGTATGTGCTGCGCTCGAGGTATATTAACAATTCAATACCCAGGTATATTAACAATTCAATGACGTCATAGCTCGCATTTTCTAATGAATCGCGCGGCCTTTTGTTGCTAATTCAATTTTGCGAATACTTATACATAAATATGCACACATACACACGTTCACTTGATGAGTTTTATAATTTATTTCAATTCAGCCCAAACGCTGTGCGTATATATATATTTGTGTTTAAGTTTTTTTTTGTATTATTTGTTCCCCCTTTTTTGCACGAAATAAAATGCTACTGCAAGTGACTCAATTGTAGTTGAATTTGTAGCTAATAAAGAGATTTTTTTAAATGTAATGCAACAGTTTTTATATTTGTCGACAACCTCTTCAACAGGTGAGAACAAAAGCAATTCGTTGTGACGCTCTTCGGGTGGGTGGCTGAGAATAGCAATGTAAATGACAAAAGAAAAAAACCCATTGTCATATTGCGCTACTACAGTTATTTCCAGTGGACAAATTAAAGTGTTGAATGAATGAGGCAAACAGACAGTGAGAGAGAGAGCAATCCAAGTGTGTGTGTGTGTGTGTGTGTGTGTGTGTGTCTTTGTTTTTGTGGGAGGAAGTGCATAGTTAAAACTGTAAACAATTGTGTGGGTGGCAACCTAGAAAAGCAGCGACAACAAATGCTTGAATGAGGCACATTAGTTTCGTTTTGAATTTGGTTTTTGTTATTATTATTGTTATTGTTGACCGAGTCTGCATATGACGGAAGTAGAATAGAAACTCGAAATAAACAATAAATACTATAATAAATTATAAATACATTTACCTAAGAAAACTCGGAAGGTACTGAAGGTGACAGTGAGCGAAGCTTATGAATTACGAGTAAAAATTGTTTACTCAAGCGCGCGCTTTGCTTATCTAATTTCCCATTTTAGTGACGTCACTTGATGTCAGTCAGGCTGTGATTAATTGTTATAAAATGTTCGGAGATTAAGTGCATAATTGTGACGTTCCGTTTGATTAATTGAACCTTCGTTCGCAACAATCGGAGGTCTGACAACCCTACAGTCCTCACTAATACCAAACGATTTATCTAAAAAGGCGAAAAGTAGAAAAGAGAGAAAGGCAGAGAGAGAGTGAGGAGTAAACTCGTCTTTGCCTTAGGCAATTGAGAAGCCACTGCTTCAGCTAAACAAATGCATAAAGCGAAAGAGAGGCAAACAAATGCATAAATAAAAAAGTAGCGTACGTGCCATACACACACAGAGAGACACACAAACATAAACACCTATGCCTATAGAAGTGAGATTAAAAAGAGATGTTTCTGGGCTCCGCTGCTGCTGTTGCTGTTGCCTGCAGCTCCTCATCAATATTACAAGCAACAACAATAACGCAACAGAGACAACAGACAAATGTACAGTTGCAACAGACAGGCTGGTAAAACACCAACAATAAATTCTGATGCTGCAGCAGCATAACTAAATCTTGTAAGAAATATCAAGAAGGCCCTAGCAAAGCCCAAGAGTAGTAGACAGAAAAAAAAAACACAGGCCGGCTGACAGACAGAGAGTGACGACTGCAAAAGCTCAGGCACGACAACCATGCTGTTAATTATACATGCCCAAGTGTTATGAAGAGTATGAGAGAGACAGACAGAGAGAGGAAGAGGGCGACTGAGGCAAAGAGTGGCGTATAACGAGAACAAAGTAAGCAGAGGCCAAGAACAAAAATGCAGACAAAAATCAAAAAAGAAAATAAGTAACCACGAGTGCTTGAGCCAGGATACACGACTAAGAGATACTCTCAGCTTAGAATTGTTGAATATATATGAAATAAATTATATAAATTGGCAATCTAAAAGTATAATATTGTCTGTCAGTTTCACGCTAGTTTGTAATATATATTTGTAAACGTCTGTATCGTATTAGCTTAATCTGTTACATACACTAGCATTAAAGCAAAATACTCTGTCAACCGGCTTTCATCAAGTTCAGAGTAAAAGAAAAAAGAAAGATCTCAGCCAAGTTGTTGTGCAGCCTCTCCCGTTCGGTCGGCCGGTCTCTGCTTGTGCCTGCCAATTGAAACTGTCTTAAATTAAAAGTATAAGACTATTATTATCTTCATTTGTTCTCTTTTTACTGAACTAAAATTTCAATTGGTATATTTGGGTTAATTTCGTTTCATTAGTTTACTATGTGGGCGTGGGAAAATTGTCGCTGATTGCAACAATTTACAATGTGATTAATGTAATTTCAATGAAAAACACAGCATATAATTAACACAGTGTGGAGCTGTGCTGTGATGATTGCCTGAGTTAGAAACTGTAGCAAATCTAGTTTAAGCAGTGAATTGAAGTGAGAAGGCAAGAATCTTAAATACAAATTGAACCTGATATTTTAAAATCACTTTACAACACTGAAAATATTTTTAAATGAATAGTTCTTTTGATTCGGAATTGTTTTGGTTCTACAGAACAATCGCTTACTATGCCTGTTTGCTATAAAACTCGTTTCTTTTGTGCATGATTTATGCATCTCTTGAAGTCATAAAGTGAATATAAAAAACTCGTTTTTATATAAGTTTTGAGCTTTTAGGCCAAAGATGTTGTAACAAAAGAGCCACAAACGGCATAATAAAAAGTCAATTTACAATTACAATAACAATAAAATATATAGACAAAGACTGGCCACAACTCTTGTGGCAAAAGCAAAAAAAAAAAACATTGCAGCATATTCATATTAATTCATAATGCAAAAAGTTGTGAAGCACACGAAAGCTAAATTTCAACTCGAATTGCTTATATAATAGTTTATCTTTTATATATGTATAGTTTGCTCGCCAGACATTTGGACGTCAGCCTTTTTGGTGTGAATAATAGTTAGCATGCGAGGCTCTTAAATGAAATTGTTAATTAACACCGGTAGCAGCTAGATGGCATGCAATGCACGCATTATTATTAATCACTTTTAATACTACTATTAAAATTGTGTTTAAAATTCCTTTTCACTGCAACTATATGGATGGGTTTTGGTATTTAGTATGTGCTTTAACTGTTTTTAAATGTATTTTGCATTCTTTAAATATGCGAATTGAGTACAACGGATACGGGCAACAGTTTCATTGAAAAAAGAGAGAGTCAAGTTTATTAAAATTTGAAAAATAAAAAAATTAGCTAAACTAGTTGAAAAATTGATTCTGCATGGTATCTCAAATTACTATTCATTTCTCAATGTATTGCTAGCCCTAAAAATTATATAATTGATGTAAAAATGATCGAACTGCTCTAAATTTTTTATGAGAAGTAAATTCTTCTATAATAAATCAGTATTTTAAAATAATTATAGATCGAAACCCATTTTTCAAGTTTATAAGCACAACAATTTTCGAACAAACTGACGAATAAATTAACAGCTTATTATGAGTCTATAATTAATATGCAAAAATATGTAGAAAGTGTGCTATAAAATTATATTACAAAAATTATTAATGAATATTGGTTAGAGTATAATGTAATAGAAACACCTTTAAAATAAGTATACGTGTATGTGCGTGTGTATAAAAGGAAATGGCCGTATAAGTTACCAGCCTGACACCAGGCAATGAATATTTCAATTATTTTGTTGGACGTACTCTCTCGCACTCTGTCGCTCTTCTACGCCTCCTAGCCCCACCCCCTTAGTGTTGTACACATACGAAAAAAAGTATTTGAACGCGCGCGCTGCTAGCTAAAAATATTTGCATGACATCATTCGACTTAGTTGTTGTTGCGAACGCGGCATCAATAATTTTCTGCTTTGCTTGCCTATAGACTATATATACTATAGATACATAGACGTATATTATTTTTATTTTTTATGCTGCATTTTGTGGTTAGTTGTTTGTTGGGCGACACCAGCGCGAGGGTCATAAAAATGTCAGTATTTGTCGGCTCATTGAACTCTTCTTCTACACTTATTTATGCAGCGTTTTCTCTATGTTCAATTGCAGGCAGAAAGAAAAGAAAAACTTGTACAAAATAGTATATTGAAAAAGTATTCGGTTTTAAGGTGAGTTGTATTTATTTTTATTTTTGCCAGAGTCGTAGACTCGCCTTCAATCGATAACGATAAGTCACAAGTGGAGAGTAAACAAACGTGCCAAGAGGCAAACATAACTTGACTTCGTGTTTATCGGCGTACAAACATTTACGTTTCAAAATGTGCAAATGATTATTGTGAATGATTTATCTACACTCTTTACTCTTCACACTATTCAGCAACAACACTGCCTCTGTCTCCCTCTCTCTTCCCCTTATTTGCCTGCTTGAGCTACTATCGTTTTTGTTGACATTTCTCTTGCATCATATGATGGGCACGACCGTCAGAGATTGATAGAGTGTGACAGAGAGAGTAAGGGAGAGCGACAGAGATAGGGAACAGAACATTTAGAGTTGAGCTCTCAGTTTTTCATTTATTTTTTGCTGTTGATCTTTGAACTTGCGCCATAATAATTGCCATAATTAAGTTTTGACTGCCAAAAAAGAAAAAAAAAGTAACTTAAGTGATATGTGTCATTTGCAATTTATATTTTCTCAAGTTTTTACTCTCGTCGTGTCTCGCTTTTAATAATAATATTAATAATCGGCCAATGATGTCACTTAGTGAAAACCAGTTTTGATTTTGCATTATTGTTGTTAGTTTGCCAAATATATATTTACAAACATTTATAATTTATTCAAGCGTTAAATTCCGGCTTTGAATATTATTTCACTTTCATTGAATAGTCAAATTTTGACAGAAAATTAGCTTTAAACTATTATCTTTAATCTATACTGGGCTGTACTAAAACTAAGTAAGATACGCCCCTATTGAATATTATTTAAGACTCAATTTAACTGCACACGTCATGGCAACTCATATGAACTCCTCAGTAAATAAAAATTTTTGCTATTTGGCACGAGTGTAAGAGCAGGAGAGAAAGAGCAAGATAGAGATGGAGTTGGAGAAGTAATAAAAACGAAGATAGTTTTTTCTTTCTGTTTTCTCGTCCAACTTGAAAGTTGAATTCGCTTGTGCGCATTTGGCCCATGTCCATCCATCCATCCATCCAGGCCAAGCAGTTAAATAAATGGGTCATTGAACCAGACGAAACTACTTTTTTCTTCTGCTTCTTCTTTCATTTGATTTTACTATCATATATTGCTTTAATGCTTTTTACCCACTTGGCAATAAAGGAAAAAATGAGCAGTGCTTTATTGTATTTGGCTTTAAGCTTTTTACATTTCTGTCGATTTAATGAACGACTCGAATTATTAAGTTTAATTGTGGAATAATGTGTTTTTTTTTTCGTACTAAAAATAACCATATATTATAGGTTCGAATATAATTATATTTGTTCCCCAACTACTTAATGTTTGTCCTTAACATTGTATGGCTTCCTGTGTCCTGCCATAGCAGGCGGCGCTCAGTCAATGACCTCTCACATTTCTACAGTATGACATCATGCTTAATTATATATTCTACAACCCCACTAACGCTCCGCCCCCTCTCCTTCTCTCGCTCTATCTTTTCAACCCCCCCACGATAAAAACAAAGCACTTAAAGTAGCAAATAAATATTTCACCCTCCAAAGCGATGACGTCATTTCCTGTTATTTCAGGCCAACAAGGACCTTTTTATGAGTCGCGCGTGTTTTACACACTTCTCAAACACGAATCCCCCTACTCGCCTAGTTAGCTGTGGCGCCACATTTCTATGATTTGGCGCTTGGCGCCGGCAACAAATTTCATAATGGACGCAACAAATAAGAGGACATTCACATAAAAAAGTAAAGGTTGTGTGTGTGTGGGGTGTGGCAGGTATTCGAAACATGGAATTGAGCTTGGAAGGTGGGTGGGTGGTTTGTTTGGCTTGCTTAAGCTGTCTTCTATAGGGCTGGGCGCGTGTCGTTGAACTTGTGGCCGTGGCTGCCTAGCAACACGTTAACTACGACACACATGTGTCAAAGGCAATGCGTGCTAACTGTTATTTTGAAACCTAGATAATCAATGGGCAAGTGCAGTGCTGGAGAGCTTGGGGCTGTGCCGCGTGTCCTTTACGCTAGTAATTAGACAACGATTAGGTGAATATTTGCAAGCCATAATGGAACTTTAATGGGTTTCCCCACTACGCACAGGTGCAGCTGTAGGTTTCCTATTAAATGGACATGCTGAAGCAGTCAACAATGAAAAGATCAAAGTTTGTTTTAACAAGATTAAAACGGAAATTGGTTTTACCAAACAAAAATGATTAAAGTAAACATAACATATTTGTTAGCTTCTATAAAATCTGATGGATTACTCAGAGAGACAATTGATATATAAATATATATATCTGTCTATCTTTTTTAATTCAGTTCAAAATAATTATTTCTTATAATTTTTTTGAAATTCCCATTGAGTTCTTTCCAAGCAGCCAACACTCAAAAGAGCTTTAGGCCCATTCGTCAATTGGGCAATGCGAATCCAATTTTTTATATGTAAAATGTTATATATTCTTATGTATAGATCGTATCAGCTTGTTTGTTGGCTGTTCTCCAAGTGAGTCAAGACTTTGATATTGGGTTGATGAGAACATATAGAAGATATGAAACATTCAACTGTCTGTTCATGCTGCTTGTCCATAACGATGTCATATAAATGTTGGCTTGCAGAAGCAGAACTTATGCAAAGAAAAACGAATCGTAATATTACAGTGGGCTGTAAGCGACTAGCCAATACTCTGCTCTACTCACTTCACTTACTGCGAAATTTAGAGGTTTTAACGAATTGTCTTTATCCAATATATATATATATCTTATATGCATGTACTATAAAAAAGACTAACTTTTCAGCAACCAATATACCATCTAAAAAAAAAAGAAAATAAAACGAAGAACCGAGCTGAACCGATCTGATCATAAATATAAACAGTGAACAAGTGAACTGTTTGTTGTTGTCAGGCACTGACACACGCCAAGTGTTGTCTGTCTGACGGTCGTCTGTTTGTTCACTTGTCTGGTCTTCTTTCATGCCTGTATTATGTATGTTATATTTTACTTAAAGCATTTCATTTGTCAGAGATCGGATAATCTTTGGCGTCATGCAACGGCGCCAACTTCTCAAGAGATTTCTGTATTGTAATTCAAGGCACGCGACTTGCGTGAGTCGCGTGACTCTTCGCAAAAAGGTGGACAAAGAAAAGGGAAAGAGAACTGCTTAGCAAAACAAACAAAATTAGCGAGATGTGATGGGAATGTAGGGCAGACAAAGTAACATTTTGCAATTAATAATTCCATGCACGGGTGTAAAATTGAGAGAGAGAGAGAGATAAAAACATTTATGACGAGCGGGATTGCATTTATATAAATTTCAAAAGTAAAAAATTTTTTAAATGAAATAAAAAAACTGTGACATGTTTCCGCCCGGGATCGAACCGGGGGCCTTCTGCGTGTTAGGCAGATGTGATAACCGCTACACCACGGAAACAGTTGAATTTATGCCAGCCAAATGCTTTACATGTTATGCAGCAGTAAACTAAATCTGACTCGTTGCCAAATATTTACTTAAGGAACAACGAAAGCAGTTTTATTTTAATCTTTAAAAGTTATTCTTAGATTTGAGTCTACATCTTCAGTGCTATATGTATATGTATATGTATATATTTATTTTTTTTGTATGAATCATATTTTCATGCAGAATAGAGTATATGTATACGTAAAAATATGCATTAACAATCATCAGCTACATATTGAATATTGAAATATATAAAAATTACAAAAAAAAAAAAATTAGACATGTTTCCGCCCGGGATCGAACCGGGGGCCTTCTGCGTGTTAGGCAGATGTGATAACCGCTACACCACGGAAACAGCTGGTGAGTGTGCGTCTTAAGTCCAAGCAGTTGCTTTGTGCAAAACATGTGAGTTAGTAAAAGTTGCAATCGCGTGTACTGCTTGCTGAAATACAGCTACATCGTTATTTTGTGTAGTCAGTTTTAATATATATTTTTTGTTTTGGAAATATGGATTAGTGTTTTTAAATTGAGAAGATCTGCTTTATTTAGCTTGTGCAACAAAATAAAATGAAAAAGAATTGTACTTTCGCAGCCGGTAGGATTCGAACCTACGCTCCCAGAGGGAATCTGATTTCGAGTCAGACGCCTTAACCACTCGGCCACGACTGCTTGTGTACTGCGTTCGTCTAAAGTATGATATATGCTTCGAAGGCACATTTTCATTTGGGTTGTGATTTTATTTGTTCTAGCTTAAATCTGAATACAAACCAGGAGTTATATGAATAAAAATTTATTATTTTTAACTAATGATTATTATTAAAATACAAAAATAAATATAAATGAAGTGTATTTATTTTGTCTTTATTTTTTATTTCTTAAATGGAGGTGCAACGTTAAAACTAAAAAATGTATGGTATTTAAGTCAGGAATTGTAAGGCCTTGAGCGAGACGTTTAGGTACATTCTATGGGTTTTTATTATTGGATATGATAAGTTTAGATTTCTAGTGCTAGTATTTAAGTTTATAATTTGCATAATAAATACTTTATATATAGTTTAATTTTAGAGCCTTTGCTTATAACTGTAATAGTAGTGGATTCTATACACATTACTCAGACCGACTTCAATTCGTGTTAGTTACAGATTTATTCAAATACTAGTAGAAGGTTATCTGTCACTGACAGCTACAAAATCTCATTATTTACACTTGGCGCTCAGCTTTTACAGTTTATTGCACTTTTTTGATATTTGTTATTGTTGCTTCAGTAAACGGAATGATCTTTCAATAGCGTCTGTTGCTGCTCCACTGACTGAGTGACTTGTTGCATTATGAATACTGAATGGATTCATTGATGAGGTTTTGAGATGATGATTATGATGATGACCTTATTGTTGGCTTATTGTTGTGTGCTCTAGATGTCAGAAATATTACGTAAGATTTCTCTAGTAACGCTGAATGAATACTTGAGAAATTTAATTAACGCTCGCACATGTGTGAAAATTATATATAGGGTGTTCGTTTTTGGGGTTAATTGAACGCTTAAAACTTTGAGTGTATGTATGTGTGTGAGTGTGATAATTAATAAAGTGAATGCATAATTGGATTCTTCAGTATGCTGAGTACTTGAAAATCAATAACATGCTTGCTGTAATGTAATTTAAAAGCATTCACATATAATGCTGTAGCTAAGGTGTTAACAGTTTTATGTTATTAACATTTACTGAATTCTGTTAAAGTAAGCCAAACTTCATCTTTCATATGTGTACAGTTAAATTAATTTTAATAGCTGTTTTATGTTATGAACAGTCTCTGACACAATGTCTCCGTTTGTTTATATTGTTTTTGTTTTCTTTTGTGGCAGCTCTAACTCATTAAAATAATGGGCGTGTCATCAACTGGCAGTTGAGCAGTCTACATATATAATATATAATTGCATAATGTCAACTGCGAACAGATAACAGGGGCAGCTAGAGGCAGTCCAAGTTGGCGTCAGCAACGCCTAAATTTAATTGATGTTTGTTTCCGTGCAAAAAGGTCAGCAAAGACGAAGTCTCTTTGAGTATGCGTGCAGCAGTGAAAATATTTTTTGGTTTTGTTTGTATTTGCGCTTACATCACTTTGTCGTCGCATCACATGATAAGTTAATTAGATTTGTGTATCGTGACTCGGGTGCAAGCGCATAGAAATCCGATTAGAGGCAATGCAGCGACTCGCGTTCGTATTGGCATTGTCGAAAGGTCAATAAACTGCATGAGCTGTCTGTAAACAAACGAACATTACAGCTTTTTTTATATTTAATTTGTTGATGACCTGGTGCTATTTAGCCATAAAAGTCAACCTGTGTTACCATAACAGGAGGAAGTAGAGGCTTGTTTAAAGGCAGAATGCATTTGGTGCCCCTCTTTTATTTTGATATGTGCAGATTCTCGCCTTAATCAAGTAGACAATACACCTACGGTCTGAAGTTAGCCACCCACATACATCTGTTGTAGGGCAACAGTTTGTTGTGGATGATCGCAAACTCCTACGCCATAGTGGGATGACTCGTTAAGTTTATTGCTTACTGCCCACTTAAAACTGGGCACTTGAAGAACGTTTATTTTCAAACTATATTCTCTTTGATTTGCGCCCACACACGGGCACAAAAGTTCAATTACCTGGCAACGCTCGCAGTTGTTTTTCCACCTTCCCCATTTTAAGCCTGTCACTCAAACTGTGCGGCACACGTTCAGTCAGCCAAAAGCAGAACAGACACACGTCATAATTAGCATGGACAGCAAAAAAGAAAGACTATATACATACATACATACACATACACACATGTATGTATATAAAACGCCACTTTAAATATGCACATTGACATGCTCGATGTGCAATTGTCAAGCCAATAATAACAATGAGCAAAGGTTTATTTTGCGCATTTTCATAATAATGACAATACAATAAGCCAAGTACAAAGCTGCCGCACCAACGTTTGAGCTGCATACTTTCTTTTTTACGCTGTAGAAAAGCACTATGAAAAGGGGATGAGAAGAGCTGCCACTTGTGTGCTTGTCTTTAAATTGGCGTAAGCCGAGTAGAAAATGCGCTTTCAATTGATACGGCAAGGCTGTGCCTATATTTGTATTTGTATTGCAAAGGCGCACTCGTATGCATGTATTGGTCATCGATGATATAGGAAGGTGCAATGTAAGAATGTATGAGTAGTTATAGCCTGAGTAATATGTGTGTCGTTGACATTTGTATTGTTATTGTTAGTATGCCATGGCTGTACAACAGGAGTAGGTGAGCTTTGATTTATGCATATATACTAACTGCATTATCTACTTTGTATTATTAATAATAATCGTTCTCAAAAAATGTATGAATATGCTTTAAAAAAAAGCAAACTGACAAAGAAATCCAAATTGAAGGTTAATATCTTTCAAACAAACCACCGCGCCTAAAATTAAACGAGCAACGCATTTATTTCTCCTTCTTTCTTCTCTTTCTCTCTTTAGTTGTTTATTTGTTTTAAGTGGCGCTGCTGCTGCGGCAATGTCGCTGCACTCGTTCGTCGCTAACACGCTGCTCTTTACGCTTGAGATGCGCAGCGTCGTTTAAGTTGTTGTTGTAGTAGTTGTTTGTATGCCTGTGCGTGCGTGTGTGTGTATGCGTGCGTGATTGTATTTTGCTGCCACTTTCTTCATTTTGTTTTAAAGGCATCAATTTAAATTCGTTAAAAGCCAAATACATGCATATATATGTATCCAAATAAAAGCAAATGATCTTAAAATAGTTTTGTTTTTTCCATTTCTGCTGCCGCACGTTTATTTTCACACTCTCGTGGGCAACAGCAGCAGAAACAGAGGGACAGCGGTTCGCTCTGCTGCGCTCCATCCACACCCCAAAAGAAAATAATAATAATAATACTAAAAAGAGAACTCAACATATCTTCCCAATAATTTTGCCTCACCAACTGTCAAGCAAACCAAATTTATTTTTATCCAAAATTAGAATTTTTGTTGGGGTTGTAAAATATGCAGTATAAATATATATAAAAATACCAAAAAAGAAAATGAAATGGAAAGGCTAGCCGGCGCTTTCGGAACTTTAGTTGAAGTGCTTTATATATTTGCCATTCACACAGCAGGCAGACATGTGTAAATACATACATAGACGCATATTGCTCTGTCAACGCTCGTTCACCGTTCTCTCCTATTCTCTTCCTCTCTTTATCTGTCTCTTTCACGCTTTAGTTTAATAAATGTTGTTGGGTGGTTCATTTGCGCCTTGCCTTGCAGTTTTATGCAGGCGACGACACAAGTGCTATTTGCCACTCTCTTGTTCTCTCTCTCTTTCTGTGTCTCTCTTTTGCCACCCTATTTTTCATAACGCAAACCAAAAGTTTTGGCCTGCAGTTTTTAAGGTCAGTTGAAAATTTTCAGCTGAGCCTGTCGAAAGCGAAATATTTAGAAATAAAAACTAATTAGTATTATTTTAAGATATAAATAAGTTATGTATTTTTGTTTTTGTTTCTAGCATTTGAACTAAATTTAAATAAATTAACTGAAACATGACTGAGGTTGAGCAACCGCCACAAAACGGCATAGATCCAACCGCGGGCGAAGATGACGAGAACAGTAAAGCGCGTCCCGCGGACATTGAACAGGTATATATATTCGCAGTTGTAATTCTAGAAGAGAAACAAATTAAAACTTAACTTATTTCACTTGCAGGATATGCGGGAGATGGAGCGACGCAAACGTGTTGAGGCCATTATGGGCTCCAAACTGTTTCGTGAGGAACTGGAACGCATTGTCGACTCGGCACGTGAAGGTAGCGCCGGTGCCAGTGGCATATTGCAGCAGTTGTCGGATATTGTGGGAGTGCCCGTGAATCGTGTTAGCAACGTTTTCAAGAGCGGCAGCTGCATGGTGCCCATCAACGATATACGTGGCGTGGAGTCGATGGGATATGCTAAGGGTGAGAAGATACTCAGATGCAAACTAGCTGCCACATTCCGTCTGCTGGATCTGTACGGCTGGACACAGGGTCTGGGAGCACAGATTACGGCGCGCCTAAAGGTCGATCAAGAGTACTTTTTGGTTAATCCCTATGGTCTGTTGTACCATGAGATAACCGCTTCGGCCCTCAATAAAGTCGACATGCAAGGTCAGATTGTCGAGCAGGGCACAACCAATTTTGGCGTGAACAAGAGCCGTAAGTAAACATTGTAATAGTGAAGAATTGAATGAATTAAATAAATTATCTGTACATTATTTTACAGATTTTGTGTTGCATTCGGTGGTGCATGCGGCGCGTCCAGATATCCGTTGCGCCATTTATATTGGATGCAGTCCCGTGGTGGCAATATCTTCACTAAAGACGGGCTTGCTGGCTCTCACCAAGGATGCCTGCGTGTTGGGCGAGATTAGCACACACGCCTACACCGGCTTGTTTGACGCGGAGGAGCGCGACCGTCTGGTACGCAATCTGGGGCCCAACTCCAAGGTCATGCTGTTGGCCAACCATGGCGCCCTATGCTGTGGAGAGACCATTGAAGAGGCCTTCTTTGCTGCCTGCCACATTGTGCAGGCGTGCGAAACGCAGTTAAAGCTGCTCCCGGTCGGCCTTGATAACCTTGTGCTAATACCTGAGGAATCGCGCAAGTTGATCTATGACCAGTCGCGTCGTCCACCAGAGGATTTAGAAAAGAAATTTGCTGCCATCACAGCTGATGAGGACGGTGCAGCCGCTGCCGGTAAAGAGGAAGTCGTCACGCCCAAGATTGGCAGCCCGCCCAAGTGGCGTGTGGGTGGCGCCGAGTTCGAAGCACTAATGCGAATGCTGGATAACGCTGGCTATCGTACTGGCTACATCTACCGTCATCCACTGATCAAATCAGATCCGCCAAAGCCTAAGAACGACGTTGAACTGCCACCAGCTGTGTCTTCATTGGGCTATCTGCTGGAGGAGGAGGAGCTCTTCCGACAGGGGTATGAAAGCTGCTTTCTAGTTCAAGACAAATGTTATAAATATCTCCTTTTTTTACAGTATCTGGAAGAAGGGAGATCTGCGCAAGGGCGGCGATCGCAGTCGCTGGCTCAATTCGCCCAATGTTTACCAGAAGGTCGAGGTCCTGGAGACTGGCACTCCAGATCCCAAGAAAATCACAAAGGTAGAGATCATAACATTTGAAGATAGACAAACGACACAACAACAAACACAAAGAGGTGCTAACCTCAAGGAAATCGAGGGAAATTAGTGGCCATTGATAAACTAATTTGAGCAACACACAAATCCTAATACAGATAGGGAAATTTTTAATTAAAAATCCCAAACTAAGAAACACTAAAATAACATTCCAAACAACCATCCATAGAAAATATTTTTAGCTCCCTTTGACAAAGGTCGCGTCTATCCACTCAGTTTTCTAATTGCTTTCTTTAATATTCACGCATAATATCTATATATGTAGCATATAAGCAAAAAGAGAGATCAATAATTGACAAACTTTATTTACATTAAAAAGAAATTATGATGCAGAGATATTTTGTAACCCAAATGCAGCAAAAGCAAACCAATATTAATATGAAATGCTTTATAAATTGTAATTGTGCATTAATCAAATAAATATATAAAATACAAAACTAAATCGCATAGATGATTTTGTGCCTCTTTAGGGACCTTCCAATTATTATTATTTGCCTTATAAAAAACAAGAAAAGAAAAAAATGCAAAGAAAGAGAAAGACATTTGTTAACAACCATTAAATGCTAGCTAATAAATATATTTTAAGCAATGCTAAATTTAAAAAATAATTATTCCATCAAGCTCTGCATGTTTTTATAATTTTCTCTCATTTCAATCATTTAATTTGTTTATGTTCAAATACAAGTATCTTTTTCTTTGCATGATTCCGAAATTATAATTTGTTAATTGTCCTCTTTATTTACTTACATTTCTTAAGGCACAAACTCATTTATGCTTGTTGTATTTCATTTAATTAAATATTTATAATTTGCATTTGGAATAAGTTTCAACTGTGTTTAACAAATTTGCTTGCATTTGAGTGCAATTATCTGTGATGATGGGGCATATTCATATTGTATTGTGAAATGTAATTATATATCTGAAATATGTGAACTTTTAACATTTAAATATGTAGGATATATTGTATCAAATTTAAGAATTCCTATTTCAAAAATCTGAAATTTAAATCTAAAACAAATTTCTTTCTCTTTCTTTTTCAATTGCTTAACTCCGTTGAATGTCCCCCATATACAAAATACACAAAAACCGAAAAACCCCTACGTATTGCCCTTTAAAATAATAGTGGGTAGCCGAAGGTTCGCCCACCCACTCGACGCCAGTTCGCATCGAGGATCCGTTGCAATTCGTACCAGCCGGAACAACAACCAAGGAGTTTAAGCGGGTGCAACAGCAAGTCAGTAACTGTAAAACATCCTTCTATAACATTCTAACATTGTGTAAACTATATAAAACAGATCAAGGACAACCGACGCGCAGACAAAATTTCTGCTGGCCCACAATCGCACATATTGGAGGGCGTTACCTGGGATGAGGCGAATCGCATCAAAGATGCAACCGTCTCGCAAACTGGTGATCATGTTGTGCTAATGGGCGCCGCCTCCAAGGGCATCATTCAGCGAGGATTCCAACATAATGCGACAGTCTATAAGGCGCCCTATGCCAAGAATCCCTTCGACAATGTGACAGACGATGAGCTCAACGAATATAAGCGCACTGTCGAGCGCAAAAAGAAGAGCATTCATGGTGAATGTAAGTAGAGAGAAAGAGCGAGCGAGACAGACCGATTCGAAGAGCGCTGGCTTATGCAAAGCAGTATGTTAACTTAACAGTGTATTCCAAGCACGATTGCAGATTGGTCTGTTAACTTAACAGTGCCTTGTAGTACTTGTTACTGCAAAGTGTTTTGTTAACTTAACATTGCGTTGTATGCAATTTTGCAAAACGGTCTATTAACATAACAATATGATGCTGCTTTGCGTAAACTAACAGAGTGATTTAACAGTAGCTGGATTAGATAATCGTAATGAAATATATATTTATTTATTTTAACTTTTGCCCACATCTAGATACCGATACAGACTTTTCGGAATCAGAGGCACTCAACTCGATGCAAGCAGCGGGTGCTCATGCACATGCAAAACACGCACAGAGCGAACCAGAAACGGGTAAGCAAAATAAACTATAGTGATCTCCATATCTGAGATGCAATAATGAATATTGAAATCTATTTTTAGAACACCAAATCATACAGATTCAAACACAGCAGGCGCCCATTCCCAGCCAGGCTGAGGTTGTGCTAAGTGATGGTGAGTCCAAATCTATAATCAATCCAAATTGTTTCCTCTTGTTTTATGTCTATGTTCATATAATTGAATTCTCATACACAAAAACACACCCATACACATTCAAACCGGTTGTGTTCCCTTTCCAAAACTGAATCCTCAGATTTGTGAAATTAAATTGATTCGTTTTATATTATTCTTTTGTTAATGCATTTTGTCTTATGTTATTTTGTACGTTTTTATATTTCTTTTTTTACAAATTAATATCTCGATTTTTCATTATTATTTATATAAGTTTTATATAGTTTTTTAATTTTATATTCATATTTTTTTAACAATATATTTAAACCTAATCTTATGTATTTTATTTAGAAAACTATTCTAACCTATAATTTTACTTATATGCCATTTTCCTTTTATTTATTTTTTTGCCTCTACTCCGAAAACTTCAATATACACACACACAAAACAATTACAACAATTACAATTTCATAACAATATATTTAATAATTGAAAAGTTAACAAAAAAGTACTCGTAGCACTTGATACAGTTTCGACTTCCTTTCTGTAAACAATTCTTCTGTTACACAACATTCTGTTAAAATATCAACCCTATCTATCTATCTATACAATACAAACCTGAGGACTTACGTGTTGTACGACGTGCACAAAGTGAATTTGATTTTGATTTTGATTTTTGCCTAACTAAAATGAGAAAACAATAATTCGAGTTAAACTCTACTTCCCTTGACAACATCTTCTTTATACAGCTGCAGTTTGATTTTGTATTTAGTAAATGTTCTCGTTTATTTTCTCGTAATTTTATGCATATTTTTCACTTTTTAAACAATTTGGCAAATTGTAATTCAAAATTGTTAACTTACCTTTTGAACTTTTATATTTATTCTATAAATTCTTAGCTTAACACAAGCGCAAATAAATTGGCAGCTAAAATTTTGAATGTAGTTAAAATGATTTTAGAAATTGTTTAGGATAAAAGAAAAAAATTAACAAAAAAATATATAAAAAGAAATACAACAGCGAAGCTCAACTAAATACAAATACTACTACTACTACATTTTCTACTATCAATACAATGTACACGTGTATGTGTGTCTGTGTGTACATTGCTGCTGCTGCTGCGCTTTCTAAATATCTACACACACACACTGTCAAAAAACCAAAGTTTAGTAACTTACATTTATTTTTAGAGGTGAGTGCAGCCCCCCAAAAAGACTTAGTGTGTAGTAACAAAAAGAGAAAAAAACATATATAATTAATAATACCTGTGCATAGTTTATAGAGCAGTGAACTAAATTCGTTTATGCATAATCTCATGGAAATTCATATAACTAATATGTTGTTCATGCACACATGCTCTCTTTTTAATAACATTTTGCCTTGCCGCTATAACATTTCTCATTATTTTTAACAAAAGCAGAGCGCAGTTTATATACAGCTTGTTATTTATTTATTATTATTTAATAATTTTTTGAGCCTGTTCACAATATATATGCAGCGACCAAGAGTTGTTCAGTTCGATGAAACACGGTTCATTCACATGAACTGAACTTATTCACTGATCAGCGAACAAGTAATCGGTTACGAACGATACTCTTTGCTTAGTTGTTATGTATCGTTTATGAGCGATTCCGTTTGCCTAGCTGTTCATGACTATCGGCAAGCTGCTATTGAACTAGTGCACAAAGTAAACGATATATGTAACGACTAAATAATGAACGATTGAACTTATTGAACTAGAATTCACAACTCAACAAATTTGTGCACATTTAGTATTGTTTTTATTTAGAAGAACTGCAGCTGTTAACTGTTTATTGCTATTACTATCAATTGCTTACATATCTGAGCTTATGCTACTATTTCACAAACACACACACACACACACTCAACAACGCATGACTAGTAGTGATTATTTGTATACACATTCACATATATATATATATATATATATTTTAAGTTAAGTCTTTTGATCTATCACTTAATGCAATGTTTCTTAAAGGTTTATTTTAATGCTCTCAAAAATGTTTGACTTTATGTATGTTTAATTCTGAATACTATTTTAGCCACACTTAGTTTTATAAACGGCGAACGCTCCCATACAGCAACAAATCGCAAGCCACCAACTGGCCGAGGTAACGAACAAGTTGTATACATTATCTCAGTTCCTGAGATCCTTCGTATGCCCTAACATTCAATCTACCCCTATCTAAATAAATTGTACTCAATTGGACTCAAGTTCTTGGACAGCATTTGTACATATTCAAACTAATGATTCCCATTCCATTGTTATTGATGTTAATAACTAGCTCCAAATCACTTATTATATATATATATGCACCTACCTAACCCAGACTGTAGCTAAAAGAAACCACTTGGACTTCTGTATTAGTCCACAGTATCAAAGTAACCCCCATTTATAAGCCATATATAGATTTCAAATATCATATTCATTTGGTTTTTGGGTTCAGGCCTTATTCTAGAACAATAGATAGTTTATATTTTGTTATTAAATGTAGGTATGAATATATTATTTATAGGTATTATCAGCGAGTAGCAAGTCATAAGAGCCGCAATCTCGAGTTGCTGGCCTTATGCTTGAGGTGCGCTTAAGAGAGTAAGTCTTGCCATCTAGCCATGGGCTACGCTATGCAACACATACTGATGCACCTTTTTGCCTTCTTTGTTTTTGCCCTGCCTTCAATGATGATTGCAAAGATTTTCAAGATCAAGAAACTGTTCCTGATGTTGTCGATGTCGAGATGCACAACGATGACTTAGTCTACGATGAGTTGGACAAGGAGAATGTTATTCAGAATGCTACCAAATGTCGTCGCGACTTGTTCTCAGCTTTTACTAATCCCAATGCCACATCAATTCTTTGTTCCAGTCCCTATAAACAGGCCCAAAATGCTGTTGACTTGACACAGGGCCCTGAGTCCCAAGCAACGCCAATTGCCGTTTTGCAGGGAGATATTTATTCGTATTCCTATGGGGCTGTGTCTTTGGGTCGCTGCTGTCAGCCCCAAATTTGTTCCGTTCTCTTGCACGCTCTGCACTCGGAACACTTGCATAATTTCGGCTACTATCGCGGCTCTGGGCTGGGCCCGCACTCTAGCCCCACTCCCAGCACAGGCACCACCAACGAATCTCCGCCCACTCCACGTCGCCCGTTGCAGCTGGCCAATGGTATACCGCCTCCATACCGCACTCTATCTCATTTTGGCTTCAACTCGCCGCGTCAGGAGCCGCGCACCGAGCACAAACATCTGCCCGCTGGAGCCGAGTGCATACGATACAGGCCAATGCAGCGTGTCCTTAGCTATGAGGAGATCTTTGCCACGCCGCGTTACGAACAGCTGTGCCAGTTCTGCTTTGAGCAATTGCTGCGCCTCAAGCCGGAGCTGCAACGACGCAGCGCTGCCAGCAGCAGTGGCGAGGAGCCAGATGATGGGCTCAGCGGCAGCTACCCGGTTACACCTCGAAAATTGGCCACGCTAACCGAGTTGAATGACGAAGAGGACTACGAGGAGCAACTGTATGTGCGTCCTCCATTGGCCAGATTTCCCTGTCATGTCAGCACCCAGACGAGCGCCATTCTATTGAGCAGCCAATTTCTGCGACAACTCGAAAGCCTCAACTTCTCGGAGGAATCCGCGAATGTGAACTATGTGCCCGGACTGCAAACCATAAATAGTGACATAGCGACGCCCACGAGTCCCGCTGCCAGTGCAACCAGCGCGCCTCCAATACATACAGACAGGCAACAGGAGTCCAATCCGAATGCACGTGATAAGACCAGAGCAGATCTAACCGAAATCTGGAACTTTGGCAACTGGCAGGAGAAGGCGCCACAAGATGCGAATGCTCAACAGCCGCTCACTGAGCGGCGCATTACACTTGAGATAACTGAACAGTTTGCCAACGATTCCGAGCAGCAGCAACAGGCTGAACGTCAGCTGATGTCGCGTGACGATCGTCAACGTCGCAAGCTGGAGTTCCACGAGCTGTGGCAGGATCATGTTCAATACTTTGGTTCCAAGGAAAAAATGGAGCAAGAAGGTTCAGAGACTCTAGAGCATACTTTGACTATGTCCCTGGATGCACAGGAAGATAAAACGTTGAGAGCATATGGCTGGCTGCGACCATCTCACGGAGAAGCTGAAAATACAAATGGCCAAGTGGAAGCTGTGGATGAGCCACTCACAGATCAGCAGATAGAAACAGTGGGCGAGAGCAACAATGCAGAGCCACTCACAGATTTCCAGACGGAGACAGTGGATGAGGATCCTTATGAGGAGACGTTGTCAAGCGAAGTACAGGCGACACAATCCCCTTCAGGTGAGGCACAACAGGAAGCAGTTACTGAAATACCAAAAATACTGGAAGACTTCGAGCAAAGTCTGTGTGTTGCAGGACAAAATCTTGAAAAACTCGTTGCCACCACCAAAAAGCTAAGAGCAGTGGCTGGCACTGAAGGCGCTCTCTCAGATGAATCAATTGAAAGCGGTTCGCTATTCCGTGCTATCAGCTTGGAGAATATTGCCGATGCCGATGACACGGCATCCGTGTCGGAGCCTCAGCGCTTTGAGCCGCACAACGTTAGCACAGATGAAGAATTTGTTGAGCAAGGCGACGAAGCGCACACCGATATCGATCACGAGGAGAAGCGAGATGATGAAAAGCCAGTAACACCTGTGCCCAACGCTAACCAGCTGAGAGCTAAAGAAAAGGATCACGTTGAGCTCGGGCATATCGATGAGAAGGATGTTGATGAGAACGAGCAGGAGATTATGGATATTCCGGAAAGTTTAGCTACTACAGCGGAGCTATCATCGTCGGCTGAGCCTACAACAAGCTCTGATGTGGTGGCAACACCTCAAACAGAATCGTTCAGCGATTTGTTTTCGCCACTAGAGCGTGATATACTCGATACCATCGAGGCGAACAATCTGAAGGAAAGGGAGTCCATTTTCAGTAGAATCGATGAGAGCATACGCAACAAGCTAACGCCCTGTAAACTACAGCGCATAGTCTCCGGGGCAGAGGAAACTTTCAATACATACACGCATATCTACAAGAGTCCAATCAAAACCACTCCGACACCTCATCTGTTCCAGTTCAGCAGCGAACCGCGTCCATCCACCTACTCGAAGTTTAACATTAACGCACCAGCGAGCTCATCGGCGCATGCTCGTGTGATTACTAGCAAGATGCCGCGTCTGTCCCGTTCGTGGGACAGCTACCAGGAGAGCAGTGAGACGTCTTCGTCAACGTCTCGCACCTCGCTGGAACGCGCCATTTCGTCAACGACATTTGTATTCCGAAGCAGTCCTCGCAAGAAGCGTAACTTTGTGCAGGAGAATATACGTAATGCCAGCAAGCCGCGTGGCTGTTCCAAATCCACAAAGACTTCAAGGCTGAGGAGTACCCAGGTGAAGAGTAGCGACCTGTCCTCGGTCTGCACCTTCCAGGCTGAGCACCGTGGCAGCAGCGCTCGTCTCTGGGTCTCGCTGCCCACGTCTCCGCGTAGCACCAGCGGCCAAAAACGCCGATCGGCTAGCCCGAATAGTGTGCTCTATCCACTAATACGCTCGCCCTCCAAGCCCTTCGCCAAACGCCGCAAGCCGATCGCCAATCAGGCAACCAAACTGCGTCGTAATTTGTACAAAACTGTTTCCAGCACAACATTCTCCAAAGATGCCCATGAGTCGCAATGTGGTGGCTGCTTGGCTCAGAACGTGTCCAGCACCACATTTGAGGTCGAGTACATGTCGCCAGACCAACAGACTGAGACGCCCCCAAATTCGATGAGCAACAACGGCGAAGCCTTCGTCTCACCAGAGAGTAGAAACAACGCAACTGGTAGCTCCCTCTACTATAGCGCCGATGATAATACAGTTGTTGAGCTATTTTTCGAGTCGTTGGAGAATGCGAGTCTGGAGCAGGAAATGGAGGAGCATCTGTATGACAATGGAGGTCAAGCAGCTGCTGTAACTACCCAGGAGGAAGCGCAGGCGCCAGCCGGCAACTCGCATGAACTATCAGAAGTGTCTCCCACAACGTCTGCCGAAATTAATAACAATGGAGACGAGCTTCGAGATAATACAGAGCGAACCCAGAACACGGATGAGAATGAAAACCCAAATAGTGTAGAAAGTGATCCCAATGATCCAGGTTCCAGTTTGAATGATGATTTCGACAATATTGATGAAGAGACTGATGAATTAATAGCACAGACTCAACTGGAATCAGCTATTAATGTTGAGGAAATGATTATGCTGTCTATAGTTGACGAGATATTTGAAGAAATCGTAGCGCAGAGCTTTGAGCAACGATTCGAATCACACAATAATATTCAGGAAGGGATTTTGAAATGTGTAACAGATGAGATATTTAAACAAATAGTAGCTCAAGGCCTCCAGGAATCGGATGATATTGAACAGTCGTCCACAGCCGATGAGGCATTGAGAGAGCTGCTGTTCCGTGGACTCGATAGTCAATCAGACAATGAACCAGACATGCCTTTAGATAAAGAAAATGATGAAGTGAATGCAAAGAAATCAGTTGAAAAGCTCTTAGATATGCAATATGAAATAGATTCAATCTGTTCGTGCCTTCTGGAAGAGGACAGTTCATCGTATACGAAATCAAGTTTTTCGCTTAGCTCAAATCGAGCTAGCTTCAAAAAAGGTCCCCATAACAAATTGTTGGCTGACTCCGTGGGCTGCGACTCCGACAGTTCAGCTGAAAAGTCTGCAGTTGAAGAGTGTTTGCTGAAAACGCATCACGAATTGCAAGCGCAAGCGCAAGCGCAGGATAACACCGAGGAGGACGACAACAAGCCCAACACTTCAGCGAGGGCGGCTGCCAGCGCAAGGAAGCGCAACTCTGGTGGTAGCAAAGACGAAAAGGAAGACGTCGAGACAGTTGTCCTAAACACGAAATGTACTGTAAAAGATGGAATTCTGTATGTGAAGGAGGACGAGTCCTTGGACGACGTCCAGGCTCCACGCTGTGAAAATGGACACTTCAACAGGGCAAAGCCCTACAAAACATTTGCCGACAACGATGAATGGAATTTATTTCAGGTGGCAGATGAAATTGTTCAGCAGAACGACGTCGAGGAGGATGAGGATGAGGAGGACGATGACGATGAAAATGAAAATGAAAATGAAAATGAACTAGAGTCCGATATGGTAGAGTCCATAGCCGAAATGAGTCCCATAGCAATCCATAACAATATGAGTCCACAGACTATGGAGGAGTATACGGTTGAAGTCGAGTTGCCTTTGGATGGTTTCAATGAGTTTGGTCAATTGGAACTGGAGCTGGATACGCGTATGTTGTTTGGCAACCAGTCGTGTAACACTACGCAAAGTGAACCACAAATCGAATGGCCGCCAAATGGTATTTATGACTTTGGTCCCTTCATTGTGGAGCTGAGCAATGAACAGAATGAAATCGTAGGCAATGCGAATGCGAATGCCTCGGAGAGTCTTGAAATAGCGCAGAACGAAATCAATCAGGCGACGGCGCAAGAATTAGAGAAGATCAAAGATGATATTACCATGTATTTGGGCCAAACCGATCCCAAAGACGAACAGCCTCCAGCAAATGAATAATGGAACCATAATGAAATCAATGCATTGATCGAATATCTAAGCTCAGTCTCTTTACGTGTCAAGTCAGCAGATGTTTTGAAAGTTTTTCAGCTCAATTTTTAAAAGACTTTTTAATTTTTTCTTTTATTTTCCTTAATTATTTATAATGTTATTTGGCATGAGCTTGTATCATTTATTACACCCATATACTAACGACTGGTGGATTGTACGGTAAATGGTTATATTTTCGATGAAGAACAATAAATGTTAACCTTTGATTTAATTGATTTTGTTTAAATATTTATTTTAGTTTAAGTAAATTTGTGAAATGTTTGAAAATTGAGAATAGATTACTGTTAAAATAAGTGTTAATTTTAAGTTTAACTTTAGTGTTACTATTGCTGTTAATGTGACTGTTATTGTCACTGTTAACAGTTGGTATACATGTTAAGGCTAACACTGCTGTTACTGTTAATGTTATTATTAGTACTTTCAATGTTAATGTTAAAGTGACAGTTACTGTTGCTGTTAGAATTACTCTTCGTGTTAACATAACTGTTACTGTTACTGTTACTATAACTGTTTAAGCTGTTAACATTTGATTGTTCGATCCCTTGTTCTCCCTGTCTTACGTGCAACACACAGCCTCGCCCGCCCACCTACACTCACACTCACACTCGCACACACACACAGCCATACTCATTGCATCTCTCGTCCTTCTCTCAGCCATGTGCTCCTATCTGGCACAGAAATACTCTTTCCTTTACACGGACGCAAGCTTTGCGCGCTTTGATTGCGTTCAGGTTTATGTTTTATATAAAATCGATGCGACATATAAACACAATTATCCATTGCTCAACAATGGCAACAGCAGCAGCAGCATAATGAACAACACGCTGGACAGTTTTGCTGAAAATCTGCGTGCCAGCAGCACACCTGTCCGAGCACCCAGGTACCAACTGCAGCAGCAGCAGCCAGTTAGCAGCTACAGCGTGATGAATCCGCCAGCTGCACCGTTTCGCACCTGCTCGCATTATGGCTTTAACTATCCGTTGGCGAATGCGCCCAACATTTTGCTGCATCCGGCGAACCAAAGCATTTGGCAAACGGTATCGGAGCAGCGCGAGCGGGTTGTCTCCTTTATTGATCTGACCACGCTGAGCTTTGCCAAGCGCAAGATGCTTCATGTTTTGAGCGCTGGTTCGGGCAAGCGTGCAGCAGCTGAGGCGGAGACTGAGCCGGAGACTGAAGCTGAGGCCGAAGCTGAGGCCGAGGCTGAGGCCGAGGCTGAGGCTGAAGCTGGAACTTCAGCGCCTTCGTATGTAAGTAAAATGCAGATACAATTGATGTCGTCGGCGTCGTCGTCGTCATCGTCGCCGCCGGCGCCTGCGCAGAGCGCAAATGATTCGCTAGAGGAGCTGTCGGCGCAGTTCACTTCCATGTTGAACCTAAGCAAAACGCACAGCAGTGCTCAACCGGAGCCCGACAGAGATGACGACAGTCTGTATCCCAGCAACTATACCATGCGCAGCTTTCTGCCGGACAATCATGCGTTGCCCAGGGATGGCGCCATAGCGGCTGACAAGCCCGAGGCGGAGCAAGCGATTTACCTGAATGGCGTCGACAGCGGCTTAGGTGATAGCCATGTTAACAGCAGCGACAACAACATCAACCACAACAACAGCAACGGCAACGGCAACGGCAGACGCGTGCGTCGTGGCACCACCAGCAATGACTCGTCCACTCAGGAAGCCGAGGCTTACAGTCAAGGCAAGCATATTAGGCTCACGTTGAGCAGCTCTCCGGAGGCGCAATCCCAGCTGAAATCTTCCTCGATTGAGATACTGATCAATATATCGCTGCGTGACACGGAATGCGTGCAGACGGTGCAGGCGCACGAGCACGAGTTTCGCACGAAGCTAGAGAAGGTCATTGACGACGAGATTCACTATATATCGCAGCAGCTGGCTATGCAGCAGCGCCACATACATGTGGAGCAGCCGCCACGTGCGCCGTTGGCCTCGCCCACGCCGTCCACAGGTCAGGTGCAACGCTGCAACTCGGCGCCGGCACTGTGTCACACCTACAGCTACGTGGCGTTCGGGGATTCAGATTCGTCTGCGGCACAAGCATCGCCAGTGCCAACGAGCAGCAACGGCCATAGCTGCCCCGAGGCGGAGGCACTGCAGCGTCTGCTCAGCACGCTGGAGCTTGAGCTGCAGCATCTGTTGAACAGCATTATACGGGCGCATGAGCTACACAATCGAGCCGTTATCTATGATTGCCGCACGCGCATCTCGCAGATGCGTGATGATATAAAGGGCGTGGTCAAGCGAACCAGAGTCAAGTAGCCAAGGAGCAATTAGTAGAAATGTAGTCTGATTCAGCATTCCATCTATCATAAAAACATCTAAGCAATGGAACTATTAACAGAAGCAGAGGAAATGTAGTCTGATTCATTTCCATTCCGTTCCATTCCGCACTCCGCGCTTTTATCATTTCTCTCATCGCCAACAACGAAATGGAACTAAATCGAATTTGTTATTTGTTACCTAGTTTAAGAGTTAATTAATGAACTGTCATTTTTTGTTACATTTTTATTTTTTATATTTGGTTTTTGAAATTTACATATTACATTGTTAGGATACTTCCAATCCACCAGTTATAATAAATGTTTATTCCAAGCTATATTCAATACATTGTAAATAATATCTTAAGTTCCCATTCATTAAAAAAAAACCAAAAAACAGGTAACACATTTTGTAAGCACATTTTATAAATATATTGTTTTTAACTATTTGTTTCATGTTAATATTTAGATGCATGCTTGTGTTGGCTTAGCTCACATTTGTCTACTAAAACACCTATACAACATACATACCACATTTGTAGGTATGTAAGTAGTTACATACATATATATAAACTCACATTATTTGTTTGTAATTAAAATTTAACTTAATTTTCGTATTCATTTTGCGTGTGCGCGTCCTCTAATGGTGAACTGTATTCATATATACATACATATATATATATATATATATATATATATATATATATTCATATATTTATATATATATTTTGATTTAGTGTGCGTCCATTGAGTTACATAAAAGTACGACTATCCCAACAAAAAGCAAATAATTCTAATTCGATCTATCTACTCCACAATTAACAGGTGAAAACGTACAAAATGGCGACCATTCGGAGGCGCACTTAAGCACCTTCTCGCAGAGCAGTAAAGAGGTAAGTTGCTTAAAGCAAAACTACGCCAATTGGGTATGCTCGACTATCTATCATACACAGTCTAACTAGCGCGCAGCTGTCATTGTAGACTGCACATTCGTTCACTCAGCAATCATATACATTTAAATATATACATATTGTATATATATATAATTCGCATATTTAATTAACACAAAAACACATTGCGCTGATCGCATTTACTAACTTAATTACAAACGATATTCTCATTGCAAATTTCTATTACGGTTCCAGGATGTCTCCACGGACGGTTCACCCAAGAAAGACAAGAAGAAGAAGAAGGGACTGCGTACGCCATCGTTTTTGAAAAAGAAGAAGGAGAAGAAGAAGAGCGAGGCTTAAATTTGTCAAAACAAACATCAAAAACAACCACCGGCGCAGGCGGGGACAACAGTGTAACCGACACAATAAGAGAGAGCGGAATAGAGAGAGAGAGAGCGAGATGAATAGTTAGCGAGAGCGGAGCAATAGCGAAGAGCGACTGGAGTGCAGCAGCAGGAGTAACGAAATGAATGTAAACGACGAAAAACAAAGCAACAAATAATATATATAAAAATATATGAGAGAGGCATTATACAGCAACAAATGAGCAGCTAAACTTGAACAAGTTGAGAAGGAAGGCGAGCGGAGAAGCTAAAGTGACGATCAGAACAGAATGAAGAAAAAAATGCAAATAATATTTAAAATATATAGTCTATACAGAAAAACTGCAGCACACAATTAATAAGATATAAAATTGACAAATTTCAAAATGCAAATCTAATAGTTCTCTAAGCGCTTAAATATACTACGTAAAAACATTACAAAGTAAACACAAAAACTAAAGCAAACGCAAATGCATTCAAGATTACATAATTACAAAATTATTTACACACATACACAGCATGAAAATGATTTGTGAAATTCAAGATTTTGTTGTACTCAGTGCTAATTTATTTGATAAACACACTCACATACACACACATACACATATATACATATATACAAATATGTTAATTTGTCTAAGCATATGCAATATTTTTATATATATATATCTAAAATTGATATTCTTTGCACGCGAGTGTGTGTTAATGTTTTGCTTATTGTATGTCTTATGTTTTAAAATTATGAATTGTATTGTTTAAAATTTTCTTTTCTTTTGCGATAAATGCAGCCAATTTCACACACACACACACACAATAGAGATGTATACATGCAGCATTGTATTAGTTTTTTTATACAAACAAAAAGTAATAATTATATATTTTTATGTACGTAAATCTGTTTATATATTTATATATATAAATATATATTTGTATATTTACAAAGAAAAAAGGAAAATAAAAATAAATTATAAAAGTAAAGCACCGAAAAGCAGAAACACGACGCAAAAGCCGAGAACGAAAATAGCAAGAAGAAGCGAGAAAATCAAAAGCCACGATTCGAACAGAAAATACACTTGAAAAAACCTTTTTGCATTTTCGAAGTATTGTAAGTAAATGTGCTTAATTCTTTTTTGCATGGAAATTCAGATTTATCGGGAGAGTAACTCTATCGCAACACATAAAACTGCCATAGCATGTAAAATTATAAGGCACAAAAATAATACAAAATAAAAAATAAAAAAAAAATATTTAATCGCATTTCAAATGTTTATAATTGAAATATTTATCAATTGGATTAATTGTTGCACAGTTTCTGCTTTTCACGCTGCATAACCAATAAATAAAACGAAACGCAAAAACATTTAAAACAATTGCATTGCCTGAGCCTTAAGATATTTCAAAATCCATTAATCCATTGATTATTTGCGCAATGACAGAAGCTTATTTCTAGCAATCTTTTTTTTGTGTCCAATATAAAAACAAATAAAAAGTTTGTACAATTTTCTCCTTAGAAATATGTTATTAATATTCTCAGTGCAAGTAATAAACTTTTTTAACAACAAAAACAAAACTCCAACAACAATAAACAAATGGAACTACGAAGAAGAGAATATTTAAAGGCAGCCCATAAAAACTGCTGTTTTTTTATTATTCTGTAGATCTTAAGTAAATGCATATACATAAATATATATATATATATATATATATTTATATTTAAATTCGTATTATATAAAACACACACACGACACACAAAACATAATTAATAAACAATTGCAAAATGTACAAAACTGCAGGCAACTTGCGCATTATTTAATCACTTATAACTAATAACTAATACTAGAATCGTTCTCTGACAGCTGAAACTGTTGACTGACAGAACTATCCACCTCTAAGTTCCACAATACTCGGAAAATATATCTTAATTAAACCCACTCGTTATCTTATCTCCACTTGAAACATGAGTGTTTTCCGTGCAACTCCCCAAAAAGCAATTGTCATCGGAAAAGGACGTGATTTTGATAGGTGGCATTCGTATAAGCTGTTTGGGCAGCGGAACGCGTGCCCGAGTCAATCGAGCCTTGGGCGTCTCTCTGTCAGCCCAAATCTCTTCAAATTCGGCAACTACAAAACCTAACGATACGAACTTTGAAATATGTATAATCCTATACGTTGCGCACTGTAACTTAATATTTTTCCTTTCAAAATCGTGTCTCATATCTTAAAGCCGATAAGAAATCAATATGACGACTTGATTTTTTAAGCATTACTCAAAGATAATAAATTTCTGCCGACATCAACAACTGCAGATTGTCATAATGAAAATTTTTAAAGCACTTGCAACTTGGGTATTATTATTTGCTTGATGACAATATAACTTGTTGAATATATAGATTGTATCTTCAGCTGTTTATTCATTTCATGCAGCCCTAGCTATCTGTAGATCGCTGTGAGACGCAAGTCTCGGCGTTCCATTAGCGTGTCAAAGCTCTAATTGAGCTACAAATTATTCCTGAATTCCCACACTTTATCAGAGAGATTATAAAAAACCCATCTCTAATATAGAATAATGTAACCCAAGCACAAATCACAATCCAAAAAGTTTGGTATATAAAAATATATTTCGTACTTATTCATAGAGACTATAGCTATACATAGACTAGATCTAGAGCTAGAAATAGAATACATACATATAAATATTCATATATAGATATAAATGTAGGCTCTACTTTTCGTTATTCTCCGAGTCGTTGGTTTTCTTGCTGCCAGCTAGGATCAGTTGAATCTCGGTGATCGTTTTGCCCTTCGTCTCCGGCACACAGATCAATACGTAGACAAAGCCGAGGACAGCGATGCCGCAGAATATCCAAAATGTGGGTCCTGATCCAATGCCGTTCTTTAATAGCGGAAAGAGTTTAGTGACCAGGAAAGCGGAGAACCAATTGCTGGTGCCCGCAATGGAGCCAGCCACACTCTTCACGTCCTCGGAGAACAGCTCGGCCATGACGAGCCAGGGACCCGGGCCGAAGCCAATGGAGAAGAAGATAATAAAGAGGAGAATGCTGGTGATGGGCAGCCAGCCAAGGGAAGCCACCGACTCCTCGTCGCTATCGCGCATCTGGAAATACACGCCCATCAGGCAGGTGGTGATGGCCATTAAGAAGGCAGAGATTAGTAGCAGAATCCGTCGGCCAGCCTTGTCGATAATCGCCACTGCCACTAGAGTCATCACCACTTGCGTGGCGCCAATCAATATGGTACAAACGCGGCCGCTCAGTGAAGAGCCAACATCCTCGAAAATGGACGTGGAATAGAACATGATGGCATTGATGCCCGTCCACTGCTGCAGCGCCTGCAGCGTTACGGCAATGGAAATGCCTTTGAGGGTAATGGGACGACACAGCGCTTTCCAGAGGCTGACCTTGGGCTCATCCGTATTCTTGTTAGTCTCCTCTATAATTTCATTCAACTCAGCTCTGACATCACAGTGCTGACCACGCAGCCAAAGCAGCGACTTAACGGCATCGTCCTCGCGTCCTTTCATGGCCAGATAAACTGGCGATTCGGGCATAAAGTAGTGCACTACAGCGAAGATCAGGGGCAGCATGGCACACAGTATATTGATGGTCAGCAACGGACAGTAGCCACCAATAATATAGCCGTACAGCATGCCCGTGACGGTGTTCAGTTGAAAGAAGCTTCCGAGAGTGCCACGTGTCGAAATTGTTGATATTTCCGTGCTGTATAGGGGGGCGCAGACGCAAAACGCCCCGCCGCAGAAACCCAAGATGAAGCGTCCGAAATACAGCATGATCACACTGTTGGCAAAGAGCATCAGAAACCAGCCAACCATGTATGGTGGTATCAGAGCCAACATGGTTGGCCTACGACCGATCCAGTCGATGACGAAACCAGCAGGAATGCATACGACGGTGGCGCCCAGTGTTAGGAGTGAGGAGATCCAGCCGAATTGATCGCTGGAAATCGGAAACCCATAAGCCTCCTCCTCCGTTAACATTTGCTCAACGGGCGATGACCAGCCCATGCTGGCGCCCATGCAGAAGGCGCCAAATGACGCCGACAGTCCGGCTATGTATTGGGGCAAAACTTTTGCCTGTGCCATGTCTAGATCTGTTCCGTTCGCTATAACTGTTAAAATTTAACTGAATGCCAGTGAGCAACCGTTACTTGGCTTGATAATTAGTAGCCGTCGCTGCCAGCGTCGATAACCCTCCTCCTCCACCTTCTCCTCCTACGCTTCTGCTGCGGAAACTGATAAATCAAGTGCAGCTGACACTGACTGGGGCGCGAGCAAAGCCATCAAACTGAGTTTAAAACGTTACCTAATTAAAACTATAGCAACTCTTCAGCAATATATATAAATACCGTGTGAAAATGAGATAATAGCAGCCCCTGAAACACAGTTGGTTAGCGTTAACATAGCTTAAATTCATTTCTAATCTCGAGAGCTGGTCGAGTACACTACGCAGCTATAAACAACAATTCAAAAAGTACGGCCGACGGTCAACTGGCGGTCATCAGTTGGTGGCTGTTATGCGTCAGGCTCTGAATGGAGTGGACCATCGTAGCGGCATGTGGCTAACTCTCCTTGACAAAGCAGACCGTAGCCATGCCGTGCTTCATTGATAAGTGGATTGTTTACTGCAGCTGTCATGTAATCATAGTACAATTGCCGCTGATAACGGCCCATTGAATACTTCAACATCGGGCTTCCAATAAGTTACACTGCAAACAACCTCAGAATTATTTTGTTTTCTTTTTTAAAAGTGCTTTATATTATGACCGTGTAAAAACAAGTTCAATATTGACTCTGCAAGGCATTTCCACAGTACTTGCTCAATATGCCACTTGTCTTATATAACGCAATTGATAAATACAAAAACAATCTTTAAACAGTTAAGAAGCAGTTACTCGTTGAAGTTCGCGGTTTACTTCCTGCGCTCCGCCTCCTCCATTGCACGCATCATATCTGCATCGTGCTTCTGGTGGTGCTCACGTATGGCACGCTGCAGTTCCTCGTGATGACTCTTGCTTTCCGGTGGGTAGAGCTCGCGCTTCTTTTTAGTCACCCATTCTTCGAAGTATTCGGGCTGATTGAATATGTGAAATAATGCTACGGGGAATGTCATGTACATGCCCATTTTAGCCACCTCAAGTATCCAGGTGCCCATGTTGCAGTTTAGTTACTTTAATCCGCAAATTTCGTGAAAACTACTTCCTCAATATTATAATAATTTTGTTTTGTATTTTGTAGCCAAGCGGCTGTCAACAATAATCATCTGTTTCTCAGTGCTGTAAAATGCAATATAGACTCGCTGCTACCTAACAGTCATCGATAACAAATCGATGGTTAAATATTTAAATCACAATTAACCCTTATGTTAACACACTTCCGTTTTTAACCAACTTTCAAGTACTCCGACACAATGATTTTCTTCGAAGTTAATAAAATATTTTTATTAAATGAATATAAATTGTATTCTTATGTATTGTGAATATTTATGGGGCATGCATTTATAATGTATAAAGTTAAAATTATTAATTATTTACGGTGAAAACGCGGTCAATTACAAAGCGAAAGCGTTATTCTTATATTTAAAATGCTGTCCTATTTGAGCAGCTCGGTTTGTTTTTGAAAACAATATCAAGGAAGCAATATATATATTTTTGATGACAATTTTTTAAAACCGTGCAACGGTTTTAACGTTAAAATGAGTGAAACACTTAAGGCTACAGTGCCGTTTCGCCTGGATACTCCGCATTAGAAGTAATTAGCAGCTTCTTCGTTAGTAAATGTTCACTTGAAATGTTTTCCTTATTGTGCGGATCATCATGAACGAGCGCCGTCTTCAGTGGAGAGCCCGCTGAACGTTTGCGTCCGATATTTAAGCTACATAGAGGTGAAGCAATTGCCGGTTCATTGCCATCCAAGCAATACAACAAACTGGGACTCAGCTCTGACTCCTCGAAATCCTCAATGTCCTCAATGTCCTGTGTCGTGTTGGCACCACCAAAGTCATCCGAGCGGCTGGCAAAGGACAAATCCGCTGGACTCGCCGTCAAGACACTGCGCGTAAGCAAGTACTCTCTAGAGTTTAATTAAATAATTATTGCAATTATCATATAATACATATAATTATCATAAGCAGAAAACCCACTTGAAGTCGCTAGACAGCGCATTATGAGGCTTTCCCGCCATTGAGGGCTCCAGCTCCAATTCATTGCTGTTGCTATTGCTGCTGCTGCTCGTCCGTTGCCTTTGGATTTGTAAGCTTTGCTGACGTCTCAGTATGTCCGCATAGCCACCTAGGGAAGTTGCATCTTCACTGTGCAGCACAGGCGGTTCCAACTGTTTACTGGGCAGCAGCACCTCCTCCTCCTGCTGCTGCTGTTGCTGGTCGAGAAAGCAGCTCTGGTTCTGTGGCTTGTCGCCATTGCCCAATGCATTTAACAGCATCACAGGCTTGCGGGAGCGCGGCGTCATAATGGATTCCTGCAAGACATCAAGGATTAGTCATTTTTCTTGGCAGAATGATCGTTCGTCATGCTAAGTAACGAGATAGTTTTAGCTAAGTAATCATGCATCATTTACCTGCATGGCTTTGGGCATGCGCTGCGTGGACTTGGTTATGGGTGACATGGACCGACGTGCCATACGCAATGCTGGAGTGCTTGTTATCAGATCCAAATTTCGATAAACACTGCTCTGCAGCAGCTGTTGGTGGTAGCTGACATCAACTGCCATTCCTAGGCCACCGGGCAGTTCATTGGAACTGCCGTTTATCTCGGACAAGGTGTCATCATCGGCATCGTCGTCCTCAAGATCACTATCGTCCACATCCTCCAGCAGCGGTGCATCAGCAGTCTGCAAATGGGAGCCAATATGCTTGGTATCTTCGCTGCCGCTGGGACGTCGTTTGAGCGTTGCCGAGACACTGCGCACCAAGCGTTTAGTTGTCTCCGGTGTGCTGAATGGAAAACGCAGATTACCCATACTGACACCCTTCATCAGCTTGCGCGTTATCGACTTTCCCATGCCGCTGCTGGCTGTCGTTGTTGCCGATACCTCCACAATAGGCGTTAGCGCTGACTCAGGATCGTCTTCGCCATCGTCATGCACCTGTGGCCGCAGACTACACAAATTAGGCTCGGACTTGTAGCGCGAAGATTGCTGCACTGGTGTGCAGGGATTCGAGTATTCCTCAATCTCCAGCAAACGGCGATCATTCCATGCTACGGTCTTCTTATCAGCCACACCAATCAGCTGCTGGGCAACAGCTGAGATGATCTTCGCCGGCGTCACACAGCACGTCGAATCGATCTCGTCCAGCTCCGACACAGCAGCTGATCCAGTGGGCAGCTCATGCGAAGACTGCCTGCTCACAGGAGCTGAGTGGCTGATGTTAGCGCCGCAACTGCTACTATCCGAGGATGATTCGATTTTCAGGGATGTGGATGAAATGGACTTGTGAAGCGCGTGCATTGTATTAGTGCCAGATGATGTCGATGATGATTTAGTGACGAGTCTCGATGTGGGCAATTGCATCGCTGGCGTTGGACTTTGGAACAGCACACGTAACTTCGGGGTTTTGGCATGCGTTAGATTGGGCGTCTGAGCGAAGACACAAAAACAGATTCACATGCAGTTAGTGCACAAGACGAGTAAATGAAATCAATATGAGAATAAATATAATCAATGCAGAAATTGCTTATATATATACGAAATTATTAAAGCGGACAGACGATTTTTGGCAATGACAATGCAAGCTTAAAACAATAATATATGCATAGGTATATAAGATATACAAAAACCCAACAGCCGCCACCCACCTCAGATCCGTTCATGGCTTGCAAGGCAGGTGCTCGTTTCGGAGTACGTGACATGAGACTCTTATGGAATATATGTTTCTTAATCGAGTCACCCAAGGATTTGGCGCTACGAGTTGCCTCGTTGTTCTTTAGACGATTCATAACAACCAATTGCAATGGAGTACCTGAGAAGAGTAATAAATAAATTGCAATTCAGTCTTATAGAAATATCTATATATAGAGTTCTATACCCTGTCCATTTTGCTTGTTAAACTGTTTGATTAGGCGACGTTTTTTTGAAGATTCGGGTAGACTTTGAATGTGTGCATATAATTGCGCCAACTCTGTATCTGTGTTATTTGTATTTGTTGCTGCTGCAGTTGCGGCACGATCTACAAAAGTGTACACCGTGTTGACCGTTGAGATGTCCGATATTGATTCGTCAAGCGTTTGCTCCGGCGACATTGTTTTCTTGCGTTTGCGTTCAAGAAAGTACGCCCGAATATCGGTCGCCAGCTTGGCGGGCACTGCGAAGATCTCCATGCTGCGGCTAATCATGTAAGCAATAATACTAGACATTCGCTTTGCAGTATAGTGCAACACCTCTGGCGGCAGGTTGCGTGGGCATATTAGATGCGGGGCGAATAATGTAGCCAGATTCTCGGCGGACATCTTGTTGCTGTCCTCATGTAGCGCAACAGCGTGCAGCATTTCCATAATGTGTTTGAGCAGCTCACGATGCTCATCCGGCAGCAAGAGAATCAACAACTGCACCGAGTGTAACAAATGCTGCTGCCTTTCCAAGGAAGCCGGTGTCTTTTCCGTAAGCGTTTGACAAAGAGGCGCAATTTGCAGATGAGCTGGATAATGAGCATCTGTTAGCAACGGTTCCGGCAGTTCGGCCAAAAAGCTTTTGAATACGGTAGCACAGTCGTGCGCCGAGAAGCCAGTCTGCTCCAGTTCCAATGGTTTGTCCTGCTGAATATGCAAGCGCAACTCATTTTGACGCGAAACTGCGCCCGTTTTACGAAAGAGTCCCTCCTGAGTGATATCTGGAACAATTTTCTCCCTTAAACTCAAAATGGCTTGAGATGCTTTGGTACTTACTCTTTTCCAGCATTAAGAATGCCTTTAGTTCCAGCATATGCATTTGAAAACCAGCATCGATTTGCTGTTGGATGCATTCGGTGGGACTGTTACCCACCGATTTGCTACCATGGCCAGCGGCACAGCCGGCAACAGTGGCAACGCCTGGAGCGTTGCCAACATTGCCCAATCTGTGCTTCTTGGATAGCCTGTTCCACTTCTTAAGCTTTCCTTTGTCCTCGTATACAATTTCATGGCAGGCTAAATCAAATCTACAAATGACGCAGAGATAGAGAGAGAGAGAGAGAGAGTCAGTAAACAAGCACACTCAATAATTCACAATTAACTTACTCATCGGTGTTCAACTCGAGCTCAAATGAGAGATGCATGCGAACGAGAGATTTATATTTCTCATAGTTACAGGTGCGCATGCGCGACGCTAGCTCGAGGTCATTAAATTCGTTGATATTCACGTATTCCATGTCCATTGTTGGTTTTGAGGCGTGTTCTTTTTCAATCGAATATAATTTTGTTACAGCTGCTGCTGTATACCACTTAAAACAGGAACACCAACACCAACAACAACAACGACGACGACGACGATCACAAAAACAACAACAAAACGAAGTACAGAATTGCTACTAGTCCTTGCAATTTATAACTTTCTCCATATACTTATAATTATATTTTTCACTATATATTTTCAATAAAGCATACACAATTCGCTGTAATCTGCACTTTCCATGTTTAGTTAGTTGTTAAACTGCGTATAAAATTTTCCGAAAAAATCGCAAGACGCTCTAAACCAACCGCTGTGAATTGAAATTCCAGAGTTGCTACGCTCTGTCAAAATATGTGCACAGTGTAAGCAAACGTCAAACACTGTTCCATGTAATTGTCTTAAAGAATTTTGTGTAACACATATTGTTGTATGCTTTTTTACAATATATTTACCCTACAATATCGTTGTGGGACGGTTTTTGATGGGCTTTCAATTTTTGCCATAAAAAAACTGCTTCGAGTTTTCACGTTTAGCAACACTGGTCGAGTTTGCCGCTGCCAGACGTACCGCAATTCTGTTTATTATCGTGTCTTTTTTGATAATATTCTATTAAAATGGTATTAATAATGCCTATTAGCCCACCCGAGCACGGTCTTTTGTATACCGCGAATAATATCAAGCTCAAACTTGGAGATAAAATTGTTGGTCAGGGCACAATATACATTTCACAAAAGTGAGTGCAAAATTTTTTCTGCACACTCGAAATATTTAGCATTGTTTTTTTTCCGCACTTGTTTTTTTAAGCACGCTGTCTTGGCAGCCGGCGGATCTTGCTGAAGGCATTTCGATTGAATGGAAGCAAGTTAGCCTGCATGGAATTTCTTCGAATCCTAGAAAATGCATTTATTTTATGCTTGACCGGAAAGTAGAATGGGAAGGCGTCTATATGGGTCTGACACCCGAAGTCAATGGTCAGAACGGAGGTGGTGGGGATGAGCTACGTCGAAATGCTGTTGCCATTGCCAATAACGAAGTCGACGAGGGCAACGGCAGTGATGAGCACGACCAGGACGATGATGACGACGACGACGATGATAATTTCGAAGATGCTGTCGATCAGCAATTGGATGAAGTAACCGAGTGCTGGTTGCTGCCGGATGATATTCACACTGTGGACACCATGTACAATGCGATGACCACTTGCCAGGCCCTCCACCCTGATTCAGCAGATAGCAACTCCGAAGATAGCGATCCGATGGAAGATGCAGGCGGTGTTGGTATGGCCTTCGATGATCAGGACATGGTTGAGGATGCACATACATTAGGACGCAATGGCGGCGAAGTGGGAGGCATGCAAAATCTTAGCCTCGACGACGACGATGAACGATTCGAGGATGCGGATGAATAAGGCTGCAAAAAGTGCACTAACCTAACTACTCCCCTAATAAACATAACATACATACGTATTTATATATTTGAATATTTTATACAAATTATAAGTCTAAAGAGTACGAATTGTGAAAATATCTGATTAGCTTTTGGAATACTATATATTATACTAAACGCTGTAAGCGCACCAAGTCTTATGCGTTTTCTTTCTTTGCCTGCTGATAACGTTTCAGTTCTTCTTCAAGCTGCTCTTCGCTTACGGGAGTTGCGAGCTAAAAATACGTAGACGTTTTAATACATAAATACTTGTATGTACATTCCATATATATTTACCGCATCGGCCACATCCAACATGATTAATGCCTGCTGATATGCGTCACCTTTGGACGGTACTTTGTCATAATTCCAGTACGTAAAGTCCTCAAAGGTGCCAGTCAGACGTAGTTGACGTTGTTCCTGATGCGGGTCAGTTTCTTGCACGACTACGCCCTTAAACCCTTTGGGCACTGGTTCGCGCTTACCCAATAGAGGATAGCCTCGCAGTGAATTTGTTAGGATGCCGGAACCATATTCTGATGATTCCCGCGTATAATTGTTGAAAAACTTATCCACATTTCCACATTCGCCATTGCCATCGATTTTAGCTGGTAAGCAATGGAGTTGCAGTGGCCTCTTGTTATCCAGTTGCTTAGCATCGAAATCGAGTGTTATTGACATTATTTATTATTTTATTTTATATATATCTCTTTTTTTTGCTAATACTTATGTATTTGGCACCAAAATAAGCCGAAACACGAAATCCCAAATAAACACCGCCAAATTGTCCAGTGCTGTGCAACGACGGCTTAGCAAACTAGTCAGCAGTGTAAAAAAGTGTTTCACAGCACTACGTGTTGGGACGAACCATAAAATGGCGTTTCTCGTTGAACAAGATCTGATTTCTGCGCGATATTAGCATTATATAGTTATAAACATAATAAAAGTGTGGGCCAAAACAGCACAAGTGATTCAAAATAATGTAGTTATATTAATTGAAAGCAAAGAAATTGTTGTAAAATACAGTAGTGTGAGCATCTAACGTGCTTCATTCGTATTCAGTTGCCGTTCATACATACATACATCTATTATTTGCTCTCTCGCCGTCTCTCCGTAAGTATAAAAACGAGAGCAGTGCGTAAAAAAGCGAAAGAATATTTTTGTTGCAAATGTTGTTGCATTGAAATACGTAGTGCATAGTTAAAAGCTGCTGCATGCATACTTCTATGTAAGTGCATATATGCAAAACTTATAATAACTAACAAGTGTGTGGCGGGCAGGGCGTTTACAATATTGCAAATTCTGTGGAAGACGTACACACACAGGCACAAACAAAATAGTATGCACCCATACAAACGCATTGGAAAAAATTCAAGTTAATTACACGGCGAGTGAAATACTTGCGTATGTATATATATTAAATATATACACAAATAGGTTCATAGTATGTGCATTATTTAATACAATTTATGAAATAATAAAAGTCAGTATTCGTAAATTGCTCGCACGCTGGATGCCTGCCTGCAACGGCTGTGTCCAGTGCATGTGTGTGTGTGTGTGCGAGTGTGTTTGTGTGTAACATGTGCGTGTAAAATGGTTTTAAGGCAGCATCAACAACAACAAAAGCAAAACAGTTTTGGGTGAGTTGTGTGTGCTACCTGCCAAAGCCGATTTTGTTCAGTTTTTTGCCGTGTCTTTTATTTCTCTTTTTCTCTTCGCCGGCAGAGTTTTGCCTGCATTATGACACATACTCTAATACTAATACTCAGGGATTTCATTCAGTTTCAAAGCTCTAAAAACCACCCACACAAATGCAAATGCTTATCTAAACGAACGAACGAACGATCGCTTAGTTATCAAAATGCGTATGTACTAATAAAAGAAAAACTAATTCGTATAAATTCAATTATGAAACTCATAAATAATCAGTTTTGTCATATTTCTATTGCAGTTTGCGTTCGCAGTGCCAACCAACAACACATGAATTATAAATATTTCTCTGTGCAAAAAATGACACACAACTGCAACTGCAATAGCAATAGCAATAGCAACAGCAACGGCAACGGCAACAGTAGCAGCAAATCTCAAGGCTACAACAAGAGTGGCACCAGCTGCTACACCAATACCAACAACAACAACAACAACCACAACTGCAACAATTGAGATAATTTTTGTTTGCTATTTCTTTCTACCTCTTCCTTTTACTTCGTTTCAATTAATATATGCTGCCAACAACAACACAATTATAACAACATTTAATGCCCAAAAATGATCAAAAACATTGTCCGACAGAGCAATTGTTTTATAAAGAAATAGCAGATAATTCAACTATATATATTTATATATATTTTTATATATACCTATGTAAATTCAATTGCAAAAACAAAACAAAATTAAAAGTCTGAAATTATGAATAAACTGGATTATCCACGTCGCAATGGTACACATAAGATACGAATAACGCGTAAGTAGTAAAAAAATGCATAAATAATTATGATTATTTATTAATATATGACTATTTTCTCTTACAGTATTGTGTGCTAGAAATTTGGCGCGCAAGGACTTGTTTCGTAAGTATAATTCATATATCTGAAATTAATAATTGATTTGGAATCACAACGAACAAAACAGCAAACATGGGCACAAATATGGGCACAAATGTTTCTTTCCCGTTGTTGAGCTTCGGTGCGTTTTAACGTGCTACGTACCTCGGGTGTTGTAGCTAAATTTAGCATTTCCTTTTGTCTACTTTCATTTTTATACAAATTACCAGCAAGAGTGAGTGTGAGAGGGTTAGCGGGAGGAAGGGAGGTAGGGAGGTAGGTAGACAGCGCTAGCACAAATCTCTATCTACAAATTAGGGTTGCCATGCCATTTATATAGGTATATACATTCATACACACACATATATATATATATATATATATATATATACATCTATCTATTTTTTGTTATAATTTGTTTACACATAACTAAAATGAATTATTACTAATTTACTTTCATTGTGTTGCCCTCTCACTCATGCACGCACAACCCAATTTGTATGTATGTGTGTGTGTGAGCGTGTGTTGTATTTCTCTTATTCATTTTTTTACACTTCGTTGCACTTAAATCACGCGGGGGGCGTCCAAACGACGACGACGACGGCGTTGCCGTCCGCATTGCCTAATGTTTCTAATTTTTTATATGTTTTCTTCAAATTATAGTATATATTATTAGTTTGATACGCATTCGACAGGTGTTCATGAGGGGAACCCCAAAAAAGGAGCTGCCATTGGTGTGGATTTCTATGCGATATGAAATGGCACAGAAATGCTAATGTGTAATTAACAGCAGCATGCCAAGTAGCTAGCGAGCTGTAGACTTGATGTCACTTTTCTATGTTGCAGATTCAGTTCAAGTCGTCATCAGTGCACTTGACTTACATATGGTTGGTTGGGTTGGGCTGGTCTGGGTTGGGTTGGATTGTGAATGTTTTTACGCCCATGCAAATGGGTACAAATGGCACAAAAGTTGGCCGCTTTTTGTTTATCGTTGGACTGATTAGATTCGTGCTATGAGCGAGTATCAAACTGGGAACGTTGGGAAAACCACAAACGCAGTCACGAACTGGCTAAATGTGTGTGTGTTCTAGGGTCTTACGCAGAGGACTTGACACTATCGGAAAGCGTTTGATTTCTAGAAAGATATATAAATAGATATTATGAGCTAGGGGAACATATGTTATGACGAATTTTTTCTATGACCCCAAACGTAACAAAACGAAACAACGCAAAATAGTTTTGAAAAGTTGACTATAGCATTTTCTATATTCGTTCTGTAATGAATATGGAAATGTAGAAAACATTTTATACACTATTGGACTTTTCAAATTTCAAATTTTAAATTTGTGGGTTTAATACAAAATATGTTCGGAAAATAAATACCCATGAGCACAGACAAAATATATGTGTATATGTATGCATATACATGTATGCTTGTAGTAGACTTGTTTTTGTTATCACTAGCAAAAGGTGCAATAAAATAATTTAAATTGTGTAGAAACTTGGCATTAAAGAAATACGACGATGTTTGCACTACTATTGCGCAATCAAGTGCCATCGAGTTGCAATTTTCCTTTTGCAATTTCACATTTGCGACGTACGTTGGCAGTTAGGAAAATGCCGCATGAACCCGATAAAGGTCTAGATGAATCTGGTCAAATTATGGAAGCTATGAAAACACAGAAATTGGACGATATGCGGATCAAAATCAACGAAGGGAATTTTGGCAGCCCAGCATCGATTCTCTTGGCACACTCGACTGATGGAAAGCACGTGCTACGCCTAAGTATTCGTCACGTGGCGACACAAAAATATAATTCAGTTATCTTTTTACCCGCAAAGATGCCGAAAACTATGACAATGTCCACCCAGGCCATTGACAACGATTCCGATACTAACAAGCAGGCAGATCAAAAGACTACCAAAGTGAATGACAGCGACTCTGATACCAAAATGAAGGCAAATCAAGAGTCAAACGATTCGCCTGAGAAGGAATCGGATGTCTCATCTAAATTTAAAAGAATGTATAGTAATAGGGAGTGTTCGAAACCGTTGCGCTCTATTAACCGAACGACCAAACCAGAATTTTCTGAAAAACGACATGCGTACGTACGTGAATGGATAAGGAAGTGGAAGGAAAATCGGATTTTAGAACCCAAAGCTAAGCTTAGAGAAAAATTAATAAGGAAAATTCCGGTTCACAGTAAAATGTTGGAAAATTTTCCGATCAAATCAGTTCGCAAAAAAAACAAATTTCCGATAAACGCACGAATTCTTGAAACAGACGATATTGAAGTTGCCGAAAAACTAGAGAATGCCAAGAAATCTTACTTTAGGTATAAAAAACCAAAACCAGAACCAATAAGATGTCATTTCAAGATCGAGCAAAGAGAGATGAGGAAAATCGCCAAGAACTTGGGGAAAACCTCTCCGTTGAACGACAGCAAAAACTCAACTACACAGAAGTCTTTAACAAAGCCGCCGCCAGGATCTGCAAAATCGTTTTCCACTTTTGGACCGGCAAGTCCACAGGCAACAGAAGTCTTAGAGGGACTCAAGGTTCCCGGAGTGTCGACAATATTAAGCGCTGGGAAAGCTGGTCCTCCGGCCAAGCCTGGAACAGGCGGTAAAGCTCCTGCATCAGGAGCTGCAACAGGTAAGCCGCCAAGCCGACCGCCTCCACCAAAGGGTCCTCCCCCGGGAACACCTCCACCTCAAACTAAGACAACATTTGGACCACTGAAAGATTCGGATCGTATTTTCACAAATCTATACGGGCGTCACGACTGGCGCTTAAAAGCGGCCATGAAACGTGGCGATTGGTACAAAACCAAAGAAATAATCGAGAAAGGATCTCCCTGGATTATTAATGAAATTAAAACATCTGGTTTGCGTGGACGAGGCGGGGCTGGTTTTCCCACTGGTCTCAAATATTCCTTTATGAACAAACCGCCCGACGGTCGTCCTAAGTTTCTAGTAGTTAACGCCGATGAGGGCGAACCGGGCACGTGCAAGGATCGAGAGATACTCCGTCACGATCCGCATAAACTAGTGGAGGGGTGTCTCATAGTTGGCCATGCGATGGGGGCCAATACTGGTTTTATCTACGTGCGCGGTGAGTTCTTTAACGAAACCTGCAATCTACAGTACGCCATAGCTGAGGCATACAAGGAAGGATTTCTGGGTAAGAATGCCTGTGGATCAGGCTATGATTTCGATCTCTATATACAGCGCGGCGCTGGTGCCTATGTGTGCGGCGAGGAGACATCGCTTATCGAATCCTTGGAGGGTAAGGCAGGAAAGCCGCGCAGCAAGCCGCCCTTTCCAGCAGATATCGGTGTCTTTGGCTGCCCCTCAACGGTTACCAATGTGGAGACGGTGGCTGTGGTATCCACGATTTGTAGGCGTGGAGGTAAATGGTTTGCCAGCTTTGGACGCACCCGCAACTCGGGCACAAAACTTTTTAATATTTCGGGACACGTGAAACGACCCTGCACAGTGGAAGAAGAACTGTCGATGCCCACACGTGAGCTCATAGAACGACATGCTGGAGGTGTTACTGGCGGCTGGGACAATTTGCTAGCTATTATACCTGGTGGCTCATCAACGCCATGCATTCCTTTGGAAGACGCATCGAAATCTATACACGACTATGACGGTTTGATGGCTGTGCGATCCTCTCTGGGCACTGGCGCCATCATAGTGATGAGCAAGAAAACGGACATTATCAAGGCTATTGCACGACTGTCTGCCTTTTACAAACATGAGAGTTGCGGCCAATGCACGCCCTGCCGTGAAGGCCTGCACTGGGTGCACCTGATCATGCAACGTTTTGTTACTGGTCAGGCGAAGCCCAGCGAGATCGACATGCTGTGGGAAATAACCAAACAAATCGAGGGGCATACCATATGCGCCTTGGGCGACGGCGCTGCATGGCCACCGCAGGGACTGATTCGACATTTTCGACCAGTCATCGAGGAGCGCATGCGTCAGCATGCAGAAGCGACAAGTGGCAAAGCGACAGCAGGCGCCGCCGCCGGCACTACCACCGCCACCGCTAAAATGTCCGTATCCGACGGCGGCGTTAGCACCAGCAAGTCTTCATAAGTGTTAATGACGTTTTATTTACAATAAAAGCCTTTTCTTTGCTGGCTTACTTCATGCAACAATGACTTCCGCTTGCTGCCGAGTGAAAGTGCAGCCAATTGTTAATTTTACACTAAGTAGTCCGACTGAGCCACAAAATTGTGCCACGTAGCGTTAAGCCAAATGGCGTTGAACGACATGTGGTCGACAGTGGGTCGGGATACGGTAGTCAGTCGATGGCATTCAAGAGACCAGCTCAAGCCAGACACTTTCCCATGCATGGCTCGGGTCCATGCATTTATAGATACTGCTTAATTGTTTCGCTTATGAGAGTATGCTCAGGTCGACTATGTGCATTGCCATCATTCTTGCCGCTGTTTCCTTTTACTTTTTGCCATTTTGCTTTTGTGTTCTTTGGAGCATAAAATCAATCAACAGCTGTTGAACTCGTCCGCAGTTCAAATTACCCACACACACACACGCGCGCGCACCAGGTGTACAGACACAGGTGCGAGCCAGGCTGTAAATACAAGTGCATGCCATATGCATGCCACTCAAAAGGATAGCAAGCTAACTGATATTTAATTTTAATGACTTTGATAGCAATATGTATATATATATATATATTCTATATATCTATATACCTACTCAAATAATCTTAGCTTCATTTGCTTTATTACCATCTCTTTAGTCTGTGCATAAATCACTGCTAATTGTCTCTGGTATAAGGCATACTGAAGACATAGTGCTCTACCTTATCAACTGAATCAAGAACTGGGTAGCAGATTGATCCCATGGCATCTATTGGCACTTGGCCTCGTTTATGCTTTTGGTTCAGTATTAAAGACAGTTATTAAAGCGTCGCTGTGATTTAATTGAAATTTGTTGCCCTCTGCGGTCAACGATTCACAATTATATGAACTAGGCTAATTGAATGAGCATTTCTCGTTAGCGTCGCTCAGCCGTGAGGATTGAAGGGCGGCGTTCCGGGTATGCGAGGATATGGTTGGTTGACATGTGGTCGATTCCAGCGGCGATCGTCGAAAGGTGCAGCCATTGTCGAAACGGCGCAGAGCGCCATCAGCGCCAGCAACAACCAGGCGATAAAGGCGCTGAAGCGTATGGAAGCCATAACTTTTGTGATTGGTGGCTGCGTCAATGATGCTGCTGCTTATATATGGGTCAGCCAGCGAGTGTTCTCTACGGGGAAGACAAGTAATCTGAAATTGAGTATATGGTATATGCTTCAGAGTGTGATTACCCTCAGTTGGCTGACAAGAGACTAGAGAGGGGACTCACAGGAAAGTTGCTTTTCTCGATGATTAGAAGGCCGTTCTGATAACCTACTCGAAGCCGTTTATTTCAATTGTGTCACTTGACGTTGTCGATGTTGTTGTTGATGTTTCTGTTGCTGTTTCGATTTCCGGTTGCGGCTCCTCCAAGCATCGTGTGGGTAGCCGTCTGAGATCGATTGCGATGCGATCAGGAAAACCAGGATGGCGATGGGGTATATAGTTATAAGCAGGTTGCATTGAATGGATTATTAACCAAATCAGCAATAGAATTCGAAACATTCTCTATTATATACAAGCTGCAGCGAGATTATTGTATTTTAAGTCTAAACAGTTTTGACTCGCTTATGCAGATAGAGACAGAGACTAAACGAAGCTTTGCCAGGTGTGTCTGCTCGGTGTTTGCTTATATAGGTTGCAAAATTTGCGACATGCAATCGATTTAAATAAATAAAACTAATCAAATTACTAAAATTACCTCACTTTAATTTGCTATGTAGGGTTGCCCGATCCGTTTGCAAAAGTTCAGGTGGATGGCACCGGTCAGGTCTATTCAACAGAGATAAGTAAGTCCTCGCTGGACCCCAAATGGAATGCGCACTACGATCTGTTTCTGGGGCGTGGCGATTCGATAACAATAACCGTTTGGAATCAGCGAAAGATACACAAAGGCAGCGGATTTCTGGGCTGTGTGCGCATTCCCGCCGTGACCATACAAAGTCTAAAGGGCACAGGATGTAAGTAGCTCCGCATATGTCAATTGAAATAATGTACTAAAGAGTGTTCATAATTTTGTAGTTCAACGCCTGGATCTTGGTAAATTATCCCCTGACGACGATGAGTTGGTGCGCGGTCAGATCATCATTTCGTTGCTTGCCAAAGATGGACCCTGCAGTGGCAACCCGCTGGCCATTGTGGGACCTAGCGGCGATGTGCGTGGTCCGTCAGAGGAAGAACCCTCAGTGGACCATCTGCCGGACGGCTGGGAGGAGCGACGCACGGACAACGGTCGCATCTACTATGTAAATCATGCGACTAAATCAACGCAATGGGATAGACCCAGAGTTGCGGCAACGCCAGCGGGGACAAAGTCGCCGCAGCAGCGCCATCAACACAACGGCAACAATGTGGACAGGCAGCCTCCGGCAGGTCCAACACGTTCCACGACTTGCACAAATCTGCTCAACGGTCACAGCAATCGTCAAATGGCGCGCGAGATGTCAGACGAACGGCGTCATTCAACGGAAATACTCTCTAGTGTGGGCGTGGGCGTGGCGGGCGGTAAAGAGAATACCAGTCCCAGCTCGGGTACAACGGGAACGACGACCACGACAACGGCCACACCGGGCAAAAAGTCAACACCCAGCCGAGCAGGGAATGCGGCACTAGAGCCCTCTACGCCCAACAACAGCACCAGTAGTAACAGCAGTAGCAACAACGCGACAACAACGACAACGACGGCGACTGGTCGCCTGCATAGCAGCAACAACGACAATCATGTAAAAACGCCAAAGCATCAAACATCGACAGCACTGAACGGGCATGCGCCTGGCGAGGCGACGCCCACATCGCCTACTGGCCAGCAGAATTATGTGAATGGAAACGCACAGAGTGTCCAATCTGCGCAGCCCCAGCACTCTAGCAACGGCTGGCAACCAGAGGATGGTACGGCACCCACAACGACAACACCTGCAACAACACCGCCACGACAGAGTCCCACAACTGCAACAGTTGCAACGTCATCAACGCCTGCCACACCCACAACCGCAAGTAGCAACGGCAATGGCAACGGCAATGTACATAGTCCCAATGCGAACAGTAGTCAGCCAGTTAGTAGAACGGAAAGGACGCCTGCAACGGCAACGCCTGCGCAACGTTCGCAGCGCCGTAGCTCACGTCAGGCAGCAGCAGAGGAAGCAGCGGCACGTCGACGATCATCTCGCGGTACGCGAAATACTGGTGCAGGTGGTGCGGCAATGGCTGGTGGCTTACGTTTCGGATCTGCGGCGGTAGCAGCTTCAAATCAGGCGGCGCGTCCTTTTTTGGATCTGCCACAGGGCTATGAGATGCGCACCACACAGCAAGGCCAGGTGTATTTCTATCACATACTCACTGGTGTATCCACATGGCATGATCCGCGCATTCCACGCGATCTTGACACACAGCATCTGACGCTAGACGAGATTGGGTCGCTGCCAAGCGGCTGGGAACAGCGCAAAACGGCCTCGGGTCGTGTTTACTTTGTAGATCATAATAATCGCACCACACAGTTCACGGATCCGCGGCTAAGCGGAAGCATACTGCAAAGGATATGCAATGGCAGTGGAAATGTGACAGCAGCGACACCAAATAGTGCAGCAGCAGCTCCACCACCAACTGCAGCTCCACCGCAGTCTGCAGCACCCCCACCTGCGCCTTCGAACACTGGCAGTACGACAGCCACACCGCATCGCAGAGCTACGCCGCATATTGTAGCGCCGGATCTGCCGCAAGGATTGCTGGAAGGTGCGGACCTGCTGCCAAAGTATCGACGCGATTTGGTTGGCAAAATGCGGGCATTGCGTTCGGAACTGCAAACTTTGCAGCCACAGTCGGGCCACTGTCGGCTGGAGGTATCTCGCAGCGAGATCTTTGAGGAGAGCTACAGACTGATTATGAAGATGCGCGCTAAGGACATGCGCAAACGGCTCATGGTCAAGTTCAAGGGTGAGGAGGGCCTGGATTATGGGGGTGTGGCACGCGAGTGGCTACATCTGTTATCCCGCGAGATGCTCAATCCACATTACGGCCTATTCCAGTACAGCCGCGACGATCATTATACGCTGCAAATCAATCCCGATTCAAGCATCAATCCAGATCATTTGTCCTACTTTCATTTCGTTGGCCGTACTCTGGGTATTGCCGTTTTCCATGGCCATTGTCTCGATGGCGGCTTCACCACTCCCTTCTACAAGCAACTGTTGAATAAACCCATCACACTAGGTGACATTGAGGGTGTGGATCCCGAGCTGCATCGCAGTCTCACTTGGATGCTGTACGTAGATGCAAACATATTAAACGGCTTTTAGTTTGCAACCATTAAATGTGATTTCAATTTTGCAGTGAAAGCAATATCAGCGGGATTATCGAGTCCACATTTAGCGTGGAGAACAATAGCTTTGGAGCTCTGGTGGTGCATGAACTAAAGCCCGGCGGGGCATCAATTGCTGTTACCGAGGAGAATAAGCGCGAGTATGTAAAGCTTTATGTGAACTATCGCTTTATGCGCGGCATTGAGCAACAGTTTTTGGCACTGCAAAAAGGTCAGTATATTGCTCTTTATTATACATATGTACAATACTTACTCAAACCCATTTGTAATTTGTCAGGCTTCTGTGAACTGATACCCAGCCATTTGTTGCGCCCATTTGATGAGCGCGAATTGGAATTGGTTATTGGAGGCATCTCTAGCATCGACGTCAATGACTGGCGCAACAATACGAGGATGAAACATTGCTCCAATGAAACACCGCAGGTTCTGTGGTTTTGGCAGGTTCGATATATATTTGCCTCATCAGTTATTTTGATGCATTTTTAATAATGAAATATGCTTTGTTTCAGGTGGTTGAGTCGTATAGCTCTGAGATGCGTGCACGTTTGCTACAATTTGTGACAGGATCTTCGCGGGTGCCGTTGCAAGGCTTTCGTGCCCTGCAAGGTTCTACAGGTGCGGTGGGGCCACGCCTGTTTACCATACATCTAACAGCAGATGTGCCCACACAAAATTTGCCCAAGGCACACACCTGCTTCAATCGCATTGACTTGCCGCCCTACGAGAACTATCAGCTGCTCTGTGACAAGCTAACGCAAGCCGTCGAGGAAACCTGTGGATTTGCTGTGGAATAATTACAACGCTCACACCCATACACCCACACACACACACATACACACATACACACATACACTCTTAGACATACGACCGCATTCTTGTACACTCATTTTTGCATTATATCACTTGCAACAATATATGAAAGCGATTTGAAATCAAAATTATACTGGCCTGTGTGCCCCCAAAAATATTGCATTGGAATTTGTCTGTTGAAAAATGCTCCGCAATGCTGTTTAGTGTTTTGCTGCGCCTTTTGCAGCTAAGAAAATGAAATGATAAAACAATTTAAACTGACTTATTACAAACATATTTATGTGTTGCCCACTCAAAGGCGATAGTTCTTAAACATAGTTACCAAGTGCATATACACTCAAACGTACATACATACTTACACGTATATCTATATATATACTTGTATTCAGCTGTCTACCCTTGGCCTTTGTTTGTTTACGTCGTGTTATGAATTGTAGTTTTAATTATTGAACCCATATACATATACATATACATTTTACATTTATATATATATGTATATAAAACATATATGTATATATATATCATAGTTGATAATTAGGCGTAACAAAAACAACAACCACGATAACAAATTTTTATAATTGTAGGCATTGAACCAGCAATTTAGTGCTTTTGTTTAGTTTTAAATGCATTTTTATGTTTACTAATTATATTTTGTACATTTATAAAGAAATCAAACTCAATGCTAAGTTTTTTTATTATTGTTACAATTGTCTTTAAATATATATACACTCACACTCACACACGCACACACTTTCTAAAAACATTCAGTCCCACTAAAAGCACTTTATACATATTCATAAAAAATGTAATTTTAATTGAAATATTTACTCATCATTCACCCTCCCCACACACCAAAAAAAACAAATACAAAACAAAAAACACTTGAAAAATTACTCAATTATTCTAATTAGTTATTTTTTTAAATTTTTAAATAAATGAAAATTATTTAAATTGAATTTGATTAAATATTTCATTTTGAAGCTGGCTCCAAGCTATGTCCGCGTTTAAATGTATGCCAAAACTAATTAAAATATTGCGCGGAACAAATTACATATACGTAGGCATATGATACGTTACAATTGAAACACGATACGAATTGGACAAATTTCTAGAAAGTGATATTAGTAAAAATTTTAACTGTCTTTGAATCAAATTGTAACAATTAGTAGTTATATAAGAACCCCTAGAACGAACATGTATTGATTTCATTATCGCGGAAACATTTCTATTAAACGTAGCATACAACAGATAACAGACAAGAGACAACATACAATACACAACAGACACAACCACAAATTGAATGTTAACTTTTTAGCTCTAGAGGGCCCTATCTGAAATTGATAAACTGGCAACTCTATGAAGTTTAGTGGAAGTTATTAAAAAAAAGATTAACAAATCGGTGTAAACAATCTTTAATAAAAATTTATATAATCAAAGACTTAAGAAGTAAATCACAATATATTGAACTAAACGTTTCTGTCTATATTTTTCATTAAATTATATATATTAGGGGCTCACACATACATACAGTTTTGTATATTGTGATGTTGCAAAATGAAGAAAACCAATAGAAATAAAGCAAAATCAAAACCATAAATACTTTATCCAGTTCTTATTTTTATTATACTGTATTTTAATAATATTGGGTTAATCAAACTACAAAAAAATAAAATTAGAACTTTCGAGTATGGGTAATTTTTTCATTTTATGGTCTGTAAGAAGAAAATCGAACTTAGAACCATAGTATTCCATGTGCCGAAATAGCTCAGTTGGGAGAGCGTTAGACTGAAGATCTAAAGGTCCCCGGTTCAATCCCGGGTTTCGGCAATGATTTTTTTTAATTCATATATATTCCTTCCTTATTTAACTTTATGCATTGCTCTTACATTTTGTAAAAATAGGGTATAAAATACTGAACAATATTATACTCAGAATTTGGGATGATAAATCTTTTGCCATAAGTGCGATATTTTTTTGTTTTGGATCGCAATGATTATATGTTAATTTATTTCAATATGTAAGACTTGCAAATAATAATGTTATGAACTTTGCTTGACTAATCCTGTGTTGGAAGTAACACATTTGGCAGGACAGCACCAACTGCCGAAATAGCTCAGTTGGGAGAGCGTTAGACTGAAGATCTAAAGGTCCCCGGTTCAATCCCGGGTTTCGGCAAATACTTATTTTTTTTAATTTCAAATTGATTTAATATTATTTTTCCGAAGACATTTTTGTTATAATTTTGATTATGATTATGATTTATGGTTTTAATTCCATTTTTAATAGTAGATTATCGTATATATATTCAATATGTTGAATGAATTAGCGAATATCATAGCAAATAAAATAATAGAACATTTTTCAGACACAACTTTCTAATAATAGAAGAAATGTAAATATTTATTTATGCGTATAAAGTATATATATATTTTAAATGAAATACATTGGCGTCTACGATAGTATAATATAATTGTGTGAAAGCTTTTAGTAAAGACTTAAACCATGTAATTTTGACACTATCGCTTTTATTAAGTGGTTAATTTGATAACACAAAAACATGTGCCGAAATAGCTCAGTTGGGAGAGCGTTAGACTGAAGATCTAAAGGTCCCCGGTTCAATCCCGGGTTTCGGCAATGATCACTTTTTTTTTTTGGCATTTAAATTTTTTTGCAAATACTACCCTAAATTATCAATCGTTTTGGTAGTTAACGTTGGTTAACTTTTTGTTTGCTTATGGAAGCCGAACTGTTTGTAAAAATTGGGAAGGTGACGATGTCATACCAACGATATGGGTTTATATTTGCTGCATACCTTAATATCACTTAAAATCGTAGAACCGTCGTTCTCATCAATTATAGAGAGTAAAAAATGTTGCGTAAGGGGTAAGTCCCATTAAAAAATGCAGATAATCAGATATATTTAAAGTTTATTGGAAAGGTTTTTGCGAGCAATGCTACGAGGCCCACATCATACATGTGCCGAAATAGCTCAGTTGGGAGAGCGTTAGACTGAAGATCTAAAGGTCCCCGGTTCAATCCCGGGTTTCGGCAATGATCACTTTTTTTTTTTGGCATTTAAATTTTTTTGCAAATACTACCCTAAATTATCAATCGTTTTGGTAGTTAACGTTGGTTAACTTTTTGTTTGCTTATGGAAGCCGAACTGTTTGTAAAAATTGGGAAGGTGACGATGTCATACCAACGATATGGGTTTATATTTGCTGCATACCTTAATATCACTTAAAATCGTAGAACCGTCGTTCTCATCAATTATAGAGAGTAAAAAATGTTGCGTAAGGGGTAAGTCCCATTAAAAAATGCAGATAATCAGATATATTTAAAGTTTATTGGAAAGGTTTTTGCGAGCAATGCTACGAGGCCCACATCATACATGTGCCGAAATAGCTCAGTTGGGAGAGCGTTAGACTGAAGATCTAAAGGTCCCCGGTTCAATCCCGGGTTTCGGCAGACTCCATTTTTGCTTAGTTTTACTTTAGTTTTTCCATTTTTCGCTTTCCTTTAAAACATATTAAATAAATATTTTATATTGTCAAATATATAATTATTCTTTTATTGATTGCCTAAATATAGAGTTGGGTGAATTGTAATATATTATACCGCCAGTAATTAAATTAATTAATGTGACTACAATATAATTACAATCTAGCATTAACTAAAAGTGCATGACTATTTATTTCTGGAAGCTCACATGCGAACTCCTAATTTCCATATATGTTACATACAGAACAAGTATTTTCGATTTAGTAAATAATAAAGATGATGGACATCCAATAAGTGTATAAGGGTCAGGTAGAGACAGCTCTATAAGCTAGGGCTACTCACAGATATAATGTGTTTATATAGTACATAGATACCTGCCTTAATGTTATTTAGTATGTAAATATGTTACTGAGCAGCTGTATAATTTACTCATACGTACAAAGTTTAAGCTATTAACTTGCAACTAACAAATCGGTTGCAATTTTCTAAAGCTAGAGCATGGTTAGTCTTAGAGTGGCTGGAGACTAAACTAAAAATCTGGATCGTAGTCGCGGGCATAACGCGTTCGACTCGCGTGATTGTTGTAGCTGTACATCTGATGCGCATCAGCAAAGGCGTCCGGATATTGATGTCCGTAGCCCTGCTGATGTCCTGTGGGATATTGCTGCTGATGATGGTGATGATGATGATGATTGTGTGGCGTAGCCCGCTTCAGAGAGTCGCCCTTCTGCGAATATGTTGGCTGCTGATCATAGAAGTAGTCGCCACTGCTGTGTGCTGGATGACGAGTCGAGCGCCAGCTATCGTAGATGTTCGAGCTGTTGCTGCCATGCATCGAATTGGTAAAGCGCTGGCAACAGAAGATGAGAAGAGAAAGCCTCTGATTATTGAAAGACATATCAATAGGAGATTACGTTGCTTACCTTTGGCTTAATGGGCTGCTTGGTGTCGTTCCAGGGATCGTCTATGTTGTAGAAGTCATCGACTCCATAGTTATCCGCACCGCCCATGTGATTTACCTTCAGCTCATTCAGCATGTCATTGGTCAAGGGAATCGGAGTCTTTTTAGCGCGCTTCTGACGATTAAGCAGCTGCAGGTACGAATTAATTAACCTCTAATATTAACATCTTTATAAGCACGCTGGGAGTCTGAAACTTACCACTGTGACACCAAATATAACGACAAAGACAAGCGAACCCACGCCTATGACAATGACGACGATGGCCCACTGTGGAATGGGCAGATCGTCCTCGGCAAACTCCACATTGGTGTGCAAATTCTTGGCAATGACTACGAAAAGACAAATGGTCAGGATTAGCTACAACGTGAGAACATGTTCTTGTTGGTTCCCTATAGCCATAGCCATGTGTGACTAGTATCTTCAGTATTTCCTTGCAGGCTTGAGGATTCTAGTCGGATACTCCCCTCAAGAATGCCCTTAATTGTAACTCACCACTGAATTCGGTGGCCATGGGATCAATGTAAAATTTGCCCATTTGATAGCTGGCCTTGACGAGCTGTTCCTCCTGGGGTCCGGACACGCTATCCGTTTCGTTCTCCTGTGCATCCTTTTCGGGCAACAGAGGCGTTGTTGGCTTGGTTAGTGCATCGTGGAACAGCTGTTTTATCTCCAGAGTATCCACATCCTCGGTGATATTGGCCAGCTCCACATAATAGTCCACCAAAACGCTGCCTTCGCTGAAGCTATCGATGCGCACTTTCTTATACCACTTGCTTAGCTGAGGTGCATTGGAGTAGACCTCATTGAGCTGGAAATGAATGAAAGGTTAGGCGGAAGAGAGAGAGAGGGGGGGATGAAATCAAGATGAGATCCCACCTGTGCTTCTAGCTCGTGAGCCAGATTCTTCCACTCGAGTGTGTTGTGATCCAAGAGCTCCGGCTTCCAGGCGACGCCATCGATAATCTTGATAGTTGCTTCCAGGTCACAATCTGCCGTACAGTGTCCGGGTTTCGTGGGCCTTGGAGTTGTGGTAGTCGTCGTAGTTGTGGTTGTGGTGGTGCTGCTTGTGGTCGAGCTGGAGCCCGCTGCTGTCAACAGATCCTCGAAATTGATGGTCTGCGCATTCAGCTTGTCTATGGACAGTGGTGTGGTGGGTGGCGTGGGCCAGCCAGTGAACTCGGTGGTGGCGCGTGTGGGAGGACCCTTCTTAATCACCACAGGCGGTGATGAGGGTGCCCCTTCGCTGCCCTCGTGCGGAGTGTGTGGCGTGGTCAGTCTGTGTGAGCCAAGCCGTTTGTGGAAGCCTTTGGGAAAGACGACCTTTAGGCCGCTACCGGAGGTGCTCTCATTTGCAGACTTCTCAGTGGTGCTGGGCACCGGCTTGGAGGTAGATGCCGGGTGGATGGCCTTCGACTTGTAGCCCGGCGGTAGCAGCGACGCTAGCAGCTCGTCATCTTCAGCTGCCACATTCAACTTGGGCTTGCTGGTGCCGTTCAGCTTGAAGCCAGGTGGCAGCAAGCTGCTGATATCATCAACCTTAAGCGGAGTGATGCCAGCTGGCAGCTTGGGCTCATCTTTCTCCTTTGGTGCCTTATAGCCAGGTGGCAGAAACTTGCTCAGATCGTCAAAGGGAACGGCAACGGCGGGCGATCTTTGAGTTGTTGTTGTCGTCGTTGAGGGGCTAAATCCCTTGGGCAAAAACTTCGAAATGTCCTCAACAAGAACTATATCCGGCTTCGACGTGGTCGCATTTAGCTTATAGTCTTTGGGCAGTAGCGCTGCGAGGCTATCATCGAACTTGATTTCTTCAAACAAACTTTCTAGCACAGCTGCTGCCTTCGTCGTGCTTTGGTCTGGGCTGGCCGTCGTCGTTGTCGACGTCGTCCTCGGTGGCTTGTAGCCCTTGGGAAGGAGACCTGCCAATGTGACATCCTGCACGGTGACTACACCGTTCTTGAAGGAGCGACTGATGGTAGAGTTACGCGCTGGCTTCTTCGATTGCTCCTGGACGGGTGCTTCCGTTGTCGTCGTTGTTGTTGTGGTTGTTATCTTGCGGTTCTTATAGCTGGGCTTGGGCTTAAAGCCGACTGGTAACAAGCCGGCTAACTCATCCATTTCACTCTCATCGTAGTGGTGCACCTTCAGCTTGGCGCCGCTGCTGGTGGTGCTGGGCGCCGAGGTGGTGCGTGGCTGGAACTTCCGAATGTGGGGCGCAAATCGTCCAGCGCCCGTTGTCATCGGGCTGGCGGGAGTGGACGAGTCCATTTGACTTATGATGGGATATTTGCCCGAGAGCACGCCACTGGACAGCTCCGATTGCACACGGTCTAGCTTATCGATGATGCTCTCCGTCGAGGCGCCCTGCACAGGCAACAGTTTCTCCGTTGTGCTGGACGAAGAGGGAGACGTTGAGGTAGGCGTCGTCGAGCTGGGCTCCTCGCTGCTCTCATTGAAATCTGCCTGCTTTTGCTGGTGCTTCGAGTGCACCTTACGCTCCAGTTCAGAGAGCGTTTGCTTCGTCTCCTCCTGCTCGATGGCTGGGAAGGGCAGGAAGCGTGCTCCATTAATGCTGCGACTGGTCTGTATGGACGCCACCACCACATAGCTCTCGGTCACATTGGGCGTGGCTGCCTCCTCTGTGGGCAGAGGCGTTGTATTGATGACATTATTGAGCTCCGTTTGATCCTCATCGAGCTGTGGCGCTGGCTGGCTATCGCTAAGAGTTGTGCCCAAGCTGCTGGGAGTCACTGGCGCCGGGTAAGCTGTGGAGCCATTGACAACGCTCTTCGTAGTCACCACCGAGATTATTTCCCGCTCATCCTCGTGCTCGTGCTCGTGTTCCCTGCTGTTCGCTGTTTCGGTGGTGGCCTTGTTGTCATGGCTGCTCTGCTCCTCGCTGACTTCCTCTTCTTCCTCTTCGTCGTATTCGTACTCCTCAGCACCTTAAGTGAATTGTTATCAGCATTGGAATATCATTTTGGAATAGCTATAAATATTTCTCACCTTCTTCGCCCAGCTCGTCATCGTACTCAACGTCATCCTCCTGCTGGGCTGAGCTCTCCTTTGTGGTTTCCGCCGTCTGTTGAGTGGGTTGACTGCTGCTAGGCGTAGTCTCGACTGGCTGCTCCGTGGTATTGCTCTCCAGCTCTGTTTGCTGTTGCTCCGTCGAGTCTTGCTCTTTGGACAAAGCTGTTGTGGCCTTCTCCTCGTCTTCAATGTATTCATATTCATGCACGGGACTTGCCTGCGTTGTCTCTTCCGTCAAGTCTTGCGCCTCGGAGGAGTCTGTTTGGGCCTCCTCCGTACTGCTGGTGCTGGACTTGTCATAGTCCGCTTCATTGCTCGTCGCCGTTTCCACTGCAGCTGCAACGGAGACTGTGGCGTCTGCGGGCACTGCGGCGATCGGGCTGCCCTCCGTTTTGCTAACTGCAGCTGGTGCGATTGTCTCCTCCTGCAGAGGCAATTTCTCCAGGCTTGAGGACTCCTCATGTTCTTCGTTTTCTGTGTGGTCTTCATCCTGCTCCTGTTCCTGCGACTCCTGATCATACTGCTCCACAGTTTCGTCCTGATTCACGCCCTCAGTGGTGCTGGTTGTGCTCGAGGTGGGTCGTGGCAGCTTCAGCCTGGCGCTGTTGTAGTTGAAAGGACGCTTGCCGACCACACTGACAGGTTCGTTGATTTCGCGACTAATGAACACAGGACGCCGTGGACTGGGCGGCTTGCGTCCGAAGCTCGGACGCTCTGCGGGCGTATTCTGTGTGGTGGAGCTGGGGCTGCTTGAGGACGTCGTCGTCGGGGATTTAGCTGCAGCGCGATTGCTGCCAAAGCGATTATAGCGCTTGCTGGTCACCTCCGCTGAGTGGCTGCCCGAGGTGGTCGACGAGGCTGTGGAGGTTGAAGGCTGAAAACGATTGCGCAAACGATACGGCGATGCGGCCTGGGGCGTGGCATCATCTGCTGGCGGCGGCGCCTGAGTGCGCGTGCGAGTCGCGCTCGGCGAGAAGCCGCCATTGCCAAAGGGTCGCTGAGCGGCGCTGCTGGACGCCAGGCGCTTGTCGTTCTAAAAAGAAACAAGAGAGAGAACCCGTTACGAATTGGCCTAATCTAGTCAAGCTGCTGCCACTAGACAGTTATTGCGGCTATTGCCAATCGTCAGCCGACAGCCGACAGCCGACAGCCGCCAGCCGTTGCGCCCCATTCACAGCATTGGCTTTTGTGGTCACATGTTATCGCCGTCGTCATGGGAAACTGTTACAGTTTCAACATGCTACTCCTAACACACATTCATGGAATCACAATCTCTGCGGTTCGTCTGTCAATTGTTTTGCGTGCGAACTCCGCTCGGCTAGCGGCCCGCCCCACTCAGTCTTCGCCTCCCATTGAAGTGATTCTCAAATTTGTCTAAAGCGTTTTGTGCAAATTTCCAGCTTTTGGTCTCGACTCGATTTATGCGCTCGTATTTATTTAATTTTTGATGTGAAGGCGAATGCTCGCAGCAGAGCCAAGTGTTTCGCACAGGTTGTAAAGCGCAACTTCGTGCGCATCCATTGAAAGCTGCGAGATTGAGATTGAGTGTTGCATGTTCATATTTTTGGGTCGCTGCAAATATCAGTAACCAGTCAACAGTCAACAGTCAACAGTCAATAGTCAGCAGTCCATGAAGGTGCAAATTTTCGTCTGAGGTAGCCAAAGGTTACAGCTGCTTGAGCAAAGTCTGCCATTACGTTATAATGATGATGGCTTAAATGATTGTCGAAAGGCTGCCAGATCGAAGTGGAGTCTGTGGGGGCATCATGATGCTATGCATACACTTTCTTTCTATAATGAATGTGGCTTACAGTCGTGGAAATGTAGAATCGTGTGGCATATGGAATATGAAGTGGCATCAAGTTGAGTGTGAACTGGGATCTTAGCTAAATGGTTTGCTATCTTTAGATGTTCTCTTTATAAATATGTATAATAATAATAAAATAATATATATTTCAATCTGCAGTATTCAGTTAATGCAATGAAGCTTTAGAGTTGGCATCAGCTGCTTGATTTGGTATTTTGTTAGAGTTTTAATTTAGCATAGTTAGTTTCTGCTTAGTTTTAGCTGAATTCTATTAGAGATTTGTCTGGAAATATATCATTTAAAGATCTCCAATACTATGTCATTTCAACTCATAGAAACCAGGATTTAACATCTTAGAACATTTCATTCCATAGCATCTTCTATCTTTTATTTTTCCTTATGCGTGGAAGTCCGTCAGATCGGATAACTCAGATTTCTCTTATTATAAGAAGGAAAACTAATCTCTGAGTAAATAGAAAAGTTCGTATATATTGAAGTTAGCCAAGTTAGTTCGAATACTCAATTGATGCTATATTCAATATACTATATCTCACTATAGCATATGCTTCTATAAGAAAATATTTTTTATATAATTTTTTATTTATTTTAATAAGAGTTAAATCGTAATTCTAGGCAAATCTTTTCGTTTCAACAACAATGTTTCAGCTCCAATTGAAATTTACTATAGAAACCCTTGCGATCTTTGCACTATCTTTTCAAAAACTTAACATTTACGAGCTCTTGGCTATTGCGTCTTTAGCCAAAGGTAATTTTACTTGGCCACAAACAGTTAGCAAAAGTCTGTGACTTATTGTCAATGCTGTGGGCCGTCAATGAATCTCAGCGCAAATCGGTTTTGTTAGCTTAAGCCAAGATTAATCATTGCAACACTTTCGCTACAATTAAATAACAAATGAGGGCAATTAAGCTCAATAGGAAACTTAATGTCGAATAAGTCGCATACCAACTTTTAAGAGTGGGAGGCCATATAAAAGTGAGAGAGATGGCGACAAAGAGACAGAGACAGAGAGAGAGAGATGTGAAGAGTGACAAAACAATGGCAGAGAAAACAGCTTTGCAGCTCGTCAGACATTTCAATCGGGTTCAGGTATTTGTGCACTTAAATCTGAATATTATTACCAGGTAAACCTATTTGCTATCTAAATATGTTAAACTCTAAACAGCATCGTCTAACGGTGAGCTGTTGAATGAAATGTTGCTCCAATTGTTTACTTTGCGAGTTCATTTTCGAATATGATCTGGTGAAAGGTAAAAATGATTTCATTTGATAGACTCATATATATAAATACACACACACACACACATATATATATATATATATATGTATATACATATATACATATTGCCTGTGGCTTTTGTGGCTTGCAACTGGTTCTGGGATTGTTGTGAATTGGCTGCTGGCAAAACATTTGAGAGTCACGTAAGAGAGAGGGAGCTGGAGAGGGAGCTGGAGAGAGCAACTGATATTGGCCAAATCAGAGCATGGCCAATTGTTTTGTTAAAATGTTATGCAATGCCAAAATGTTTTTATGTTTTGCTTGCTTTTACTTTTGTCTTGTGTCTGTGTCTCTCTCTGATCTGTCAGGCATCTAAGTCGGAGCAGCCAATTGGCATTTCCTTACCGTTGCCTCGCTGAAGTGCGCCAGAAACTGCGTCTGCTGGTGTGGCACATTGACACGCTGCGTCTGCGGTTGCAATCCGCTCCCTAAGCTGTTGCCACTGCTGCCGCCGCTGCCATTGCGTATCGCCTTGGAGCGTGTAAATCCAGCAACGGACGTCGTTGCGCCACCGCCTCCACTGACGGGCACACCAAAGGGGCGTGGCGAGATATCGTAATAGTCCGTCTGACGATTCGGTTTCTGTGGGAAGCAGAAAAACAAACAAACTTGTTGTCAGTTAACTCTTGTAATATAAAGCTGAGTCTATCTATATTTAATGCAAGATCAATTATAAAATTAAACAGACAAAAAAAAACTTGTTTGTGCGCCTCAGCAGCGACTCTGATCTGGAGCTAAGTGAGTCGTTGCAGACGGATAACACTGCACAGCATGGTTTATGGCAGTAGAGCGGAGTTGAGCATGTCGAAAGCCAGTTCTTCACTCTAGATTTTATTTAGCTAAAATATGTTTGATTTAGTTGTTGACTCGATTCCTTTTGCAGCTCCATCAACAAAGTCAAATTTTATAGATTTATAAAAAGCTGAGCTCGATGTAAGAGAGATCCAACTGCAAGTCTTGAAGATGCTGCCTAGAGTTCTTCCAGCTTTATCAGCTATACGTAGTAAGTCAACCTTTAGCGTTGGCAGAGTAGAGTTATTAGTTCATATCCAAGAGGTAAACTTGACACTGGTAGAGAGAGATGTTTCCTCTAGTTGACACTTTAAATAAGCTGATCTCTAGCAGATCAGTAGCAACTTGAGATACCCGCTGTAAACTTGAATCCAATTTGATTTGAATATATATATATATATATATATATATAAAATGCAATAATTAGTTGGATTTTTTCACATGTCAAATATGAACTGACTTCTACAAACTGCATTTAGTTAGAATCATGCAAAATCCTATATACTCTGCTTGGCTCATGAGCGAGCATTGAAGCTTAGCCTAGCTCAAGAAACTGCCAAACTAAAGCGTAAGACTCAAGAGAAACTTGTAGTTTGTTAAGCAGTGTACACTAGACATTTGCTGATATATTGAATGTTATATTGTTATGGAAATTACACATCTATTTTCCAAGAAGCATTGCATTCGAACCTGTCAAAGCAGAGCTAAGCTGAGCTAGAGCCAGCTTCAATTGCAATTCATTTGCATTTCCTTTGCTCTCATTGATTGACAGGAATCTTTGTAATGCAGGCTGAACCGATGTCAATGTAAGTTGACAATGCTTATCTTGAGCTCTGTCCAAACAGTGCCACTCGAGGCACTCGACGCTGCCTGTTCTGCCTCGCTCGTGGAGCTCAGTCACTCGACGTGTTGCATGCAATGCCAAAGCGCTTTAAGACTTCAGCTCCAGAAACTGAAAGCTGATTGCAAATGAAACGAAATCGAAATCGAACCACAACAAACACCTATCGACACAATGAAAATCTATAATAAATACCAAAAAAAGGTTTGATTGAAGTGTATCAAGGTTAAATCAAAATTCGACTGGCCGCTAATTACAGAAATCGCTGTCAGTTGCTCGTTGCGGCTTCGAACTCTTAAGTACTTGTTGTTATTATGCATTATTATTGTTTTTTTTTTTCTGGTTTTTTGAAAGTGCAGGCCTGGCCTGGCCGTAGCTGCAGTTTTGCTCTGTTAAACAAATTGCATACAAAACGCAAGTTTTGTTGCTAAAAGGCGAATTTGATTGCAGTTGGCGCTGCTCGTTTTTTCTTTCCGCTTCTTGACGTCGCTGTTTACGCATCACAAAGTACCCTACGGCCACGCCCCTGCCACAGATTTTCCCCAGCAATTAGAGAGAGAAATGCGAGCGAGCGTCACAGTTACCCACAAGTCTTAGTCTGATTAACAGTCATTAATTAGTTATAGCTTCAACTAAGTCTGACAATTGCTGAGCACTGAGCTCGTTCCAACAAATTTCACCTGGCGTCTGTCGCTGTCGCTGTCGCTGTGTCTGTGTCGCCTGGGTGCAATAACCCGAGTCTCCTCATAATGAGGCAGCTCTTCAAATGGACTTGCTACAATTTGAAGAAGAAAGCGCCGGACAAGCCGTATGCAACGGCTCCTAAGTCGTTTGTCAATATGGAAGCATAATAAACTATGAAACGAGCTGCTCACGTACTACACGACTTTTAGACCTGTAGAAATCGGAGAGAAGAGAGCGGGAGAGAGGGAGAGACAGAGAGAGGTATTTGCGTGCGACAGAATGCATAACGGGCTCTTCTTTTGGCATTGGGCTTTCACTTTAGGCCAATAAATTTAATATGGCTAAATCACATTATACCATAAAAATACGAAATATCTAAATTCTTTAGCCTGTTCTCTGTTACCAATTGCTATATATGTAGCTACAGCTGCTAAATTTGCGAATTCAATTCAAGAAAAGAGCGAGAAACGTAGATAGAGATGGGCTCAAACAATTTCCATTATTGCCTTAGGACATGCCATAGATAAAAAACTTATTCAATTTACAAGTAGCCGAGAGCCTGTCAGAGTCAACGAGGCATCAGCCACTGCCTCCGCCTGCCCAGCACCTGTTTGCAGTTAATTGAGTTTGAAGGTGGCGCGATGCGAAGACATGAAGAAGTCACTTTCATTAGGCACTGTCTGGCTGCTTCCATTAGGCACTGTCTGGCAGCTGATTTCACACTAAGCCAGGAGCTCTCGCTGTGCGCTGAGAAACTGGAAGTTAATCTCTGCTTCAGTCCCTGCTTCCATCCTATTCCTGCTGTTGTTGTCCTAGTCCTAGTCTATGTGCCGACACCTGTCTCTGTCCTAAGTCCAAGTCTCAGTCCCAGTCCCAGTCTCTGTCTCTGTCTCTGTCTCTGTCTCTGTCTCTGTCTCTGTCTCTGTCTCTGTCTCTGTCTCTGTCTCTGTCTCTGTCTCTGTCTGTCTCTGTCTCTGTCTCTGTCTCTGTCTCTGTCTCTGTCTCTGTCTCTGTCTCTGTCTCTGTCTCTGTCTCTGTCTCTGTCTCTGTCTCTGTCTCTGTCTCTGTCTCTGTCTCTGTCTCTGTCTCTGTCTCTGTCTCTGTCTCTGTCTCTGTCTCTGTCTCTGTCTCTGTCTCTGTCTCTGTCTCTGTCTCTGTCTCTGTCTCTGTCTCTGTCTCTGTCTCTGTCTCTGTCTCTGTCTCTGTCTCTGTCTCTGTCTCTGTCTCTGTCTCTGTCTCTGTCTCTGTCTCTGTCTCTGTCTCTGTCTCTGTCTCTGTCTCTGTCTCTGTCTCTGTCTCTGTCTCTGTCTCTGTCTCTGTCTCTGTCTCTGTCTCTGTCTCTGTCTCTGTCTCTGTCTCTGTCTCTGTCTCTGTCTCTGTCTCTGTCTCTGTCTCTGTCTCTGTCTCTGTCTCTGTCTCTGTCTCTGTCTCTGTCTCTGTCTCTGTCTCTGTCTCTGTCTCTGTCTCTGTCTCTGTCTCTGTCTCTGTCTCTGTCTCTGTCTCTGTCTCGTCTCTGTCTCTGTCTCTGTCTCTGTCCTCTGTCTCTGTCTCTGTCTCTGTCTCTGTCTCTGTCTCTGTCTCTGTCTCTGTCTCTGTCTCTGTCTCTGTCTCTGTCTCTGTCTCTGTCTCTGTCTCTGTCTCTGTCTCTGTCTCTGTCTCTGTCTCTGTCTCTGTCTCTCTGTCTCTGTCTCTGTCTCTGTCTCTGTCTCTGTCTCTGTCTCTGTCTCTGTCTCTGTCTCTGTCTCTGTCTCTGTCTCTGTCTCTGTCTCTGTCTCTGTCTCTGTCTCTGTCTCTGTCTCTGTCTCTGTCTCTGTCTCTGTCTCTGTCTCTGTCTCTGTCTCTGTCTCTCTTGTCTCTGTCTCTGTCTCTGTCTCTGTCTCTGTCTCTGTCTCTGTCTCTGTCTCTGTCTCTGTCTCTGTCTCTGTCTCTGTCTCTGTCTCTGTCTCTGTCTCTGTCTCTGTCTCTGTCTCTGTCTCTGTCTCTGTCTCTGTCTCTGTCTGTCTCTGTCTCTGTCTCTGTCTCTGTCTCTGTCTCTGTCTCTGTCTCTGTCTCTGTCTCTGTCTCTGTCTCTGTCTCTGTCTCTGTCTCTGTCTCTGTCTCTGTCTCTGTCTCTGTCTCTGTCTCTGTCTCTGTCTCTGTCTCTGTCTCTGTCTCTGTCTCTGTCTCTGTCTCTGTCTCTGTCCTGTCTCTGTCTCTGTCTCTGTCTCTGTCTCTGTCTCTGTCTCTGTCTCTGTCTCTGTCTCTGTCTCTGTCTCTGTCTCTGTCTCTGTCTCTGTCTCTGTCTCTGTCTCTGTCTCTGTCTCTGTCTCTGTCTCTGTCTCTGTCTCTGTCTCTGTCTCTGTCTCTGTCTCTGTCTCTGTCTCTGTCTCTGTCTCTGTCTCTGTCTCTGTCTCTGTCTCTGTCTCTGTCTCTGTCTCTGTCTCTGTCTCTGTCTCTGTCTCTGTCTCTGTCTCTGTCTCTGTCTCTGTCTCTGTCTCTGTCTCTGTCTCTGTCTCTGTCTCTGTCTCTGTCTCTGTCTCTGTCTCTGTCTCTGTCTCTGTCTCTGTCTCTGTCTCTGTCTCTGTCTCTGTCTCTGTCTCTCGTCTCTGTCTCTGTCTCTGTCTCTGTCTCTCGTCTCTGTCTCTGTCTCTGTCTCTGTCTCTGTCTCTGCTCTGTCTCTGTCTCTGTCTCTGTCGCAGTCCCAGTCCCAGTCTCTGTCTCTGTCTCTGTCTCTGTCTCTGTCTCTGTCTCTGTCTCTGTCTCTGTCTCTGTCTCTGTCTCTGTCCTCTGTCTCTGTCTCTGTCTCTGTCTCTGTCTCTGTCTCTGTCTCTGTCTCTGTCTCTGTCTCTGTCTCTGTCTCTGCTCTGTCTCTGTCTCTGTCTCTGTCTCTGTCTCTGTCTCTGTCTCTGTCTCTGTCTCTGTCTTGTCTCTGTCTCTGTCTCTGTCTCTGTCTCTGTCTCTGTCTCTGTCTCTGTCTCTGTCTCTGTCTCTGTCTCTGTCTCTGTCTCGGTCTCTGTCTCTGTCTCTGTCTCTGTCTCTGTCTCTGTCTCTGTCTCTGTCTCTGTCTCTGTCTCTATCCCTGTCCCTATCGTTATTCCTGCTCCTGTTCCTATTACTATGTCCTCCTCAGCCATAGTCCCATTCTCAGTCCCTTTCACTGCTTCAGTTTGAGCCTAAATCTCAGTCTGAGTAACAGACACAGTTCCATCCTCATTCCCAATCCCATTTCTGCCCCTGTCTCCTTAGCTATTTCTGTTCCTAATACTGTGCCCGTCTCAGCCCTAGTCTCCGCCTCTGTCTCTATGCTTAGTCCCGTCGTTTTCTCTGCTTCTGCTTGATCCACTGTCCCAGTTTCAGTCTCAGTCTCAGTCTCTGCTCGCATCGCTTGTTCCTGTTACTGTCTCTGTTTTATCCTAATCCCTAATCCCTGTCCATTTCACGGTCCATGTCTGCTGGCCAGTGCCTCTGTCTGTGCCATTTACATTTTCATATCTCTCTATTCCCGCTCAGTCAGCGACGCTCCGCACTCGGAGCCCTCTGACATGCCGTTTCAATTAGAGCCAAGCTGGGGAGTCGACAGCAAAGTGCGTGCTCATGACTGCCAACTGGCAATAAACAATATGATTATACAGTTTTTCAATTAGGAACACGTTCCTCTAAGAGACCGACCAGAGTCGAGCGAGCTGCATTTGCGTCTGACTTTTCGAATAATTCAACAAATAATATTTATTGTTGATTCGTTGAGTCGTTGATATGCAGAAGACATCGTCTTTTGTCTTTCGTCTGCGTATTTTGTGCCGCTTGGGCCAAAGTGAAAGTAAGTGGGAAAATGGATTTGGAAATGCTGCCATCGCTCTGACCATTCAGCCAGTCAGTCGTACGCCCGCCACTTCTTTCATTGTTCAGCCTGAAATTCGATTTATGTTGCGTGAGGCAAAGGAAGTCGCTTGCCTCGTGGAAGAGTTGCAATGCTGGGCGTATCTAATTTAGTTTCCTCAATTGGTATTTTAACAATTTTTCATAAACTTGGCTAAGAGTCTTTCCTACTTGAATGGAATAATTTGTATTTGCTTAGCCAGGAAATATAGCTTGAAATGTTATTTTTTATTAACAATTTTTCTTTAATTTATTAGGATATATCTGATATAGTTAAGAGCTCCAACTATTCCTCTATAGCTGCTAATTGCTTAGAGACGCGTGTCACGCTCTCATCTCTAGCTGCAAGCTTCACATGGCTGTTTGCATTTTGCAAGTTGGCTTAATCAAATTTCATATGTGGCATGTGGCATGTGGTAATTTATGAATTTGATTTGATTTCGTTTTTGGCGTTGATTGGCAGAGCTTTGCGTGCCAAAAAGCCAGACATGGATTCGGACTCAGACTCGAGCTCGGACTCCAGCTCAGACCCAGATACAAGCAACAAGTTACTTAATTGCCTGCAGCACAGTCTGTTCGTTCGTACATCGCCTGCTGCCTGCTGCCTGTTAGCTGTTACCTGTTGCCAGTTACCTGTTAACTCCCCTCAATAAAATGCCCCGCATATGGAAATCTAATGTAACTGGCCAAAACTTTGCCCTGGTTGAAAAAAAAGTAAATAAATATTTAAATTTAGAGCTGCGATTGCAATTGCAATTCCAATTCGAATGCGAGTCAATTGAGAGTTGGAAAACTTACGGCAAATTGTGGACTAGCGCCAAATGGTGTTCCATATGGAGAGCTCGTTGCAATTGGTGTTTGCTTGTTGCTGTTGCCATTCTCGTTGGCTATGAACAGGAGCTGCTCCTGGTAGGAGCCCGGTGCGGGCGAGAAACCACCTGTGCTGCTGCGATAGCCGTTAAGCGTCTGTTGCGACTGCTGCAGTTGGCGTGGAAAAGAGCCGGAGGATGGCACAAAACGATTTTGTGATGGAAAGTAATAGCTGGAGGTATCTGAAATGCAAGCAAGGTCAAATGTTAATAGCTTGTAGGTCGCCAACAATAATTAATCAATAGCCACAGTTTTAACACTCAAAACACACAGATTTTTTTGTTGCTTTGTTGACACCTCGCGCTGCGCCGCAGGCAGCTGTTGGCCATGAAATGTGCTCAAATTTAATATCATTAAACCTAATTGTCAATAGATTGTAATAAATAAATAAATAAATAAAAAAAGCTCTGCTTTGGGGCCAATCTTTGTCATGGACTATATATATACACATATAATATCTGCACAAACATAAATTTATTATAAATTGCTGGTTGAGTTGAACTGCTTTGCGAATTTACTTGTACTGCTTACTTAATTTCCCTGCACTGCTTTGATCTTAATGTAAAGCCCTTAGTACTTTTTATACCCTGTTGAATGCATAGAAAATGAATAAATAGTATATTATTTATTTGTAGCTAACCAGATGCCATAGCTTATGTATAATTTGTATATATACATTTATAAAAATAAGCTACTCCACATCTTTTGTGTTACACCAACAACAGTCTTGCATTCATTGAGATTGTGCCGCTTTGTCAACTATAGGGTATTTTCACAGCTGTCACCCTACATAATTTTGTAAATACTTTTGGCACTTATGACACACTGTTACAACTGCATGCAAACATATATGTATACAATTGAACATAGGTATGTCAGAGCGTGGGCACTGGCCACGAGCAGCAGACACCCAAAGCTGACTGCAAATAGCTTCCAGCTGCAACCTCGCATGCGTCACTCTTAGCTCTTTGACCCACAATGTCTGGGCACAAAAAGTCCCATTACACCAAAACAAAAAACCAAAAACAGAAAAAAGCAAAAAAAAATATATTTTCCAACCACGCAAAAACTTAGCCACAAATTGAAAATTGAAATATCATACATGCGCAACATTTCAAACGAAAATGCAGTGTTGAAAATTTTGATCAGGCGAATTTATGCAGCAGCATGAGGCGCCCAAAAAAGCGGAGCGGAGTGAGGCAACGCCCACGTTGTGCCAGGGGCTTGGTATTAGTGCCCCAATCTCGTATTACTTGAGTTTCACACCTTATTTTCAACACATCCAAGAGGGGAGTGCGAGGCGAGATATGTGTGCAAATTGTAAGTGTTTATCGCTGTCGAAGCACCATAGGCTAAAATTTTAATTAATTGATGAAATAGAGTGTTTGAATACATTATAAGTGAGCTTGTTGCAATATGTCATGAAAGCAGGCACTGCTTTGCTTATGAACTGCTTTGTAGCAGCTTGTTAACTGCTTGTTATTGAGTGTGAAAAGAACTAGAACTTGGAGTACATGAGCTTTCAGCATAATCAAGAAGATTTCTATCATGGCGTCGTGTGTAGAGTGGACGCAGCTTGTGCTTATACAAACTGGGTTCGAATCCGTCTGGGCTTGCAAATTTTTATAAATATTAAAATACATTTAACGTCCGTTATATTTATATCTCTATAAAATAGAGCCTTCTGCGCTTGGGCAAGAGTTGCTGTGTATTTATTTAGCCTGCTAACTCTAATCCGCAGAAGGTAGATAAACTCGTTCATTCCTATATGCCGTTGACTCTGTATTAGGTTCCATTTCATAAGTGAGCATTGCAGATCTGACGTGAATGAATACATATTTTATTATATTATTTTATTTTATATTTTCTTTTATTTTTATTATATTTCATATTTCTTTATATCTTATTATATTATCTTATTTGCAAATAGTTGTCAGTGTTGTAATGTCATCTAAACTTCTAGCTCAGATTGTTTTATATAGATAGTTTTAATATTGCACATTTATATTCTCAGCACACTTGACCTAAAATTGAATAAAACGTGAATATTGCATTTGCCTATTTCTAACAAATATTTGATAAAGCACCTTCGAATTCATGTAAGCTTCTTTATCGATTGTATTGGAATTTATTGTAATGAGCGCGAAGTTCTCTTTAGTATTCCGAATGGGCGATTTGAGCAGAAGCCGTTAGCATTGTTTTTATATCGCAAATAAAGCGCTACAAATGGCTTTTATTGCTTTACTTACATTTTTTTATACTTGAAAGGAATCCGCACTCAAATTCTAGAAATTTAGATTATAGTTAAATATTTCATTTCTTTATCGTAAATTTGTATTACTTCTGTAAAGTCTAAGAAAAAGATCAAAAGTCTTTATCAATAATTAATTTATTTAATTTTTAAAATTTGATACAATCTCTTACTGCGTACGCTCTGTGTTTTTAAAGTAACATTTACATAATATATAATTGCGTTCAATGGACAGTTTTCTGGAATATTCCAAAAATTTTATTTCATTTCATAGCATCTGCCACGTTGCATATGTATAGCTTTTGCAGTCCAGTTAAACGTGGCCGACGCCATATGGCATATGGCAATTTGGTTATTATGCAAGCTTATTAAAATGGTTTGGTTTCTATTCCTTAACGACATTCCTTTAACTTTGCGGACTTTTCCTTGCTCTTGTTGGGAGTCTTCCTGGACCCGGGCTTGGAGCTCTTGTTTTTCTTAACTGGTAAGCATCGTTTCTTTGCGGGCAGATTCGTGCAAAGCTTTTTACCGCGCTTTTTCTTAATCTGACTATGTTGAACCTTTGTGGTGTCCAGCTTTAGCTTTAGCTTAGCTCTCAGATTATAGTTATACAGGTGTGCTGGCGAGAGTTTCTCCCAGAATTTATGGGCCAGAAAGGCAAGCTTCTCATTGGCCAGCCAGTTGGCAAAGTCCTTGTAGAACAAGTCAAATGGAATAACGACCTGCTGGTGCAATTTATTTTGGGGCAAAGCATCTGTTTGTTGTTTGCCAAGCCATCGAGTAAAGTCGTCAAAAAGTAATTGCACCGGCATCTCCCAGGGCAAACGAGTAGTAAACATATCACGGTAAATTTATACCTTTGAAAAACTACAAAACTCTAGCCAAGAGTTTCGAATCGACTTTGAGCTAGAACTGACAAGAATAGCCCTAAAATAACTTCCATTGATACTTCCCACAGAGCCTGCCTCAACGACTACAAGCAAAAAGCCAAAAGCAAATAGCCTTTCAATTTGTTTCAACTCTGCCGCCTTTTGGCTTTGTCAAGTGCCTTTCAAACTGTCTGCCGCATTTGGCATTTGGCTGAAAGCCACAGCCACAGAGCCCAAACAATGAGACAAACTCGAACCATTTTTGTTGCATGTTGCATGCGTCGCCCTGCACATTGCTCAGCGACAATGGCAGCAACGCCTTTTGTTGCACAGTAGCCGTCAATTGTATGCGAACGGTCTGAGTCTATTTAGTTTGAGAAATGCTCATGATAATACATAATGCAGTTACCATTTAGGGATAATGCAAGAGCTTTACAAAAACTGAACTCGAGTATTTCGAAGACTTAAGGTAAGCTTAAGAGAGGTATATATATATATATATATATATATGTCTGCCTCACTCTATTGGCCTAGACCTGCCACAGAGGAAATGTTGAGAGCGTGAGATTGAGAGAGAGACAAAGGCAGGAAGATGCAAGTAGAAGAGTGCATGTGGCGCAGCTGCTCAGTGAATATATTTCATTGACAAATACATATTTTTTAATAATTTGCAAGTGCTTTACGGCAGAGAGGTATTACTTCTAGTTACCCAATCAAACTGAAGTCTTAATGTTACAGAAACTCAAAGAAAATGTCTGCGCAAAGACTGTGCTTAGCATAGCTGGAAAGCTCGTTGTGTTGGGCTTAGTTAGTATTTAGGGCAAAGCTTGGGAATGTAAAGACTCAATGCTTGGTTAGGGAGCTCTGTGGTGCCTGCAGCTCATGTGCCATTTACACATTTTTGAACCACTGTGCACACTACCAGCTTCCACTGGCAGTTTGACATTTAAAATTTACTGTAGCAATCGCTGCTCGAAAAGAATTTGAAACTTGCTGCTGCTGCTGCTGCTGCTGCTGCTGCTGTCGATTTGGTATCTCAAATTAGCTGGGTATATGTATGAGTCCATGTCTATAGGTATCTTCTCGGAATACACTTGCTTTGCGTTAATTATGCCAGCGATAATGCAGTGAAGATTCTGTAATTCTCTGAATTCTGTGAATTATTTCTATTTGGGCATTTACAATTTGCCTGTCTTCGGGCTAATTTTTGTTGATGCTGCAACAAGTTGCAAAACAAAAGCAATGCAAGCGACGCTTCTGCTTCATCTTCTGCTTCTTTTGTCGGTTTTTGTGTTTGTGCGAAATGACAAGACGCTAAGGCGCAAAAGTCATTCAGAAGTGCAACAACAACAGCTGCAGCAACTAAAGAAGAAGAAGCAACCGCGACTAAACAAGTTGAACTTTACGTTTTCATTTGCTTCAATCAAGTTTCTGCGTTTGGCCATTGGCTGTGCTTATAACTGATGCTGCTGCTGCTGCTGCTGTTGCTGCTTCTTCTTTTTTATTGAAGGTCATCAGAGCGTTTTAGTGCAATAGTTTAAGAGTCACTGTATAGTTAGCTAGACGTGAGTCAAGAGCATATATTCAAAGAGCGAGATGATGCGAGGGAGTAGGGTAAACCAAGATATCTCTAATTTGGCTCTGTCTATAAAAATGCTTAGTTATCTATTAAAATAATATAAACATATATAATAAACAAGTGAAAGCGTCATTTATGCTAAAAAAACTGATGGATTCAATTATCTTTGGTTAAGTGAGTCCAGAAACCACTCGACGAGGTCATTGTGGCTATAGAAAATAAGAAAACAATTAAAATATTAAATCTAAGTTGAGATCTTAATATAGGTACTCATATTCACTATTCATTCATTCATTCATTCACCCACTCAGTCATTCATTCATTTACTTTATTTACTTTTAGACTCAACTCAAAATATAATAATAAATTTGAGTAAGCTTCAAGGGTTCTAGCCTGTTGTTAAACATATCTCTTGTACAGCTGCCCAGAAGTAGAATATATGGCTAAAACATGCTCCCAGTGTTATCTCAGTTATGCACTCTA